AGATCCGCCCTTATAGGGCTCCCCCAGTTGCTACTTCCTGGTAAAGTCCTGAAAAAGGGCAGTTTGGTTTGGGGTTGGGCCCTCAGCCCCGAACGCTAAAATTCAAAGAACTCTAAACTCTTAAACCCCAAAACCAAAACCCCTAATCCCTGAACTCGTAAACCCTGAAAATCCATCCTACTATAGGTGCCTTAATAATACCTATACTATTTTGGTTGTTCCTTGTTTCAAGTATAGTATAATAATTTACACCCAAACCCTATTCCAATTATGAAGGCCCCGTTTTTAGGCCATAAGCCTGCCGAGCTGCCACGTTAGGCTGGTCCTCGCCTTCGGCCGACAATCTCCAGGTCCGGGCTTCAAGGGCTTTCTGAGCTTCACTACGATGTTTTATGGGATTTCAGGGTTTCGCGTTTTCGGTGTTCTTGGGAAGTGATATGACATGCTGGTGCTGGTTGGGATTTTATGGGTTCAGATCTCCTCAATCAGGGACAATTTTGAGGTGTTCAGCAGCTAAGTAGGGGCCTCAATAATTGCCTATACTATTTTTGGAGGTTCCGTATTGTGATCATAGTATAGTGGGCCTCAATATTTGGCTCTTCTTGGCTTTACTTGGATTTCTGACCGGTCTCTTAGTCGAGTTTGCAAGGGTTTTGGTTAGGGCCTTGTGGGGTAAAGGTGTATATATGGGTAGTTGTCAATATTAGGGTCCCTTTTTGGGGCCTTACTATAGTACGGCACCTAATATTTAGGGTACCCAACAAGGGACCATATTTTTGGCAACCACCCATATGCATAAATCCACCTAGACCCACGGCCATCAAACCTAGCTTGCAGGTTCATGGGCAGTCGCCCACACTATAGGGGGATACCTGGTACCACCCCCTGATATAAGGGCCTAAATAGTTACGGGTTCCTCACTATCACAATAATTCAATAATATCCCCCCAAACCTTATTCCAATGATGAAGGCACCTTTATCATAGAACCCTACTATAGATCTCCTCTAGACCCATTTAGACAGGACCCCTTTCAAGGAATCCTGTTCAAATTATTACTAAGCCCCGGAAGTGCCAGCCAAGCCACGGTCAGGATGCTTGCTGTGTCTTGGAGGGCAGCAACGACGGCTTCCAGCAGGAGTCACACGCAGGGACAGGTTCTGAACTTTCTGTTCCTACGGTTGATGATATAAATCCTGCCCTACCTCAAGGACCCTAAACTATGGGAAGTATGGTCTGTTCCTTATTCTGGGTAATGCAGGATTGGTATCAACAACAGTATAACCCTAAACACCTAAACCCTAAACCCCTAAACCCTAAACCCCTAAACCCCTAAACCCCCATACCCCCTAAACCCTAAATCCCTAAATCCCTAAACCCCTAAACCCTAAACCCCTAAACCCCTAAACCCTTAAACCCCCCTAAACCCCTAAACCCCCTAAACCCTAAACCCTAAAACCCCTAGACCCTAAAACCCCTTTAACCCTAACCCTAAACCAACAAAACCCTTAAACCCCTAAACCCCTAAATCCCTAAATCCTGAACCCTAACCCCTAAACCCCTAAACCCCCTACACCCCCTAAACCCCCTAAACCCTAAACCACCTAAACCCTAAACCCCCTAAACCCCCTAAACCCCCTAAACCCTAAACCCTAAAACCCCTTAAACCCCCTAAACCCCCTAAACCCCCTAAACCCCCTAAACCCCCTAAACCCCTAAACCCCCTTAAACCCCCTAAACCCTATAGTTCAAGCTTTCTTCGAAACCTCAGACCGGTCAGCTGCAAGCACCCTTACCCTAAGGCTCTAAGGACTGATACTTTATGGCTTTTGGGCTTAAAGACCTTATTATATAAGGCTTTTGGGCCATTTTGAGCCTTAGGGTTAATGATCGATCCTCTGCATGGGCTCTGGTAGAAACTGGAGGTAATCTAGGACCCTTTAAAGTATAGGACCCTTTAAAGGAACAGTATAGGCCCCTTCAAAGGAATGGTATAGAACCCTTGTAGCAGCCTTTAGAGAACCCTTTCTTAGTAGGTGAGTGGATACACTTTACACTTCTTGGGGTAAGATTACCCATTCTAAAGCTGAAAGTGTACACATTCTGTGGCTTATGAACTCAGCAACTAAGTAGGGGCCTCAATAATTACCTATACTGTTTTTGGAGGTTCCGTATTCTGATTATAGTATAGTTGTCCTCAAGACCCGATTCTAATTCTTAAGGCCCCCAAAGTTATCTGAGGCGAAGCTGCTCAAACCTACTACAGGGGTTCCAGATGGTCCCAATATCCGAATCCTATTCCTTTTCGGCCTCCTGGTTTTTTTGCCGCATAGTATGCCCTTACCCTAAGGCTCCACAGTAGTTCCTTTTAGGGTTCATGTTTAGAATCTTATAAGGTAACCCCAAAAATAAACTACTTTGGAGCCTCTGCGTAAGCACTCTCCCCCCCACCCGCCTGCCCCTAATTTTGAGTTAACTTCTGGAACTTGCAAAATTTCAGTCGTGGGTGGGGATCCTTAGGGGTGTAGGGGGAGGGGGGGTAGGGGGCCCTAAGGCCCATAATAAGGACTAATAAGGTCTATTTAAGGAAATTATATAGTCCCCTACACCCCTCCCCCCTACACCCCTAAGGATCCCTATGATTTTACAGTTCCAGCATTTGAAATGTAGGATGGCTTCGGTGCTAAGGAACCCGAAACCCTTGAGCCTAAACCCTAAAGTAGCGTCCCTGCCTCTACACGTAAAGCATGTGAGAAGGTTGTGTTGACCTTACCCATAGGGCCCAATGTAGTTCCTTTTTGGGATTACATTTAGGATTCTAAATATGAACCCCAAAAAAAGAACTACTTTGGGGCCTTAGGGTAAGCACTAAACCAACTCGATGCCTAGTTTTAGGGTTTGGAGGGTTCCGGGTTCATCCTCAGGCCGGCACTAAGCCCTGTGAGCCCTAGCCCTAAACCTACTTGGAGGGTCGGGGGACTTAGTAACTGGTTATTTTAGGGACTTATAAGTACCATAACCCCGATTAGGGTCCCTTTTAGGGTACTTATAAGTCTACTTACTACCTACTTACTAAGTCCCCCGACCCTCCAAGTAAGCCGTCGTGCTACATGTAATCACCATTTACCCTCGCAAGTACGAACCTAAATCGCTACTATACTAAACCCAGCTTCGCAGTTGTTGCGTCCCCTGATTCCTCTACGCTCTCGCCCAAGCGGGCCACTGAAATTCGGATTGTCGCTGAACTGGTTTCGCAAGCAACGCCAGTCGAACCCCAAGGTGCGAACCCTAGAAGGCCAGAAGGCTACTTTAGGATAGCGAGGCTTTAGCGTTTAGGCTTTTCCGGTTCGGGCTTTAGGGTTTAGGGCTTTGGGGATGTTGGGGGCTTGGGCTTTACGCGCCGAAGAGGACACAAACTCAACTCGTTGGGTTCCACGTACAGCTTTCTCAGGTCTATACGCTGTCCTGTTCGCTAACCTATGCATCATTACCGCCCATTATTCCTTAGGGCTCTTTATAAGGACGATACGATAATACTAGACCCAATACCATATTCTAATTATAATTCGCAAGTCCCCTCTGCCGGCTGGGATGACGGTTTGGGCTAAGCATTCCCTGCAACAGGTTTTCAGTCCAGAGTCTTCTCGCTGATCAGGGAACTTAAATGAAGTTGCCATAGTAGGGAAAGATACAGTAGAGACAGGACTATGGCATCTATACTTAAGTTGCTTAGGCGTAAGAACCCCCAAACCCGACGTTGCGTAGGGGGGCTCTTCGGTGTAATGAGGGGGTCCCTTGAAGTCGGTGAGGGTTTTGCATTGGGCCCCCAAACCCCTAAAACCCTAAAGGGAACTCCAGAAAGTTGGAATATGGTTTCAGGGTAGGATACCTTATAATTTACCATAGAAGGGTTTAGGATAATCATATTCCAACTTTCTGGCTTTTACTCTAAAGCCCTAAAACCCCAAACCCTAAACCCCTGAACCCTAAAGCCCCCGCTGAACTCGTCGTAATTGTCGCCTCAAGCTTCGGCAGCAGAGCTGCAAGGGCGCCAGCGCCCAAAGGCGATGGGAGTTTCCCAAATTGGGGTCCTAATATGTAGTGCCCTAAATAGTAGGATCCTTATTATAAAGACATATGTAGCACCCTAAATAGTAGGATCCTTATTATAAGGACCCCAAATAAGGTATCCCAAAGTTTCGGAAACTCCCAGATCATGACCATACGGAGCCCGAGAGCCACACCCTGGAGCCCACAACCCTGAACTCGAACCTATTCGAGACTGGACCCTCGCAAAGCTAGGATGCCCAGTAGTACCCTTATTCCCTCTTTGTAGTCCTAGGTTCCTTATAAAGTTACCCAATACCAAAAAGAGAGGCCTTTTTATTCTTAGGTTACTGGGTATCCTAGCAAAATATACACCCTCAGATCCCGCATGATCAGCAATCGCACGTCTCAGGGCTCCCGAAAGACAGGCAGTGGAACACGAAACATGCTGAAGAGCGACCTGAACTCTGACCCTAAAGGGCTCCTTAAAGGGATCTATGGGGTTCCTTAGGGTTTAGGGATTAGGGTTTAGGGTTTAGGGAGGGTCTAAAATGCCCCTACAGGGAACTCCAGAAAGTTGGAGAATATGGATTAATGGTAGGATCCCCCTATAGTTTACCTTAAAAGGGGGTTAGGATAATGGTATTCCAACTTTCTGGCTTCTAGTGTAGTCTTCAAAGTCCCGAATGCGGCAACCAGGTCCTTGGGCCCCTAAGCCCAAAGCTTCTGGAGCCTTCAGCCCTAAGGAACTACAGGGCTACAGGGGGTGCAGTGTTTCTGATCCTGAAGGGTCCAAGTATCGTTAATAGTATATACTTAGACCCCCAAAATACCCTAATAAGTATGTCCCAGTATATACTTAGACCCCCCAAAATACCCTAATAAGTATGTCCCATAGTGATACTTGGGCCCTTTGGGTCTGATCCTTAAGTGCCTCCCGCCCGGGCTGGTGCGATGGGCGGCCAGGCCAGAGCTGCTACAAAAACCCTTCGAACTGGAAGATATCAGGGCCCTGGGGTGTAGAGTTTAGGGGTAATGTAGGATTCCGATTCAGAAACCTCAGGGCCCATCACCCCAAAATAGTAGGATTCATATAAGGAACCCTAATAATTCCAAGCCAGCCCAGAGCTTTGCATAGATCCCAGGCAGTATTAGGGAGACCCCTTAAAGGGGAATCTTCTTAACTAACCCTACCAGTTTGTGGCTCTCTTAAAAGGGACCTTATTGAGAGGGTCGATATCCCCGAAATCCCACTTATCCTAACTCCTACATAGAGTGAGAGCCATAATCATAAGCCTCCAGGGCTTGGCTTTCCATCTTCGTACTTCCAGCTAACTCTATGGAGGGGGGTCAGTGCTTCGAACAAGTGTTCCCAAGAGGGTACATGTATACGACCATGGAATGAGGCCCCCTCAAAACCATGACAGGAACGGTGTTTTGCGGGCCTTACCAGCAATTCCATCATGGTAGGATCTTACCCTAAAGCTTAAACCCTCAACCCCTAAACCGGTTCAGGCTTTGGGTTCAGGGTTTTGCTGTGGGTTGGCAGCCGGTGTGTAAATTGAAAAAGTAACGCAACTTATCTCCATGATCTTGACTACCCTGAACCCGAATGTAAACTGGATTTAAACCGCGCCTCAACTCAACACATGATTACCTTGAAAACTCAGCGGCGCTCCATTAGTGCAGGAAACACCCCAGTCCCTGTGAAGGATCTCTCTATAGTTTAAGGCATATATGCTCAACTAAACACAGTAGAGCCCTTGAGAACCCTTATGAAAACCCTTGTGCAACCTTACACCCTGGATATAAACGCTACAGACCCACGGTCCTTACAAATTTTAATGCAGAAAGCCTTAGTCTTTGTAGCCCAAAGCCCTAAACCCAAACCTTAAAGCCCAAACCCCAAACCCTAAACAAACCCTGAACCCTTAACCCTACAGGTTCGACGCCTTTTCAAAAGCCGAAGCCCAGAAACACCGGCTTCTGGAGGTCTCTGCACTTGCTCGGCGCCTCGAGGCGATCATGGGCGCAGGCGATGTCTTGTGGGGTTTGGCGGGGGGGGGGGGGGGGTTTATAGGGGTTTGGGGTTTAGGGTTTAGGGGTTTGGGGTTTAGGGTTTAGGGATTAGGGCAAGACCTTATACACCTGGTCACCATTCCCACCGCTTGCCCCAACCCTCACAGAGTGTCCGGCAACTTGCCCTGAGGGCTGTAGCTCTCACTATGCATTGGGTCGAGGCGGGGGTTCCTAATGGTTGCCTATAAGCATTCTAACTATGTGGGTTCTGCTTGAGTTCTTATAACTAAAGGCTCTCGGGATGGCCGGCCTTATCAGAGTTTGTATAAAGTTTCATTTGCAAAGGGGTTCGTAAACGGTTCTTGTCCCCGTATGGGTTCTTTTGTGTGAGCTCTTATGATACATTGGTTCTACAGGTGCTTCCTCAGGGTTCTTAGGGCAGAAACGGGGTTTAGGTTTTTCTGGTTTGGGATTTAGGGTTCAGGGGGGTTAACTAGGGGTCTAGGGAATTCAGTTGCGTGTTTTGAAGGGTGTTGAGTTGTCAGGCTGTGGGGTCTGAAAACGTTTAAGTGTCAAACTCTTGGTGAGTTTGGGTTTCTGCAGTCTACCTTAACCTATGTACCAAAACCTGCTTTTTTGTAGGGTCCCTCTAAATTCCATATTAGGGTTTATTTTGTCCCTACAGAAAAGTAAGGTTTGGTAGGTTAAGGTATGGTATTCAGGCGACGACAGGGTTTGCCAAGGATGTTGCGATTTCTGATAGCCGACAGGGGCAAGCATGAGCCTCCTTTAGGGCCCCAAAAAAGCACATAAGCAAAATTAGGATACGGATATCCCATATAAACCCCCTTATAATGAAGCCCAAATATTTAGGGATATCCCCATAAAATGCTTATGCTTATATATGTGCTTTTTGGGTCCCTAATCCTTGTCCTTCCCACTGCTGACATCGGATTCTTGGATTTGAATTGCTTGGACTGTTAGTTGCTCTTTTGTGTTCTTTTTCCTTGTCGGGTTCTCCGCCGGCACTGTTCAAACGTCCCAACTGTTGAAACCACAAACTCTACACTCCCTGAACGCCGAGACCTCGTCGGAGAACTGTCTCCAACTTCTCCAGGTGCTGCGCCTCGCACAGCTTTGGCGCCGGCATGCACCGGAGGCGTTCCTGGCGGGTTCTGGACGGGCCATTGGAGTCGGATACACTTGATTTGGGTGGTTGTCAAAATTATGGTCCCTTTTTGGGTCCTTATTATCATATGGCACCTAATATTTAAGGTACCCCAAAAGGGACCATCATTTTGACAACCACCCATATGGTTTGTTTAAAGTCGTGTTTCTAAGACGGAGTTCGTCGAATGCTTGGGGCAGTTATAGAAGTCTTCTACCTGAACCCCCCAGAGTAGGTAAAATAATGGCCCAACACCTATAAAAGGCCAACTATTCTACATACTTTGGGGGTCTAGGTAAGCCCAAATCACCCAAAACCCTTCAACCCTCGCAGTTGGGGTTGAAGGGTTGTGCCCGTTCCTTGGAGGCCTCAAAAAGCGGGATGAAGGTAGGTAGGAAAAAGGATCATTATTCTAATTACTTTGGGGTCCAGGTGCGGCTCCTCGTAAGGCTGAAGTGGGGGTGCCTCTTGACTTCTCTCTTGAGTAAAGTGTTCCTGGGGCCTGTAGCAAGGGGGTTTAGGGGTTTAGGGTTTAGGGGTCTAAGGTTTAGGGTTTAGGGGTTTAGGGTTTAGGGGTTTAGGGTTTAGGGGTTTTGGGTTTAGGGGTTTAGGGTTTAGGGGTTTAGGGTTTAGGGGTTTAGGGTTTAGGGGTTTAGGGTTTAGGACCTTTATGAGGGGCCTTGGGGTCTTATCATGGTTCATCGTTTTTTTACGCCATTCAAGTCTCCAAGTTCAAGCACATGTTGGAAAGGCTTGTAGCATCAACTTTTTGAAAACCCTGATAGCAAGGGCGGGACCGTCAAGCAACGTTATACCCAACAAAAACGTCATAAAGCGACTCCAAAAGAAACACATCCCCGACGAAGCAAAGAACCACCCCTCTGATGTCAACTTGTAGAAAGCCTCAGTCATTCCAACACCGACGCAGAGGCCCTGAGCCACCTTTACCTCCGGGTGTGCTGGGCCTAGAACTCTACGAGCTTCTCGAGGCCCGGGTTTGTCATGTTCGTATGTATGCTTGGATTATTAAACAGGTGTTCTAGCCTGTAGGATTTTCTTCTATGGGGTGTAGCGGGCATTCTTAATAGGTTCAAAGGCTGTTTTCATGCAGGGTCTATGTTTCTGGCCAACCCTGCGCAGGCCATACTATAATGCAATACAGTTCTAGTTAGCTTGTCATATATACATACATGACATGTGATGAATCTTTATTTGCATGTAAGATACAGTATTCCAAAGAATCTAGCAAAGCAGATCATATAGCATAGTGTATGCTCGCGCATTGTGAGTGAGGCAAAGCTCCGAACCCAAACCCTAAAACCCTAAAGCCCTAAACCCTAAAACCCTAAACCCTAACCCCCTAAACCCTAAACCCTAAAGCCTAAAACCATAACCCCTAAACCCTAAACCCTAAAGCCCTAAAACCCTAAACCGCAAAGCTCCGAGCATTTTCCCAGGCCTCCTCCTCCATGGGCCCCGAGCAGGCCCGTGACTGAGAGTCTCTTTACGACTAGCATGGAACCCCATAGTGCCACTTAAGAAGGGAACTCTAGCATAGAACCCATACGGTTGATGATATAAATCCTGCATGACTTTAAGGGCCCTAAACTATGAGAATTATGGTATATTCCTTATTATGGGTAATGCAGGATTTATATCATCAACCGTAGTACCCCTTAAGGGAGTTCCAGGGTCAGGGCTTCGTGGAGAGGGGTTTCGGGCCCGAGGTGTGGGGTTCTACTTGGAGGGTCGGGGGACTTAGTAACCTTAAAGGGGTTCCTTAAGGGCCCCTTTAAAGGGATCTATAGGGATTCTGTAGGGGTTTAGGGTTTAGGGGACTTAGTAACTGGTTATTTTAGGGACTTACAAGTACCATAACCCCAATTAGGGTCCCTTTTAGGGTACTTGAAAGTCTACTTACTACCTGCTTAGTAAGTCCCCCGACCCTCCAAGTAAGGCGCCATAGTACTTCCTTCGGGGTTCATATTCAAAATTATGTAAGGTAATCCCCAAAAAGAACTATGGGGCCTTAGGGGTCGGTTTAGGGTTTGAGGTTTACAGGGTTTAGTGGTTTTGGGGTTTAGGGGGGTTAGGTTTTCTGGTTAAAGGGGGTTGAAGTTTGAAGTTTAGGGGTTTCGGGTTTCCGGGGTAGGGGTTTAGGCCGGTTTAGGAGTTTAATAGCGTTTAGGTGTTTCGGGGCTCGATGAGGTTCAGGGTTCAGGGTTATAAAACCTGAGCCTCAAGCTGAAAAGCCTTTAGAAACCCTTTGCAAACCAATAGAAAGTCCTATATGGAACCCTTATACAACCCACGTAGAAGTTTAGGTGTTTAGGGGCTGGAGGGGCTTCGGGGGTTCGTACTGTATGGGTTGCAGAAGATGCTTCTATTTCTATGGCTTGCGAGGGTTTGTAATGGCTTCTCGGTTTGGGGTTCAGGTTTCATGCTTACCTGAACCTACCCAACCCTTTCCTTTCATAGGACTCCAAATCTTGCGGGGATTCGTTCTTAGTAGGTTCGAACGACATTCCTGCACTATTGGGGAAGTCAGTAGTTTCCGACGGTTCGTGTAACCTTGCCTTATGTCGGTTCCAAGATGGTTCCGCATACCTGGAACGATTTGCACAACTTGGGTTTCTCCCTAAACCAGCAAACCCTAAACCTGAAATCGTACAATTTGAGCAGTCGCCATTTTGGTTTCCCGCTGCTTTAGAAGACCTCACTTGACCTCCCTTCGCAAACATGTTGCCCGAAGTCACAAAGACCAAAAGCCATCCCCAATCACATTTGATGCTGCTAAGCATACTGCGGGAGGTCTGCCACAATGTGTTTACTGCCTGCACAAATTCGGAACCTGGGGTGGCATGAAAAATCACATACAACGTGGCCAATGCCAATGCCCTAAACGCCCGACCTTTAGCGACCCTCAGCCGCCCCCTCCTGACATCCGGCAGTGGTGTGGGCCCAGTGTGAATCCAGGGTGGAGCCGGAATGCAGGAAAATTAAGCACTTGCTTGAGCGTGACGGTGCATGCCAGTGGTGTCCAAAGCAAGAAAAAATTGCTTGCGGCATTCCGGCGGAGGCTGGTACTGCAAAAAAAAGCCCCTAAATACTACGACAGATCAATACGGACTAGGAAGAAGCGGTTGCAAAACGAAAAGCTGAACCGGCGTCGGTGCGCCTGGCGCGTTTCGTGCAGCAGGCACTGCCAACGCGGAGTGTGATCAGTCGGTTGAGCACAGAAGGCTCGGAGGATTCCGTGAGCCGATGGCTGGCGGCGGGCTTGGAGGCGATTCGACTTGCCCAGAAGCTGCTGATCTACCGATCAGGTCTGCCAAGTGGTACGCCACCCTCTGTCTGATGCATGCTCAGGATCTATCCCTCTGATCGCACCCTAAACCCTAAACCCAGCAGGTGACGGACGCCTAATTACATGGGGCTGAAAACGACCACAAGACGAGCTCATGGAGCCCTCATGCCATGTAGAAATACTCCAAAGTCCCGATTCTAATCATTCAGGCCCCTGTACCAAACGCTAAACTCGAAACTCTCAGAGTAGCCTCTTAGAGGAGCCGGAACCCCCTAAAGAGCATGCTCCCCATATCCATGCATGCAGCAGGTGGTTGCATGGCAGCGCTGGGTTCAGTTGCCGGCCAAGGCCTTGTCGGGTGTTTAGGCTTTTGAGGGTTGAGAGTTAAGGGTTTAGGGTTCTGAGAGGAAATCCAAGAGGGCTCAAGGGGGGAATCATTTCTGGTGATTCGGCATTCGAACTGAAGACGCAGTACCCGTGAACTGAGTGATTCCTCTACAACCGCAACACTATCCCTGTGTATGGGGGGTTCTTGCATGTAACTATTTGGGGTCCATGGACAGGGTCCTTGCTCCATCCTAAGACTTCGGATTCTGCAATATCTGGGTAGCCATGGTATGAACCTACCGTTTTATCGGTATTCCACACACATAATATAGATGCAAATAAATAAATATATATATATATATATATATACATACACATATATATATATACATATACATATATACATATATATATATATATATATATATATATATATACATACACGCATTTCTTTAATCCAACGCCCCCCCCCCCCCCCCCCCCCCTAATATTAAAGTTGATTTCCGGGATCTTATTTTAAGATTAGGGTGGTTTCTTTGCATCCACGTATGAATGGTAAAACAAAACAACCCAGACTCCAACAGTGGAGTCAGCGGCCGGGTCTTCGTCGGATCCTTCGCAGGCCAGCCGGTGGCCTCCTGGGGGGCACTCGGACAGCACCCCAACGTGGTTCGGGCCTTCGGCGTTCTGACGAGCTCTCTCGGAAAAACCGCTTTGCTCCTCGAGAGGGCGACCGAGAGCCTGCACGACACGGCCTGCCGGCTCCAGGCCGACCGACTGGAAAGCCTAAGCCTTGCCAAAGGAGAGGTTTTGATCTGTGGCCACGGTGTTGGTGGGCCTTACGAACAAGATGAGCCGTTTGCAGAAACCATGATTGGAGCGGATCGCTCCTATGCGCATCAACGAGGCAGCTGTTACAGCTCATGCGCCCGCCCCCTCCCTCGTCGTCCCCGTAGGTATCCTTAAGATTCCCAGTCCATGCAAACAATGCCACGGCCTGCTTTAGAGCACAACGTCTGTAAGCAGCACCTACTTTGGCCAGTTGGAGTGATGGGCTTGGGCTACTGGGGAATACAGATGACTAACATCATAGCAGCATGACGCACGGTTTGCGTCTATTGCGGACTAGGGTTGGCTGCAGAAATTAGGATTTAGGGCTTCTTTGGCTCATGGGGTGTCGGTGTCGGGTCTCTGACTCCCGAAAGACCCCAAGCTCTCGTAAGCATTACGAACTCCAACGCAGCCAGAAATCCGATTGCCCGAAGCTTAAATGTGAACCGACTGCCGGAATCTCAGTCTCTAAGTCGTAAACCTTCGATCAAACTTGAATCTGAAGTCCTGTATCTCTAAAAGCAACCCTGCTTTCTGGCTCCTACGCCCTATACACCCTAATCCGACATCCCTGTCCGAGTGACCAGGGCGCTCCGGCGGCAGATGCGATCCCTTGGCAGAAGCTGGCAACCAGGAGTGCTCTGCTGCTGGCAGAGGCAAATTTCGCATTGTACGTCAGCAGACCTCCAAAGCCCCCTCTTAAAGGAATCTGCTCCGAACAGAGAGAGGTCCTTGACATGTTTTAAGGTCTGTCATGTAATTACAGGCTGTGGGTTTTCTTTCTGAGTAACTCAAGACTTTTACAAAGCCCTAACGCCTCGTTTTCGAAGAGTCTTTGATCTCTACCTAGACCCCCAAAAGTAGGTAAAATAATGGCCCAAAACCTCTAGGCGGCTATAACTCTACGTACTTTGAGGGTCCAGGTATCCAAGGGTAACAAGGAGGGACCCTTAATAAGGACCCCTAGGTATATTCCCATAATATAGCCATTATATACCCATTATATAGCCCATTATAGGGTAGGGGTCCCCATTAAGGGTCCCTCCTTTCCTCTTTGAAGGTAGGGCTGAGGGTTTAGGCAAGAGGGAAGGCTTACAGGAACAGCCTTACCGGTTCAATGTCTAGGCTTTAGGGGTTCAGGGTCTAGGGTTTAGGCTTTAGGGGTTTACGGTTTAGGGTCTAGGCTTTGGGGGTTTAGGGTATACCTTCCGAGACTACTACCTAGCTGGAGCCATCATTTCTTCGGGCCAGTCTCCCTTAACCAAACCGACTGTGGGCCCGAGAACCGGTGAATGCTTCTTGGAGGGTCGGGGGACTTATAGTAACTGGTTATTTTAGGGACTTATAAGTACCATAAACCCAACTAGGGTCCCTTTTAGGGTACTTATAAGTCTACTTACTACCTACTTACTAAGTCCCCCGACCCTCCAACTGGGGATGTTCAGGTTAGAGTGCCCCGATATGAAGGATTGCTGCCATCATGTTTGGGTGCATGTTATGGAGTTTAGTCTTAAACGCTGTCATATTGAGGCAGCCAACATTTTCACGAAGACTTCTTGTTCTGGTCACCTAAGGCCCCGTTTAACAACAATCCGGACGAATAAAGAGGACTAAATAATTGCCAGTACTATTTTGGGATTCCTTGCTAGATCTCTGGTATAATATCCCCCACAAACGCTATTCCAATTATGAAGGCCGCTACATTTGGGGGTGGGCTTGAGGTTTAGGGTTTAGGGTGAATATGCGCAAATGGTTCGTTGGGGGAGTGTAGGGGTGCGTGGAATAAAGAGTTGGGTTCAAGGTCTCAGGGCTTTCGGTGTCGGGGAACGGTCCAGGGGCTTGCAGGGGCATGTAGCATAGTGTGGCTGTTGGAAACGGATACTATATATCACTGGTCCCAATTATTCATAACTATAGGCATTGTGGAGCCGAGGTTTCGAGGTTTGCTGTTGACGGGTTGCAGCGGATGAAACGCCCGCAAAAAGCCCTAGTAGCTGAGTGGATACACTTTACACTTTGGGGGATAAAGTTACCATACACTCTACAATTTTTGGGGATAATATTACCCACCTTAAAACTGAAAGTGTACACTTTTTGTGGCTTATGAAATCAGCCACTAAGAAGCCAAAGAATCGTGAGCCACTCCTCACCGGAACCCTAATCTTCAAGGCCCTACCTGGCCCGCCCGAGTTCCCTTTACTAGAGCACTTACTGTTGATGGACAAAATCCTGCATTACCCTTATAAGAATGAATATACCATAATTCCCCTAGTGTAGGGTCCTTAAGGTAATGCAGGATGTATATCATCAACCGTATGGTCCTTCATAGGTATGTCAGGTAAGGTAAGGTATAATAGAGGATAGTCGGGAGGTCTAGGTAAGCCCTATAACTACTATTTGCTTAAGAACCCCCAAAAAATAAAAAATATATCCCTTATGGGGGGTAATATAGGGATTATTATTTTTATTTTTTGGTGGGTTCTTAAGCAAATAGTAGATAACCCGAAAGCCTTTGCTCCAAGCCCGGGGTCCCCAACCCTGAGCCCTGAGCCCCACCCCTGTTCTCCCAAAGTCTGTTAGGGTTACTATATGAATTCTATAAGGGTACTATAACATAGGGGCCTTAATTACTGATTACAATGGGGTTTGGGGAAAATTATATTATGGCTATCATAAGGAACCCCGAAATAGTATCGGTAGTGTAAGGTTTCGAGTTTAGTGCTAAACCACATTCAGCCGTGGATCCCTGGACACCCACACAAATTAAAGAACGACCCTGACTTAGTTTCTTCAAAACCTTGTCATACCCTCTCGAAAAGCCCATGACATCCTTACCAAACCTAATCCCTAAACCCTAAACCCTAAACCCAAACTTGAAGCAGCAAAAACCCCCTGCACCGCTGCAGGCGGCCGCGGAGGCAGTGGACCCGGCAACTGCTGAGGCTTGAGGGATTCGGGGCTTTTCAGGCTTCTGGGTTTAGGGTTTAGGGTTTTTGGTTTAGGGTTTTTGGTTTCGGGTTTAGGGTTTAGGGTTTTTGGTTTAGAGTTTTTGGTTTAGGGTTTAGGGGGATTGGGATTCGGGGCTTTTCAGGTTTCTCTACACCACAGTATACCCCATACAGTTGGAAACCGGATTAAGGCCAAATAGTGCTGGGATTCCCTTCACATTACTCTTCAGGACTGAGGCTATTGGGTTTCTAACTTCTGGGCTTCTACTGTAAACCCGAATCCCTAAACCCCCAGGCTGAGCCTCTGCAGAAAAGGCCCATTGCACTTCAAAAAACAAAACTAGGATGCCCAGTAGTACCCTTATTCCCTTTTTGTAGTCCTAGGTTCCTTACAAAGTTGCCCAATACTCAAAAGAGAGGCCTTTTTATTCTTAGGTTACTGGGTATCCTAGAAAACGAAACCTCAACCCTACCGTCGGAGACCCCGAAGCGCCAGAGAACCTGCACCCTAAATCAACCCCACAACCTCCGTAAACCTGAAACCATCTGGGTGGTTGTCAGAATTAGGGTCCCTTTTTGGGTACCCTAAAGAGTAGGTGCCGTATTATATTAGGGACCCAGAAAGGGACCATAATTCTAACAACCACCTATATAAGATCTGAACCTAGAGCCCTTCACCCGGAAGCCCAATAAACCCAAACCTCACTTGGAGGGTCGGGGGACTTAGTAAGTAGGTAGTAAGTAGACTTATAAGTACCCTAAAAGGGACCCTAATTGGGGTTATGGTATTTATAAGTCCCTAAAATAACCCAGTTACTATAAGTCCCCCGACCCTCCAAGCAGTAGTCCCATAAAACTCCCTAAACCCTAAACCCTAAACCCTAACCCCATCCAACCTTGAGCCTCTCAAGCACCGCCTGGCCGCATTTACCCTCATAAAAATCCCTAAAGTATGAGAAACAGATAGTAAACCCTAGGGATCTAAGGACTCATATATTAAGGCTTTTGGGCCCAAAGACCATACTATATAAGGCTTTTGGGCTATCTTGATCCCTAGGGAAACTAGCACATATTTTTAACACCGTATATCACCCTCTAAAACCCTATATAGCCACCACCCTGTCAGCTCCCTTCCATGCGGACGGCAGCTGCGGGTGAAGCGCCGCCTTGGCTCTTACACCTTTGCTCCTGGGCTTAAGCGGGGCATCGGGTACTACCGGTTGTGATATCATCCAGGACCCTCCTTGTGCCCTCAAATAGGGGTATATGGCCCCAAATAACGGGCACTTAGGGTCTAATAGAGGGTAGATGGAGGGTCTGGGATTGCTACGATTGCTATGGTGATTGTCACAATTACGATGATTGTCATGCTTGTTACCACTCTCATTCTTTACTGTTGCTGCTATTAGTGGTGCTACATGTTCCTCCCCCTCTTCCTACTACTACTCTTACGTGTTCCTACTCCTAACCAACTAACTAACTAGCTAACTATCTAGCTAAGAACAACAACACCTACTACTACTTCTGATTATTATCTTTATCTTCAATACGATTCTCGTTGTTATTGTTATCCTCACTATGCTTGCCACAATTCTTATTGTGGTTGCTTTGTCGTTCAGATGTTTACGGCTATTGTGAATTGTGCTGTTAGCCCTGGTATCGTTGTTTTCAATGTTATTCTACATGCCTTTACTTGTGGGGGCGTAGGACGAAGCAGCGCACATGTGAGTGAGGGAGTTAGTAGGGTAGGTCCAACTCCTGGACGCATAACCCAAGCCCATAACCCAAGCCAAGTCCAGTCCTGCATGTACCCGTAAGGGGGTGATGGTTCAGGCAATGTGCGGGTTAGGGCCTCACAAAAGTTCAGGGTGTCACGGCCTGGTGTGATGATGGAAGGAGAACTTAGACCCCCAATGCCTAACCTTTAAACTTTTTGGGTTCTTATAGTTTAGTAGGAATCGGAAAGTTTAACCTTTCGTTTCTGTGGCTTATTGGCGTAGTAACATAAAGGAATCCGCGGACGCTTAGCATGCCAAACGCCTGTACCTACGCCCTATGGAAGCTCCAAGAAGACCATGGAACTGCACCTCTCACATCGAACCCGTGAGCATACCACAACAAAGCAGTAATGCAGCAACACGGAGAACATCATAGCAGCAAAGCGGCACAGCAGCAGCGACAACAACTACAACAACAATAGTAACAATAGCCACATCCACAACCACAACAGCAGCAGCAACAACACCACCACCAGCAGCAAAAACACCGGCAACAAACACGAGCACCAACAACAACACGACCGCCACCAACAACAATCGCAACAACCGTCACAAAAGCACCAGCAACAACAGCAACAGCAGCAGCAACCACAGCAACGACACCAGCAACCACAACCGAGACCGCAACCACAACCACAGCCACAGCCACAGCCAGCCACCACCACAACCAAAGCCGCAACCACAACGACGACAACGACAACATCAACAACAGCCACAGCCACAACCACAACCACAACAACAACAGCAACAGCAACAGCGTCACCAAGAACAAGCCAGAAGCAAACAAACAAACACACAAACCAACACTGCAACGTAATGCCTAAACATTAATGGCTGAGACTTAGACCCGAAAACCTCAACCACCAAACTTGAACCAATAACGCCCAACAACAAGAGTTGAAACCTAAACCGTGGACCCTTAACTCTTAGCAGCAAGACGAAACACAAACTCACACACCCCAGAGCCTAAACCCCAAACCTTAACCAACAACAACACCAACAAAAACAATAATGGGTCCCTGTTAAGAAACCTACTGTAAGTTACCATAATATGGGAACGGTATTATCTACTGTAGATCCGGCTTATGGTAAGTGTAACTGAACTCCTACAAACCGTAAAGCCCCGAACAGCAACAACAGCAAGAGCAAGTAGAATAGGAGTATTAAGTGCAGCCAACAGCTTGTCACATGACTTGCCATCGATTGCCATCATTGGTTTGCCGTGTCGCACTTTGTGAATTGGTGTGGCGTTTTCTGCCCTGAGGTCCTTGGGAGTTGGGAAAATGATGAATGGGAAGACACCCCCTCCTACAGCAGCAGCGTCATCGTGAATTTCATTCTATTCAACACAGTCGATAGTGGCCTCAAGTCCTACTGCAGGCCGATAGCGGGTCATCTTCTTCAAAACACTCGATCTGACAAGTCTCGCATGACCGGCGTTGTGCCGTGTGCTTGCCAGGGTTGAAGATGGAAGGTAGTATGGAAATGTAAATGACTTAACGAGAACAAAGAGTAACCCTCTAAACCCTCATCCCCAAATCCCTAAAATCTTCAAAAGCAAGAAACCTTAACCCGCCATTAAAAGCCCGTAAAGGAACCGAACCTTCAAAGGAACCCATAATACCTTAGAGGAACCCCTGAAGGAACCCTTAAAAACCCCAGCAGTGGAGTCGGTAACCTTTAGCCTTTTTTGCGTAGGATAGTCCCTATATAATCCCTATAGAACCAAAAAGGTTAACCTATAGTTTCCCATGATACCCTCAACCCTAAACCTCCATTTAAAACCCTTAAAGGACCCCTAGAACGAGCCCTTAAAGGAACCCTAAAACGAGGCTTTAAAGGACCCCTAAAACGAGGCCTTATAGGAACCCTGCCTAAAACGAGGCCTTAAAGGACCCCTAAAACGAGGCCTTAAAGGAGCCCCTTTCAAGAGGAAGAAGAAAATCGAGCCAAGGTCGCAACCTGGAGGCCTTGGATGCCGTGCTCTCGACCCTGGGCTCCCTCCAGGCTCTTAGGGACTTAAGACAGGACGTAATATAGAAGCCGAAATAATTACCAAGATCATTCCTTTTAGAGTTCCTTATGATAAGTATACCATAAAGGGGCCAAGCCCAATTCTAATTAGTTGGGCCTCTATATTCTACTGTCAGGCTTCATTATAGGGGGGGTTATAGGGACATCCCTACGTTATTGGGCTTCATTCTAAGGGGGCTGGTATGGGATATCCCTATCCTCGTTTTTGCTTATGTGCTTTTTTGGCTCCCTCCAGGCGGCGAGCTTAGCCGAGGAGGCCGGAGTCGTCGTAGGTTCACAAGGGTTGAGGGCTCTTGAAGGCTTTGCAGGGAGGGTTTAGGGTTTTTGGTACGGCGCATTGCAGTGTTCTTCACAGGCTTGTACTGTTCTTTAACACGGTCTAAAACTTGGGTTTCAGGGTTCGGATCGTCGCAGGGCTCTGAAAGGGACTTTCGTTAGCGGTGTTAAAGGTTTTGGGGTTTAGGGTCCGGTGAGGGCTCCTTTATGTTCAAACTCTTTAAGAGGGTTTAGGGCTTGCAGGGATCGAAGATTGGCGCCCACGAATCTCGGGTTTCTTTCAGGGCATGTAGAAGGGTTTGTATGAGTTTTTTGAAATAAGGCCCTTGCAGTAGCAGCGTATCTTGGCCCTAAGCCCTAAACCTTAAACCCCAGGGTATCTTGGCCCTATACCCTACACCCTAAACAACAGGGTATCTTGGCCCTAAGCCCTGACAGTGCAAGCCCGCTTCTGCAGGTCGACTTCCGAGGACCCTTTGCTGCTCAGGTGCCAAAAGAGTGGCGGCAGTGGGGACACTAGGTTGTGTCCTGCAGGCTACCATAATTGGTAGCGGAGCGCCTTTAGCGTTTTTTCCTTAGGCTAGGAGATAGCTTCAGTGCAAGCCCTTCCGCGATGGACGATCGCGGCTTCAAGAAGTTCGATGGCGAAGGAGATGATCCAGGAAAAGCACTGCGCAAGTGGAAAGCGTGGGCGTTAGCAAAAATGACGACCTTGAAGGACTTCCAGAAATCGCAGCGAGGACCGTGGCTTTTCACGCTGCTGGATGGGAAGGCCCTGGAAGCGTGTGAGCACTTGTCCTTAGACGAACTCACCAAGGAGAACGGCGACGAGACAGTCTGGAAGCTGCTGTCCGCCCGGTTCCCCGAGAAGGAGGCCCATGACCAGATGGGTGAAGCGCTAGGCGAGGTTTTCGGGCTGGCTGCCCGAGATGGAGAGTCAATGAAGGAGTGGACGGCACGGGTCTTGGAGACCTTCGAGAAATGCCGCAGGAAGGCCGCAGTGGACTTCCCCAAGGAAGCTAGAGGCTGGATCGCCTTGCATTGTGCCGGCCTGACAGAAGAACAGAAGGCGATCGTGAAGGCGAAGACGCAAGGGAGCTTGGACCTGGAGACGATTAGCGCGGGAATCCGTTCGTGCTTTCCCAGTCTGCGGGCGTCGAGCTCGAAGGCGAGGAAGCCTACCTCCGTCTTGATCGCCGAGGACGACCACGGTGTGATCGTCGAGCAGGAGGACCAGCACTTCAAGGACAATGCCGCTTTTGACGATGTCGAGGCGTTCCTGGCCGACTATGGGACCACCATCGATGAGGACCCATTGTCAGAGGCAGAAGCGGCAGAGGCCTTGGCGGTGTCTTGGAAAGAGAGGCGCCAGGAGATCAACAAGATGCAGAAGTCACGACAGTTCGGGGCAATGGATGCTTCTCGGAAGGCCTTCCGAATCGAAGTAGAAGAGCTCAAGCGACGCACTCGCTGCAGGAAGTGCGGTCGAATAGGCCACTGGGCCAGAGAGTGCAGAAGCAAACCACCGTCGACAGCCTCATCGTCAAAGCATGGCGTGTCAGAGGCCGCTTCTGGCAACAGAGGCGCCACCGAGACCATGATCGCCGAGGTGGTTGAGGGTCACCGCGACGAGATCCACTTTGTCGGGGCCGCTGAGGAGGCTTTGATGTCTGCGCTGGTCTCATCGCCAGGTTTCGGTGTCATCGACTCTGGTTGCGGAAAGACGCTCATCGGCGCAGACACCTTGGCCGAGATGGAGCTCCTCCTGGGAAATCGACAGGTGATCAAGGTCCCAGAAAGGAACAGCTTCCGCTTTGGCAACGGCGAGGCCGAAGATTCACTGATCATGGCCCAGATTCCGGTGGCCATCCAGGGCAAGACCGGAGTGATTCATGCGGCTGTGATCAGGGGCAAGGCCCCGCTGCTCCTCGGACGTCCCACGCTGGAGAAGCTCAAGATGACAGTGAACTTTGCTTCGGGTACGGTGACTATGTTGGGTGATCCTGATGTTATCCAGCTCGATCGGAACAGTGCCGGCCAGATGCTGATTAACTTGGTGCAGTTTCCCAGCGAGGCTCGGCAACGAAGCAAGGGCTCCGTGGTCTCTGAAGCTCTACCGGTGAGTCCCGCGACTCCCCAAGCCACAGACCCTGCTAAGACTCTAGGCCCTAAGACCTGTAGTTTCCAGGCCCTAAACCCAGAAAGCCGAGATGCTGAACCCAAGCCGTCTAAAATCCGAAAGCGTACTGTCAGGAAGCTGCTCACGCAGTGGAAGCAACGCTCTGCTGAGCAACGCGTGGAAGGCCAGCCGGCCTTTGCAGTCGCCGAGTTGTTTTCGTCTCCTCGGTTTAAGACGGTTGCGGAAAGTTGGGGTTTTAGAGGGCTGAGTTTTGATAAGGCTGAGGGTTGGGATCTTGCTGATAGGGACATTCAGGTAGAGGTTGACAAACTGCTTGAGCGTGCTCAGCCGCAACTGTTGGTAGTGTGCATTCCTTGTGGTCACTGGTGCGGGTGGCGCCAGTCGAATGCGTCTTACCTGACCCCTTGCGAGCGAGCTAGGATAGTGCAGCAAGCCCGCAAGCAAGCCGACTTTGCAGTTCAGCAGTGCCACAAGCAGTTGAAACGCGGAGGCCAACTGTTGTTTGAGCACTTGTGGTCGTCAGAGTTGTGGCGCTACCCTCCGGTAGCGGCGTTGTTACGCAAGTTCGGCCGAGAGCGTGTTGACATGTATACGCATGATTCACAACGCCCAGGAGATGATCGGCCCGCAAAAAGGGCCACCGGGCTGATCCTCAGCCATGCGTCTCTCACGGAGGCCTGCCGAAAGGGTTGTAAGGGTCATAAGGTTGACAACGATAGGCAGACTTCGGAGTTTGAGAGGGTCTTCTTAGGTAGTGTTTTAGGGTACGACCATAGAAGTGTAGATTGCCTGTGCACCTTCGCCCTAGAGGCGGAAGAGCCGGTGAGCCTTGAGGGCTTCGAGTGTCTGGCTGGCGAAGCGCCAGCAGGTAGCCACACTGCCGCAGAGCCTGCCCCAGCACAGGCGCCACCACGTGTCCCTACCGCTAAAGACTCTCCCTTAGACCCAATAGGCCAAGCCCTCAGGAAGTTGCACAACAATCTCGGCCATCCATCCTTAAACACCCTAATCAGAGTCCTAAAGAACAGTGGCGCTTCGGAGGAAGCAGTGCAGAGAGCCAAGGCGTTTTCATGCACCACATGCGAGGCGAATCGTCGCCCGGCAGATGCCATTCCAGCACGACCATCTGGAGCCCAGGGTTTTAACGAGAAGGTTGGGATGGACGTTAAGTATCTTCAGGGATGGCGCCCTGGCCAAAAGATACCTTGCCTTAACATCGTAGACTACGGGAGTTCGTATCAACAGATGGTCCCATTGCCTTCCCGTGACACCGGAGAGCTTATCCGAACCACGTATCGCACCCACTGGCTAGCCTGGGCTGGTGTGCCAGAAGAGGTTGTGCTTGACCCGTCTCAGCCTAACTTGTCAGACAGTTTGTGCCGGCCTTGTGAGGAAGAAGGGTCTAGGGTTCGACATACGGCTGCGGAAGCTCATTGGCAATTAGGAAAGGTTGAGCGCCACGGAGGTTTGTTTCAGGTTCTCTTCGTCAAAGTTCTGTCTGAAGTAGGTCCCACGTCGGAGGAGGAGTGGAAAGAGTGTGTCACGCAGACTCTGTGCGCCAAGAATAGCATGTTTAACGTTGGCGGTGTTAGTCCATGTCAGTTTGTTTTTGGTCGCAATCCACGCATTCCGGCAGATCTGCTTCAGGAACATCCCAGTTCAATTGCCTCCGATGCAACTCAAGCCGAGCCTGCGTTCGAAAGACAAAGTCGTGTTCGTTTGGCAGCTCGGCAGGCGATGATTGCAAGTCAAGACAGCAAAGCGCTTCGAGAGGCGTTGCGTGCAAGGCCACGCTTGCGCAAAGACTTTGAATCTGGTCAATGGGTGGCTTACTGGCGCACGCAGAAGTCAGTAAAAGGGCAAATTGTTCGAGCATGTCGGTGGTATGGGCCTGCCCTAGTTCTAGGAAAGGTTGGTCGCAACCTAATCGTTGCTCACCGGCGTTCACTCTTGCGGTGTGCTCCAGAACAGCTACGCCCAGCAACTGATGAGGAACGTCCAGATTCGCTTGAGTCCGACCCAGAGGCTCAGGAGCTCCTGGGTATGAAGCGGCTGCTTGATCAAGGGAAAATCCCACAAAGTCAGCTGACAGACATTACTAATCAGGAGTTTCCGCCTACCCCCGAAGAGTGCAGCACACCACTGCTTGATCAAGTGGACGCCAGCGTAGACCAGAACGCAGGTCTTACCGCAGCGCAGGTCTTAGAACAGCAGTCTACTGCCTCAACTGCCGGTCAGATGACATCCGCCAATCCCTATCCTCCAGTAGCTGCCCCACAGCACGAGCCAGCTCCAGCTTCTGCCCTTACCTTTGGTCCCGTTCGCACCCGCCTGCGGCAAAAGACTGCCGAACCAGTGCTCGTTAGGCCCGCGCAGGTGCAAGCAGAGGATTTGTCTGACATGCTGCGCGAGCTTCCGTTGAGCTCGGAAGCAGCAGTGCCGTCTGCAGGCTTGGACTCCGAGTCACCTAGGCTTTCTAGTCCTAGAGAGCCTGCCTTCAAGCGTATGGCTAGTTCCCCGCCAGACGCCCTGAGAACCATGTCTAGACAGGAGTCTGCGCCTGCTGAGGCTCTGTTTTGTCAGACGGCAATGAGCGCTTACCGCGAGCGAGTGCCACATGCCACAGAAGTCGAGGTTCTCCTAGCAGGTTTCCGACAGAAACAGATGCAGAAAGAAATCCCTGTGACCGGCAACCCCGAAGAACTTCAGGAGCAGGTAGAAGAGGCAAAAGCCACTGAGTGGTGCACCATGACTTCCAAGCCCGCAGTGAAAGTGTGGAGTGGAGCTGATGCTGCACGCATCCGCCGTGATTATCCAGACAGGTTTGTAGGGAGCAGGTTCGTGGTCACCAAGAAAGTAGATGAGGATGGTGAGCGTGTCAAGGCCAGATGGTGCCTTCAGGGGCACTTGGACCCAGATGTAATGGATAAGGTGTCTAGTGGCGCATGCCATTCGCCAACAATGTCTCAGCTCTCTCGCTCCCTGTTGCTGCAAATCCTCGTGTCAAAGCGCTGGCGTATGTGCCTAGGGGACATTAAGGGTGCATTTTTAGAGGCAGGTCCTTTGAAGGAGAGGTTTAGGCCCCTTTACGCCACACAGCCCAAGGGTGGAATCCCCGGTCTGGCAGAAAGCGATGTCATAGAAGTGACGGGCAACGTCTACGGCTTAAACGACGCCCCGTTCAGCTGGTGGGAGGCATTCGACAAGGAAGCACGACGGTTAGGTTTTAGCCGATCACAGTTTGATAACTGCGTGTATTTTTATAGATGCCCGAAGACCAATGAACTCACAGGCGTCCTAGGCGCGCACGTAGACGACAGTATCACAGGCGGGGAGGGGGAGGCCTACGAAGAAGCCATTCGCCAGTTGAAAGCACGCTTCCCTTATCGGAAGTGGCGTGTCGGTGCTGGAGAGTTTTGTGGAATAGTCTACAACCAAGACCCTGTCACCTTCGAGATTTCCTATCAGCAGCGAGAGTACACCCAGCATTTGCGACCTATCTCTTTGTCCAAGGATAGGGCTGCTCAGAAGGATTCTCCAGTCACTGCTCGTGAGCTTGCCTCCCTGCGTGCACTGAACGGTGCTACCAGTTGGCTCGCTAGCCAGAGCCGGCCTGACATTGCGGTGCAGGTTTCTATGTCCCAGCAGTGTTTTCCCAATCCGCAAGTCAAGGATCTGCTGTATGCGAATCAGATGGTTCATAGGGCGAGGCAGTTTCAGGATGTTGAGATTAGGGTTCGTAGCGTGGATCTTCAGAAGCTCTGCATCTGCATGCACAGTGACGCTGCATGGGCAAATGCCAAGCGAGAGCGCACGCAAGGAGGTTACACACTAGCGTTTTCCGAGACAGACCTCCTTGAGAATCGCCCTTCCGTGTGGAGTCCCTTTCATTGGAAGTCATACCGACTCCAGAGAGTTCCTTCCACACTCGGAGGCGAAGCTCAGGCGTTCTCAACAGCTTCTGCCGTCGCTGAGTGGATGGCTCTCCAAGTAGCTGAAGCGGTATCAGGCCCTGTAGACCTTAGGAATAGCGAGAAGTATTTCAAGCAGACTCCGATTGTTGGTGTGACAGACTGTAAAAGCCTTTACGACCACGTCACTAGCCTCTCATCTGTCACAGGGGTTCAGGACAAAAGGGTTAGTGTAGATATCGCCATAATCAAGCAAAGCATGGAGAGAGCGAGTCTCCAAATCAGGTGGTGTCCTACAGAGTTGATGGTATGTGACGCCCTCACAAAAGACAAAGCTGATCCCGCAGATCTTCTCCGTGCAGTCCTCGAGCTTGGGACGTACCAGCTTTCAAGTGAAGCTTCCGTCCTGAAAGCAAAAAAGGCCCAGCGCGAGAGACTCAAGTGCAGACCTCTGCCACCGAGTGGCCCCAGAGGCTTAGGACCAGGATACTAGGTAGTCTTGGCTGTTAGTGCTGTAGCACCCTTGGGGTTAGGGTTGCTTTTAGGACCTGACGTCTTTGTTGTACAGTCTTTCCTCGTGAGTATGCCCTGCAAGAGAGTGTTGCTATGTGCATGGGTCGCCCAGGGTCATCCTGTGCGTATGGGTGCCGACAGTGTCCCACCAGGTGCAGTGTCGAGCCAGCAACGCCCTCTAGTGTTCTTGCCTGTCGTCCCCTTTTCCGGCCATGGCGGCACGTTCAAGTGCAGACGTAGCGAAGTATGCCGAGTTTCGTGCCTGGCTGAAGCGTCTTGCCGATGCCAACCTCATCACCGTGCACCACCCCGAGCTTCTCGAGGGCACGATGGTGAGCAACATGTCGGACGCGTCTAAGCGCTCGAAGCCCGATAGCGATTTGGATCCTTTCGAGCTCTTGGAGATCTTCGGACACACCGAGGTTGACGTGCACTCCACTGACTTCACAGAGGTTTCCGCAGCAGCCCCTGGGAACAGAAAGCAGGTTGCGCAGGCCCTTCCTGAACCTGCAAAGCTTCCCAATGGCATCCGCAGTCTTCGCGACTGGGGTCGGACTCTCTGCACATTACCCAAGATCAAGAACGACAACCTTTGCTACCAAGAGATTCTTGAGAGTGATGCTGAGCACGTGAAGTCTTACCGTGTCTGGGTGCATGACAACGCCGGTACAAATCGTAGTTCGAAGGTAGATGATTTGGCTAATTTCCTCAAAGCCTCTGGCTGGATTCCAGGTGCCGAAGGTACCGCCTATCCGGGCACTAAGGAGGTTCGTCGGTTCAAGCAGTGAGTGAAGCTCACGGAGATCCAAGTCATCCCAGTTTTTAGAGTTTAGGGAGTGACAGTGCAAGCCCGCTTCTGCAGGTCGACTTCCGAGGACCCTTTGCTGCTCAGGTGCCAAAAGAGTGGCGGCAGTGGGGACACTAGGTTGTGTCCTGCAGGCTACCATAAGCCCTAAACCCTAAACCCCAGGGTATCTTGGCCCTAAACCCTAAACCTTTCCACAATGGCGGTCCAGATCGGAGTTCTCGGGGCATAGGGTGTAGGTTGCCGCAGCCTAGGTCCCAAAAGCCTTTTTAACAAACCATATCGAGGATCCCCACTTATGCGTTTCGATAGTCAGCTACTACAGGGGAACATGGTTTTGGGGCCCATTATACTATTTTTATAATAAGGAACCCCACAAATGGTATAGGTAATTATTTAGGCCCGTATACTACTCTCCTTAGCAACATGCCATCGCCCCAAGTGCGACCTTGGGTGGTCGTCAGGCTTTCGGGCTGACGCACGAATCACAAATTCCCCGCTCACACCACCTTCCTGAAGGACCAAACGACCCTCAACAGTAGGGGCCCTATACCCATATACTATGAAGCCATTTATGGTATATGAACCTTAAACCCTTTTAGGGTTCATTTCGTCCTTAAGGTTGTTCAGGCATTGGTATTTGGATATCTATGAGATAACCCTCGTTAATTAAGAGAGATGGTTTTCTTAGATCAGGGGTCGACATGAAGCTGCTGTTTCCTGATTTCGTCGGACAGGGTCACATAAACTAGGGATCTTCCAATAAGATTTAGGTTTTAGGTATCAGCATTCAAGGGTCCGGTTTGGGGTTTAACGGAGATCTAGTTGGGGAAATCCAATGCATACTGGGAATGTTCTAAAAAGTGCGCGGCTTGTGAAGTTCGCGGGCCCCCTTACCATGGGCATAGGCTCCTGAAACCGAAGTTTCCAGAGGTGCTCCCGAAGCTGGATAGCGTGTGGGACGTGCTGCTGCCAGACAGCACTTCAGGTCATGCCCAGAGACTCCAATATCCCTTAGTTAAGGAATATACCTTAAATCATCGTAGGATCCTTAATATGACTTAAGGTATATTCCTTAATAATTAAAGGATATTGGAGTCTCTGGGTGTGTAGAGTGTAGAGGTTTGGACTTGAGGGCGTGACACAGCAGGATTCGCTTCGGGGGTTGAAATTTGGCAATCATATGGGAGTTTCCGAAAATAAGGGGACCCTAATATAGTACCCTAAATAGTAGGATCCATATATATATATATATATATATAAGGACCCCAACACAAGGTACTCCTATGTCCGGAAACTCCCATATCGCTGTAGGCTTCTTAAGGTCATGTCGAGCATTGAATGTTTTGAGCTTAAGGTTTAGGTCTTCGGGGTTGTTGTTGGTGTAGGGGACTGAGATCGTTCTTGCAATCAAATCTGGGGATGATATAGGGCTATGGCACAACTCGTGCTGAACACAAGGTCAGCTTGTTTTCTGCTGACGGCCTTTCAGATGTTGAGTAGAGGTGCTCGACCCGAGAAGGAACTAAGACGACCATCCTCAGCTCACAGTCAATTACAGCTAGTACCAAAGATTGCACCGATTACAAGGAAGCGTGTTTGCGATACCGATCATAGCAGCAGCAGCGAGCAAGAACAACGGATACAGTTAACCTCACGAACAGCAACAAACAAGCCAGTTCCACAGCTACAGTATCCCAAATCGTACTATGGGGAGAGCTGCAGTGCTTCAACTCCTAGTCGAATCCCCAAACCTGAACCCGTGAAATGAATCCGTCAACTCTAAACCTCACCCAGAGCCACCCAAAACCCCATGGTCTTAAACTTAAACCATTCTAAACAACGTGAAGCCCTAAACCGAAATTCTACAAAACTCCGTCCTTGGCCCTTTCCCGCTTTGAAGGCCTGGGCCTAAACACGCATTAACCCCCAAGCAGCAAAAAGGCGCCGCCACGCCAAGACATCGCTGCTGAAACCGGTAGTGCCGGAGAGCCGAACTACGGTGCGCCCGGGAGGTTGTTCGGTGGTGGCCGGGATGTACCGTAGCAATTGTTCAACAGACATCTCAGAGAGTCTGAACAAGCTGTACAGGGCGTTATAATGCTTATTAGGTTCGAAACAGGACTGCACAGGGGTCAAATCATACATGTTTCAAACGGTTGAGCTTCGGGTTTGCGGCTGAGGGCTTGAGGACGTTGGCACAGGTTTGGTGCCGTGTTGGGTAAGGACCAGGGTTGTATTAGGTTCGGATTTAGGATGATTTAGGTGTTTTGTGCTTCGGCGCCGGGGCCCAACACACGGTCAAGCTTTTTGCAGAAGCTTACATTGCTTCTCCGAAGATATACCCCAGAATCCAAGTCTAATTATGAATGTCACGAAGGCGGGGCAAAAACCCTCTTGTAGAACCCGTTTAACTGGGCTTTCAAGTACCATACTTTAATACTTTTGTCTCTTAAAGGACCCCTTATGAAATAAAAGTCTATACTTTGTTCTCACTGGTTACCTAAAAGCCCAGTTAAGGGACCCTCCAAAGCTTCGAACGAGCCCGAAAATCCAACGAACCTAAGCCTTATGAACCCGTACAGAACCCTTCAGGGAATCCTTGTGTCCTTGTGGGACCTTATCTAAACGCTTGAAAGGTGCCCTAAACCAAAAGAATCCTAAACCTTAAACCCTTAAAGGAATCCTCAACCCTAACCCCTTAAAGGAATCCTGGACCCCAAACCCTGACAGAAATCCTAAACCCTAAGCCCTAAAAGGAATCCTGAACCCTAACCCCTTAAAGGAATCCTAAACCCTAAACCCTTCTCTACCCTAAGGCCCCATAGTAGTTCCTTTTTGGGATGACCTTATAGGATTCTAAATATGAACCCCCAAAAGGAACTATATACGATGGGGCCTCAGGGTAGCCAGAATGCATAAGTCCTAAACTCTAAACCCTTACAGTAGAAGCCAGAAAGTTGGAATATTATTATTTTCATAATCCCTTTAAAGTAAAATACAGGGGATCCTGCCATTATTCCATATTCCAACTTTCTAGAGTTCCCTTTAAAGGAATCCTAAACCCTAAACCCTTGTCTACTTGGAGGGTCGGGGGACTTAGCAAGTAGGTAGGAAGTAGACTTATAAGTACCCTAAAAGGGACCCTAATTGGGGTTATGGTACTTATAAGTCCCTAGAACAACCAGTTACTAAGTCCCCCTAAACCCTAAACCCTAAACCCCTACAGAATCCCTATAGATCCCTTTACAGGGGCCCTTAAGGAACCCCTTAAGGTTACTAAGTCCCCCGACCCTCCAAGTAACCTCTTCTTCAGACCCTCCGTGACGAGCGCCTGGCCGCTGGAGATGTGTCGCGCCCAGCGCCGCGGGCTGCCACGCCGGTGCTCTGCGAGGAGCTTTTTGCAAGGTTTCTATAAGGGTTTTAGAGGGTTTTGCAAGATTTCTACTGGGTTTTATAGGGTTTTGCAAGGTTTCTACTGGATTTTATAGGGTTTTGCAAGGTTTCTACTGGGGTTTTATAGGGTTTTGACAGCGTGTTGCTTGGGTTTCATACTGGAATACACTTTTTCTGTTACTACTACTGCTACTACTACTCCTGCTGCTGCTACTACTCGTGCTGCTGCTGCTGCTTCAATATTCATCCAGGTATATGGTGTTCCTTCTGCTTTTTGTTCGGGGTATCTTTGCACTTGGGCAAATCCGCACGGACCCTAAACCCGAAATCCTGCGGCCATACACCCTAGTTGCAACCTGAACTCTGATCCTTGTTATGACTTGCCTTAACAGATAAACTCACGTTTTGAAGGACTTTGTATAAGCAAATCATGATTCATGTAAGGAACCCTACGAAGGGTAAGTTTCATAGTGTTAAGGTATGAGTTGTGACCCAGGAACGAGTCCTGGCATGAAAAATAGGAACAGTTGCCTTGCGGCTTGGAGTTGGGGGGGCTCGAGGTATAGTGCTTAGGGCCTGCAGGGTTCAGGTTTCAGGCTTAAGGGTGAGTATAGGTGGATGAATTAGGGTTTTTCCTGGAAGCAGTGGGTTTTAAAAAGGTTTGAGCAAAGGGAATCCCAAAACATAGAATTTCTTTACACGAGCTCTTTTCTGAAGCCTCCTGAACAGCTTAAGGCACAGAAGGGTATGGAAAGACACGTTGGGCTTCGGGGTTACGAGATGACAAACTCCAACTTCAACTGCCAAGCGTTGTGTCACCTCCACGGTCTTAGTTAGAGCCAGCCCATCCGGAAAGTTTCAGAGTGCAGAGAAGGAAGCACTGCGGCTGCCGCTGCAGGCCGGCATACCGGCTGATTGCTCTGCATCTCAAGCATGGCAACCGCTGCTGCTGTTGCTGCTGCTGCTGGTGCTACCACGACTACGGCCACGACAGCAACGACATGCAACGACCACAACAGCAACTACTCCCCCTGCTGCTGCTGCTGCATTGGCTACTGCTGCTGCTGCTTCTGCTACTCAGTTCGTCCTCCTACTACTGCAGCTGCTGAAACTACTACTACCACTGCTGCTGCTGCTACTACTACTACTGCTACTCCTACTCCTACTACTACTACTACTACTACTACTACTACTACTACTACTATTACTACTACTACTACTACTACTACTACTACTACTACTACTACTACTACTACTACTACTACTACTACTACTCCTACTCCTACTCCTACTACTACCACTACCACTACTACCACTACTACCACTACTACCACTACTACCACTACTACCACTGCTGCCACTACTACCACTACTACCACTACTGCCACTACTACCACTACTACCACTACTACCACTACTACCACTACTACCACTACTACCACTACTACCACTACTACCACTACTACCACTACTACCACTACTACCACTACTACCACTACTACCACTACTACCTCTACTACCTCTACTACCTCTACCGCCTCTACCACTACTGCTACTGCTACTACTACTACTACTCCTCCTCTGCTGCTGCTTCTTCCATGTGCTTCTACTTTTAGCTGTGGATTTGCTGCTGCTTCATCCGGCAGTAGCTCGGCTGGTTCTAGGATGGTCACGACAAGTGCGACTGCGACGACGGTGCTGTTTGAGACGACGGGTAACGGTACTAGCAGTACACTATGCGCACAGACACACACACACACACACACACACGCACACACACACACAGACACACACACACACACACACACACATACACCTATCCACAAGCACGCCCCTGCATACAAGCTATTTTGTGCGACACAGCAGAAAAAAACAGACAACCATCGAGAACACATCAACAACAAGATAAATTTGACAGCAACAATAACAAGAAGAAAGCATACACAAGCCGAGTAATGACTAAACCCAGCCTGCAGATCTTGGCGCGATGCTCGGAAACTGGCCCCGAGGCACCAGCTTCTGCGCTGAGAACTGTGTTGTTTTCACTTTGTTTCCCTGACATGAGGTGTAGAGGCTGGGGCTTTAGGGCTTTTTGGGCTTTAGGGTGTAGTTATGTCAGTGGGGTTTGGGAGTGGGGTTTCAGGTTTGAGGTTGTCTTGAGTTTTTTTCGGTGTTGGGAGGTAGCGGGGTGGTCTTGTCGGTTTGAGTGTTTTTCCTCTTGTTCTACGGGTTCGGTTAGGGTGTAATGAGGCTTGAAAACGGTGGTTTATGGTGAGTGGTATTGGCTTTTCCAGGGCTTCATGCAGGCTTTTCTGGAGCTTTGTCGTGTTCGTTGGTTTGTGGTGACTTGGGGCTTTAGGGTTATGTGATATGTGGGGGATCTCAGCTACCAGCAGGGTTACTCGCTTTTGGGGGGGTGTTAAGGAGCCGGAAGGCTGACTCTTATATCCTCCTGGATTCCGCAACATACTTAAGCTACTCAAGCAACACGACAATGTACACCAAAGCTGTCTCATACTTGTCAAGGCCTCTGCAATAGTACTACTACTACTACTACTACTACTACTACTACTACTACTACTGCTGGTGGTTTGTAGTTTGTAGTTGTATTCTAGGCACGGCTTCAGCTTCGGTATTCGGGTTCGTGGTTGAGGGTGAGGGAGGCTCGAACACCAGCCCACACCGTAGTACTATCGGGGCTTCAATAACTACCTCGACTATCTTAGGTGGTTCCTTATCAAAAAGTTAATATAATGGGCCCCAAAACCGTATTCTAATTATTAAGGCCTCTATATTGCTCTCCACACAATCCCAACCCCAGAGACTGACTGTAGGTCCCTTGACAACCTGGGCAAGCAAGTAAGCAAGCAAACCCGAAGCCCTGAACCGCAAGACTCCCAGACCCCGAGACCTAAACTCTGCACTGCAGATTCTCGGCCTTAGGCCCCCAACCTTGGTACTAAAGGGAACCCCAGAAAGTTGGATTACGGATTAATGGCAGGATCCCCTATAATTTGCCTTAAAGGGGTTACGATAATGATGTTCCAACTTTCTGGCTTCTACTGTAGAGATGCCTGAATAAGTGTTAACATTATCCGCCCTCTCCTGCTTGGAGTCCTTGTGTAGTTCTACTGCAACATACGCGCTATCCCGATTCGAAGTAGGCCCTTGGCGCCCAAGAACTCTGGGACTTGGCAAACGGCGCCACTGAGCTGAATTGAAGGTGTTTTCCAGGGTTTCGGGTTTAGGGCTCGGGATTTATAGGATCCGTTAACCCTGCAACCCGAACCCTTACGGTCCAGGGTTTAGGAGGTTATGCAGGTATATGGGTCTTTGCAGGGAGGTTTATAGGCTGTTTCTAGAGATGTTACTTCTCTTTAAAGCAAGAGACAGCAGTATGCCTTAATTAAGGAACATACCTTAAATGATTTCAGGGATCTTACTGTAATTCAAGGTATATTCATTAATCAAAGGATATTGGAGTCTCTGGGAACTGTGTTTCTTGATAGGACTTTTGGTTCCCTTTGCCACGCCCGAGGCCTTGACAACAGCCCAACAACCCGAACAATGTTCAGCTTAATGGGGTCTGAAGAAGTACCAGCACTATTGTTTTGGGTTCCGTACCATAAAATAGCATAATACACACCCACAACCCCACACACACACACACCGTGTTCGAAGTATTCAGGCCCGATCCTGAACTCCTCAACCCCAGACCCTTAACTCCTCTATGCCGGAGTTTATTAGATCGGGTTTGGGATTTTTTTTTGTGCGTCGGGGACTGGGGATAGGGTTTAGGGCTTAGTGTGTAAGCGTGTAATTCAATCCGAGTGTAGATTTAACGGTCTACCGATAGGCTCCATAATAGTTCCTTTTTGGAGGTCATATTTAGAATTAGAATCCTATTATAAAGTAATCCCGAAGTCAAACTTTAGTAGTTCCTTTTTGGGGTTCATATGTAGAACCTATAAGGTAATCCCAAAAAGGAACTATGAGGCCGATATGGGTAGAGTCTAGTCCCATGGGCCCGTGCAGGTAAGTTCTTCTTCATCACCAGAGATGATCCCAGCTACAGGGTCAAACGGCATCGACCATCACGATCACGACGCTCTCAGCGCTCCAGGTATCAGCCCGTTCCGGCGGTTCCGAGGCCGGACGAAAGTAGGCTGGACTATGCGCGTCAATGCCTGCAAGAGGCTCTTGAGTATGCGAAGCGGGCTCAGCAAAAACATTCTGCGCATGTGGGAGCTGCCTCATGCAGCTCAGGTCAGCAGTCACAAGACTCCGGTCAAAACGCCCGGAAAAGCCCAGTCGAGAGGGGTCATCCCAGAGGGGGTGCTCAGCGAAGGACGCCCAAGGACGTCCCAACTGCTTCGGCAACAGGCATTTAGTGGTTTAGGGTTTAGGGCTAAGGTCACGGTTTAGGGTTTAGGGGTTAACCTCGTAACTTGCAAAAATAAAGTCACTGAGGGCCGCTGTGTTCGGGGTTTCCATCACTGCTGGAAGTGCTTCTGGACCCTAAACCCTAAACCCTAAACCTTCTCAGTGAAACCGCCCGACGGGACCGCCGAGTCGAGACTCCTACGCTCCTGTTACCAGTAGCAGAGGGGTTTACCCAGAGACTCCAATATCCCTTAATTAAGGAATATTCCTTAAATCATATTAGGGATCCTATCATAATTTAAGGTAAATTCCCTAATTAAGGGATATTGGAGTCTCTGGGTAGGGTTTTTTTGGGGCTTCGGTGCTTAGGGCTTAGGGTTTAGGGTAGCTTCGGCTCTGGGGCCTGGGTTTGTGTACCGAGTGCAGTCGTTTCCCTCTAACCATAGGTAAACCCTCTGAAAGCGTATGGGAGTTTCCGAAAATAGGGGACCCTAATGTAGTACCCTAAATAGTAGGATCCTTATTATAAGGACCCAAGATAAGGTATCCCCTAATTTTCGGAAACTCCCATAGAAGCCTGTAGATGCCTTGTAGAACCCACGTAATTTATGAAGCCCTTGCATACTCGACTCGACGCTACACCCCTGAAGCCCGTGTCTAAGATCATGAAATCCCTATGCCCTGAACCCAAGCCCTGAAACCGAAACCCAAACCGTAAACTCAAACCCCGAACCCAAGACCCTGCAACCTGAACCGTAAACCCTTAACCCACACCCTGAACCCTAGACCCTAAACCCTGAACCCTAAACCCAAACCCTGAACTATACTATCATATACTATAATATACTATAATATGCCATAACATACTATAACAGTATTCTAGTGTCAACCCTAAACCCACTTCCGAGGACCTTGGCTTGGTAGCCTGCAGTGCCGTAGCGGCCATGCGCGCGCCAGGTCGGCACTCGTTCCGGGGTTCCGGGTTGCGAACTCCATAGGGGGTCCAACAAAGGACCCCTTTTTCCGGGTTTAGGGTTTAGGGGTTTAGAGGTGGTGTCAAAATTAAGTCCCTTTTTGGGTCCTTAATATAATACGGCACCTAATATTTAGGGTACCCAGAAAGGGACCCTAATTGCGACAACCGCCCATAGAGGTTCCAACAAAGGTCCCCTTTTAGGGGTTTGGGGGTTTAGGGTTTAGGGTCCCCTTTACCAGGAAACCCCCCCCAATGGCCCTTAAATGGAGCCCTTATGGTCCTTAATAGTGGGTATTGGGTATGTTAGATGATGTTTGGGGGGTCTAGGCACAGGGTTCTTTTGCAGGGTTCCTGTTTGGGAGATTCTTAAGTAGTGCTTCAAGTTTGGGGCTGTTTTCGGGTTGACGGGGTAGAGTTCAAGATTTTAGGGATTCGGACATCTTGTTTTTGGGGGTCCCGTAAAGACTTTAAGAGTTGGTTTCCTAAACTGGGGTAACGAGGGATTGAGTCTTTGGCAATAATACCCTGTATAGCCCCCAAGTAAGTCGTCGATGTATAGTACATACATATATATATATATATATACACACATGCATACATACATACATGCATACATGCGGGAGATCCCTCCTATGCAAAGGATCCCGATGCCTTGAGTTTTACATTCAGGCCCCTCATTTTGGAACATTCCGAGGCATCCGGGGGTTTCCGGGATGGTGTAGGGTTCTTCAAATGAAGAACCCCTCTAAAGGGATTCGCACACGGCCCTGCAATAGAACCCTATAGAGCCCGTTGAGAACCCTTCGAAAAAACAATAAAGGAACCCGGACCCTAAACCCCAAACCCTAAACCCTGGAGGAATGAGGTTCTATAACGGGGTTCCCTTTGAAGGGGCTCTGAGTTACAAGGACTCCCCCTAAAGGAGCCGTTTCAAGTGGCCCTGAATTGCGGGCCGCAGGGCCCTAGGAATTATATGCTTCGGCAGGACTTCGTGCATCCGTGCGCTTGAAGAGAAGCCTCTGGCGGTCGCTGAAGGCGTGGCTTTTCAGGTGTCGGGTTTAAGGTTTAGAGGTTTAGGGGTGCAGGATTTAGGGATTTACGGTTTGAGGTTTCAGCTTTAGTTTTTAGGGTTTAGATTTAGGGTTCGGGGCCTGTGTTCAGGGTTGTTATGACGTTTCTACAGGGGGGGGGGGGGTTGCAGCTTTCGTGGGTCGTGTAGGGCTTTAGAGAGGTTTCAGGGCTTTCATGGGTTTTGGTGTGATTTTGGTCAAGTCTTAGCAGGTTTTCAGCAGGGTTTTAGTAGATCTTGTGTGCAGTGTTGTTTCTGTTGCGGTGATGATTTGCATGAGCCTGTACGGGATTCGTAGGGCTTCTAGTTATGCAGGGTTTAGGGCTTTTTTAGAAGTTAAGTATTGGGTTAAAGGCACAAAAGCCCTGCGCAGCCCAATACTCCAGACAGCATAGAGGAGGCCTTCATATAAGATCAAGTAACCCTAAGGGTCCAAGCACCTGATAATCACAGCCCCCTTCGCAACAAAACGCACCTACATAACCGCCAACCTAACACCGGTACCTGATCTCTGTGTCCTTAGGGTAAGCTCTTGGATGAGCAGTGATTGGGCTTTCCGGAGCTTCATATACCTTCGGTTCGGGTTTGCAGCTTCGTAACGGCTTGTGGCCGGGTTTTTTGAAGCTTAGGCACTTTTGGGTTCAAGGTTACCTTACATAGAGCTATGCTGTAAACGCACTAAGCCTGTACCCCAAAAAGGCCCTTGCAACGACGAGGCCGACACCCCCTTGTGCTAAAAGCTCTAAGTTCTGAAGCCCTGGGGGCCCAAAAGCATAGAGCCCTAAACCCAGAAAACTGGGAGTTTTTGACCGTTTGAGACGAACTTCGGCTTTGGCATGCAATCAGTGCAAGGGTCGTAGCCCCTTCCAAAGGACGATCTTGGGTGCAGCTCTGAGCTACGTACAGCTTTTTCTCCCATGCGGAACCAGATGACCTTCTGATATTCCCGCAGCTGAATTAGATGCAAGATGAGCGTGATGATGTCCGAAATGTACTCCTGAGATTTGAATTAAGTGCATGTTGGCGTGATGACTTTCGAGATATTCCAGAATTGGAATTAGGTGCATGCTGCCGTGACGACTTCCAAGATATTCTACATTGAAACACGGTGCTGTTGAGAATCTTCCACACCGTGCTATGCATGCAGGGCCAACCTGCATGATCCCCATTGCATGGCCAACCTGAGATGGTTGGGGTTCGGCTGTGTCGCACTTTTCTCTCCTGCAAGTGAGTGTGTGCGGATGGCCGAATTACGCCTTCTCTGAAGAAGGGATTCCCTCTGTCCGCAGTCGGAAAAAGGCGTTCAAAAAAAAAAATCCCAGAAAATCCCCTAAGGGCCCTGAACTCCTGTAGCTTAAAATCCCAAACCCGGAACCTATAATGTAGGGGCTTTAATAATTAGAATAGGTTTTGGGGGCCCATTATAGTAGTTTAATAAGGAACCCCCAGAAATTGTATCGGTAATTCTAGTAGTGCTGAAACACAAAAAACGACTTGAGACAACTTCTCAGAGAGCCTGATAGTGAAAAGTGAGGCACAAACATCTTCTTCTGATCTCCTGACTCCGTATTCTTTGGATTCAAGTTTGGTCGTTTTTTTCGATACAGTTTTGTCTTCATTTTCACAATGCCACTTTTCTCCGATCGATCTCAGTTCGCATCTGTGCCACACTCAATTTGGACACACATTGGATGTGGTTTAATCTGATGGCCGGCTGTGTTTCCAGCATGGCACAGTATCATGTTGAACTCAAAGATGATACAATTCTTGGCATGCTCTGCAATGTAGAAGACTGTTGGACAGAAGGGTTTGCTTTTGAATACTCAGGAGGCCCCTTCTAGAAGGCTACGGAAAGCGCTAGGTTTCGTAGACCCAAATCCGGTGCCGTCGCAGCCACAAGAAATCATGTATTTCCATTTGCAGACACTTGCATTTGCAGTGTTTTGCATATGGGCTTTTGCATTTGCTAATTTCCGCGCGGATCTTTTGCTCTCTTTTGCAATGTAACTTGACCGCATTTGCTAGTTTTTGCACGGGAGATTAGGTCCTTTTTGAGTTGCAAATGCTGCCTGTAGCGTTTGCCCTCAAAGCTTTGTTTGCGCTGCCTTTTCTCGAAAGCGCCGTGACCTCAGACTTTTGTCGGCGAATGTTCTGACGCCTTATGTGAAGTCTCACGTCTTATAAAGCCTTGAGGCCTTTGTTTCCGCCGGCCGAAGTCGCAGAAAGAATGGCGCGGAAGTTCAGTGTCGCAGAAATTGCCGAGATCTTCGAGGTCAGACGGTGTTCCTGAGCTCCGATTAATTGTGCGACTTTGCTTCTGCTCAGAAGCTTCCAGTGCCCACAAGAGTTGCAGTGGGCCAGAAGCTACGCCCAGGCCTCGGTGAAGCAATCCTGCTGGATGTTCGATGCTTTGGCGGCCATTTTTGTGTACAGCAAAACCATTGAGAAAGACCTGGCGCCGCAGGCGCTCCTGTTCTTCGCGAAACGAGATTGAGGTCAGATGTTTTGATTCTGACTGAGGCCTTTTTTTTTGCGGTCGTGCCGCCATTGGACGTATTCAGAGCGATGTGCACATCGCTAAAGCAACGGAAAAGAAGTGGAAGACAAGGTGCAGAGCTCAATCAAAGCCTGCGCATTGGAGGGAGGAAGGCACCTTTCAGCAGTTATGAGCCGAGAAATTGCCTTTATACATACATACATACATAACAACATGCAGGCTTTAGATTTCCACATGCATAAACTTCTTAAGCATGCACGGCTTACAAACAGGACACGGGAAGTTCGAGAGACGCAGATCTCCATAATGTCCATCGTGAGACGGGCTCATCCCCAAACGCAAGCATGCACGGCGAAAAAACTGGCGGAGGTTGGAGGGGGCGCAGCACCCGTCAAAGTTCCTGATTCGAACTGTCTAGTTTTGCAGTCTCTTTGCTTCCTTTCCTTTTTTAGATCTTTTTCTCCTCAACCTTTGCATGGCTGGTTCCTTCGGCCCCTACATGGTTCACGGACATATGTCGGTCAGAAAAGCGAGTCGAACGAGCCTGGAAGCCCTCATATTACCGTAAACTCCAACCCTTTAACGCCCGAGAGCTGAAAGCCCCACTGCAGAGGAGGCTTCAAAAGCAGGATGAAACTAGGCAGGATTCACGATCCTTTACATTAATATAGGGACTCTTATTTAGATTTAGGATTACCCCACTCCCTTATATTATATAGGGACTCGTACTTACTTAGGATTACCCCACCGACTTACCCTAAACCCCTTGACCTTAAACCCCTGAACCCTAAACGCCTAAACCCCTGAACCCGAAACCCCTGAACCCTAAACCCCTAAACCCTTGAACCCTAAACCCCTAAACTTTACCTTCACCCTACCCCTTGAGCCCTTTGAACTGCCGAGGAGTTGGCCAGTAGCCATTATTTCTCAAGCAGCCTTTCCGTCTCCAAGGCGCGGAGATGGCTCCTGCAGGGGTTCAGGGTTCAGGGGTTTAGGGTTTATAGGGGTTAAGTTTAGGGTTCAGGGGTTTTGGTATAGGATTTTGGGATTTTTTGGGTTTAGAGCTTAGGGTTCTTTTGTAATGGTTTGTTATGGTTTAAGGGTTACGATAAGGAGTTCCATGAGGATGCGGGTTTCGGTAAGGGTTGCAGGTTCATGTGGTGTGCCTTGGGCACGGGCCCAACTCAATAATAGTTGAATAATATTCATAATATAGATACATTGGAACCTTAATAGTAGCCCCACTATAGACTCTTACTGTAGGGGGGCAGTACCTGAGGTGTGCCTGGTTCGCTTTTGTTCGAGTTTGCTTGGGCTTGGGCGGTCATGCTTCTGTCAGGGTTCTACAATCTACGTTTTAACGAAGAAATCTAGTACCTATGTATACATGAGTCAAGGTATGTATTAACTAACTACAGGATTTTGGAAGGTTTGGGGTGAAAGGGTTCATGCCTTCAACCAAGACTTTTGCTGCTCTTGGTTTCGGGCTGATGTGGCTAGTGCCGGAGACCCGAGCGTCTTTGCACAGACAGAAACCAGTTACTGCTAGCATCCAACTCGGTTTAGGGGTTTAGGGTTTACAGAGTTTAGGGTTTCGGGTTTGGGGATGTTGTCTGGGTTTTCCGAGGCAGCAGCAGCAGGAGGAGGAGGAGGAGGAACTGTAGAGGAGTCGTTAACCTTTAACCTCGTTGAGGTCCTAGAATCTGTACTAGAGGGGCTTTAATAATTACCTATATATGTATATATATATATATATATATATATGTATATATATATATATATACATATATATATATATACCCATCAGTTTAGGAGTTCCTCATAATAAATATAGTATAGCGGGCCCCCAGACCCTATTCTAATTATTCAGGCCCCTATACTCTAGTACCCTTATATAGTAACCCTTATAGACCTCTTTCAAAGGCGGACCCGATTCTAATTCTCCAGAGGGTCCAAAGCACCTACATGGTAGAATGTAGGGTTGCTATACTAGGAATGACTACTATGATTTGGGCCAGTTACCTTCATATAGGTGCTTAGGACATTTGGGGCTCCTTGAGATCATAGTAGAATGTAGGGTTTCTACATTAGGAATTACTACTCCCCCATACCTAGGACCCTTTGGGGTGAGAGCCTTGCGCCTCGATCACCGGGTCATTTGAATGTATCCTGGCCATCATAATAGCCCAATAGCCTTCATAATTCTGACCTGCAGGCCCCTAGTGCTGCCATTGAGGCTTACAATGACTAACAACGAAACCCTAGGGATCAAAATGGCTCAATGGCCTTCGTATAGTATGGTCTTTGGCCCCAAAAGCCTTAATATGTGAGCCCGTAGATCCCTGTAGGGGTACATGAACGATTCAGTCGTCGGGAGTGTATGGTTCTTGGTTGCTCGAGCCTCTCGCGCGAAGGTTTGCGACTAGTAGCCAAAGCCCAGAGGGATACGCACAGGGCCCTTTGAGGCAGAAGGGTTTTGGATTCACATGTAGCCCCCCTAAACAACCATATAGCCGTGACAACCGATCGCAAGCAAGCCAAAAACCCTACTGGATCATCCTCCCTCAAACCTATCTACTTGACGAAACCCTATCACTATCCTTAGATCTCTGAGTCAAGTTGGGTCCGAATGCCACGTTACAGTTTCAGCCTCCTAAAGTTTCGAATTCCCAAACCCTCGTTCCAACCAGCCAGTCCCCGATACCAGCCAGCCCGAACCCTCAAACAGCCTAAACTGCAACCCCTGAAGCCCTAAATCAACAAAAAAAATCCTAAAGCATCCGAATCCCTTAAATACCATACCCCCTCTTACCCTACCCTACCCTACCCTACCTACCCCTACCCTACCTACCCCTGCCCTACCCTATCCCCTCTCCAAACGACAGGAGAAGAGCTCCGAGATGAGTTTAGGGGACCCCCTGGCGAGGGTTGGCTTCTTTTAAGGGTTCCTTTAAGAGTTCTACCCTTCAAGAACCCTTAAAAGGGTTCCTTTAAGGGCTCTACCCTTCAAGGGTTTCTTTAAAGGTTCTACCCTTAAAATGCTTCTTCAAGGGTTCTACCCTTAAGCGGTTTCTTGAAGGGTTCACCCTTATAGGGCTCCGAGGGTTTACTGTGGGGGCCGGAATAATTGGAATTGGGTGTGGGCCTTGGTGTTTCGGATTGTTGTTTCTAGGCTTTTCGGAGTTGTGGCAGTGCGGGGTAAAAGGTTTCGGCTGGATGGGTTCTGGCTTTACGGGTTTAGGGTGGAGAACTTCTAAACCCTTAAAGTCCTGAACCTCAAAGGACTCTCTAAAAAGGAACCCTAGAGCCCTATAAGCGCTAGGCCTTAAAGGAATCCTAAATCTGAAAGAAAAAATTGACTCCTGCACAGAAATCCCAATACTTAATTCTAAAGAAGAAGATTTGAAAGGGCCCTTAAGCCCCTTAAAGTAACCCCTATAGAACCCTTTTGAAGGAAGCCAAAGCCCTTTTAAGGAAGCTTAAACCCGAACAAAGCCTGTAAATTCAGGAGCCCTAAACCCTAAACCCCGAAGCTCTCAACCTTGCACCCCCTAAACTCTAAAACCTTAAGCCGTAAACCCCAAAATTCGATACCTTTGTAGGCAGCCCTAAACCCTAAGCCTTAAACTTAAACCTTAAACCCGAAAATGAACGCCCTTTGTAACATGAGAGAGAGGACCTGGTGTCCGAACACCCACCCTTTGCACATGCCATGGCTTCCTGCCTAATACAGGCCGGCCTTTTTTTTTTGGGGGGGGGGGGGGGGGGCGGTTAAGGTTTAGGGCTTGGTTAAATTAGAGAGCAACAAACGGGATCGCCATGGAGTCTACAATTCATTTGGGCTTGGTTTTGGGATGTCGGGGGTTACTTTCGCTTCTTCAAAAGGTTTACAGCATTTCGGACCGGTGTGAGCGCTGAGGCTGCAGAGGTTGAAATCAGGTCAAAGTTGAGCGGTTAGGTGTCAGGCCATGGCCTCCGGGACTTAGCGGGTTGTTTGTTGCAATGCTTTTAAGGGGAAGCGGGGTCTGTGGCCCAACAGCTGGGATATAAAAACCATTTCGAATTTTATAATTACGACAAGCCGCTTGCGACACGTGACCTCGTCATCGCCGTCTACGCCGTCCATCGGCATCATCATCCTTATAATCGTCAGAACTATCATCATCAAAAGCAGCACCAGTTTTTTCATACACGTCATCAGCGACATTACCATCCTGAATCAGGTTCCTACACTAGTCTTGCAAACCCTAAACCTTAAACCGTGTAACTATGGAAGGGGTTACACATCACAAGCCCAGGCCCCGGCGCCCGCAGTTAAGCCGACTCTGAAGCAAGCCGAGGCCCTACTATAGGGGCCTAAATGATTACCTAGACTATTGTGGGGGTTCCTTTAAAGGGGTCTACAAGGGCCACTATAAGGGCTACTATAAGGATTCACGATGAAGGCCCAAATAATTACGCATACTATTGTGGCGGCTCCTTATTATAATTGTGGTATAATGGGCCCCAAAACCCTCGTCTAATTTTTCAGGCCCCTATATTACTTCCCAGTTTGGGGTCCTCCAAGAGCTGTATTATAGGTTGACCGAGAGCAAGCTCTGCGCAGGTAGCTGCAGGACTCCGAAGACGGGGTTCTTGTTGCGGAACTTAAAGTAAGTTACCATAATACGGAAACCATCCTGTATACCATGAATTTCTTTTATGGCTACTGAAGCTAGGCTCCTAAACCCGAAAGCCTTTACACTCCTGTATCCGACACCCTATACCCTTCATACTCCTAAACCCTAAACCCTCTACGGCACTCTGAGGACAACGGCTTCCCGCAACACGAGGGAGTTTCCGAAAATTGGGGGTGCCTTCTTGGGGTCCTTATAATAAGCCGCCTCCCGGCGAGGCGGATGCCCTGGAGGTTTGCTGTGACGCTGCAGGGAGCACTGCAGAGGCGCGGGTTGCTTTTCCCAAAGGGTCCTAACGGTTGAGGATATAAATCCTGCATTACCTTAAGGACCCTAAACTATGGGAATTAAGGTATATTCCTTGTTATGGGTCATGCAGGATGTATATCATCAACCGTAAGTACTGTTACGGGGGATACTTCCCCAAGTCATAGTACTAATTCCTAACATAGAAGCCCTACATTCTACTATATAGGTACTTTGGACCCTTTGGGTTTTGCTGTGTGCCCAGCGAGTTTACGGGTTAAGGGTGTAGTAGATCTTGCATGTCTTTTGCTGTGTACCAAACGGGTTTAGGGTTTAGGGGTATAGTTGATATTTTGGACCCAAAGGTACCCTAAACCCTAAACCCTAAATTGGTATTTAGACCCTTTGGGATACCTAGCCCGGAAGAACCTTGGGTTGCTTACTTGGTCACCGTAGTCTCTAGGTTTGGGATCGTAGCCAAAACACAAATTTAGGGTTTAGGGTTTAGGGTTTCGGGTTTAGGGTTTAGGGTGCGCCGATGAGGGTACTGCACTTATTAAAATTCAGGCTCCAGGGAGCTTACAGTTTGCAATTTAAGGCTTAGCTGGGCTGTGCATGGCTGTCAGGGTGTCCACAGGATTCAGCATTAACTCGGGCTCTACGACCCGCACCCCTAGTTACAGCACTAAATCCGTAAACAGCCCCTAAGGCGTGAACGGTCGCTGACATACCCAAGACATACCCCCAAACCATATTCTCATTTCTGAAGCCACTGAATAAACAAAGGGCGGCAAATCCCTTCGAAACCTTTCTGGAGTTCATGAAACCTCTTTAAAGGAAGCTTTTTCCAAGCCGCGTTGCCCCTGTATTGTTTATCGGGTTTCGGAGTGAGTCTGTGGGAAGGCGGAAGATCGGCTGATGGCTGTCTCGGCCTGCATGGAGCTTCTTCACAGCCTGGGTCTTAAGTCCGACACGCAGGGTTCAGCATGAAGGATTCAAGGAGCAGCAATATGGCTTAACATGCATGGTTTATCGGGTGTTAGATATTGGGAAGTGGGGATGTTATTGGGTTCAAGGGGTGTGTGATTTCAACGAGTTAGTGATGTGCGGACCGCGGTTTAGTGGTGTATGGATGCATGGATTGGGGGTCTTGGTTGCAACTGCTGTTCTGAATGCAGATGTCTGAACAGTAGTAGTAGCATCCTTCCAGGCAATGCCGCTAAGACCCTAAACCCTAAACTTAATCCTCAAACCCTACAGCTAAACCCTCGTCACACACTGAAACTGGCCCTAAACCCTCATACCCCTGAAGCTCACCCTAAACCCTCACAGCCTGAAGCTAACCCGTGAGGCTAACTGAACCCTCATACCACTGAAACTAACCCTAAACCCTCACAGCCTGAAGCTTACCCGAAACCCTGGACCCTCCACTCTAATTAAAGCTCCCAAACCCTACACCCAGAAACCCAAACAGTACACCTTAACCCCTCAAGACACCCTAATCCGTAGACCCTAATCTGTGCTGCGAGGGATCCTATAATACCCCAAAAACCGAAGCTCCCCCGAACCGCAAACCCTAGCCCCTCATTACACCCTAATCCCTAAACCCTAAACCCAATCAAACCCTCCCAAAATCCCTAAGCCGTGGCTAAACCCAAACCCTTAATCCCTAAACCTTAAAACCCTTAAACCCTAGACCCTAAAATTTTTGACCCCTAAACCCTACAGATCCCTTCTGGATCCCTTTAAAGGAACCCTGATCGATGCTGTAAACTCATTTTTTCAACTCTTGGGGTTTTTATACGGTAGTCGATTCTGACAGTTTCAACTCTTATTTCCTCGGGTTTTCGGCCAGTGGGTAAAGGACCCCTTAAACCCTACAGATCCCTTATGGATCCTCTTAAAGGAACCCCCTATTATAGATCCCTTTAGAAGGAGCCCTTAGACCCACAGTTAGAGCCTCCAAAACCCCTTAAGTAAGGAATATGCCTTAAAATTATAATAGGATCCCTAATATGATTTAAGGTATATTCCTTAATTAAGGGATACTCGAATCCCCTAAACCCTCAACCCTATAGATCCCTTTAAGGATCCCTTTAAAGGAACCCTTAGGGGTATATTTGTCTTAATTAAGGGACATTGGAATCCCTTAAACCCTAAACCCCATAGATCCCAAATAGGAGCCCTTGCAAGAACCTCTATAGATCCCTTAAAGGAACCCCTAAGGATCCCTTTAAAGGAACTCTTAGGGGTATATCCCTTAATTAAGGGGTTTTGGAGGCTTTGGGTCCCTACCCAGAGGCTCCAACGTAGTTCCTTTTTAGGGTTACCTTGTAGGATTCTAAATACGAACCCTAAGAATCTAAGCCATTTACAGGTGGGTAGTTATTAGGTGGGTAGTTTCACATAAGCCTCCCATACCACTCCTATAAGGTAAAGGGGGTCTTATGGGAGTACTATGGAAGAAGAACTCCCCACCTGTAAGGGGCTTCTATAAGAAGGAACTACTATGCCGAGGCCTCTGCGCCGGCCCCAACTCCTGGGGCGCCTCGAAGCTCCTGGGTCGTCGCGCTTGGCTCAGTGGGGGGTTTTTAGGAGTTTAAGGTTGTAGGGTTTTATAGGGGTTTAGGGGTTTAGGGGTTTAGGGGTTTGGGGGTTTAGGGTTTAGGGTTTGGGGTTTAGGGGTTTTGGGGCCTCGGGGTTTAGGGTGTTGGGGTTTAGGGGTTTTGGGGCCTCGGGGTGGTAGGGTTTTGTAGGGTTTTAGGGGTTTCGGGGCCTCGGGGGGTAGGGTTTTGGGGTTTAGGGGTTTAGAGTTTAGGGTTTTATAGGGTTTTAGCGGTTTAGGGGTTTAGGGGTTTTAAGGGTTTAGGGTCGGCGTGCGCGGCTCAGCGATCTGAGAGTTTTCGGAAATTAGGGGTACCCTGGGGGTTCCTTGAAGGTTACTATAAGGGTACTATAAGGGCTCCTTTAACGGGTTTTAAAAGGGTTTAGAGATTCCGGAAATTAGGGGGTAGGGGTTTAGGGTTTAGGATTTTAGGGTTTAGGGTTCAGGGTTCTAGGGTTTATAGGGGTTTTAGGGTTCGATCTGCTTCCGAAAATGGTAAATATAGGGTTCCTTTAAAGGGGTACCTCAAAAGGGTTCGTTGTTAAAGGGTCCTTTAAGGGCTACTATAAGGGTACCATGAGAAAGGGGCTTACCAATTCCAGTTCGGGGGTTCCTTCTTATTGTAGACAAAGTAGAATAGGTTCCGAAAGTGCTTCTTTTGAATGTTTTACAGGGCTTAGGGTTTCCTAGGGTTTGGGGTTCTTTGCGGTTTAGGGTTTTGTAGCGTTTGGGTTTATTGGGTGAGCATTTGTTGGGTTTGCCCTTTGTTAGGGTTTAGGGTTTTAGGGTTTAGGGCTTTGCAATACAGGGATTAGGTTTGTTTGTTTTATGTTTAGTGTTTTTTAGGGTTTAAAGTTTTGTCCAGGGTTTTGGGGTTTGGCTTTGTTGGGGTTTAGGGTTGGGGCGTATGTGTTGTAAATTGTTTACGCGGTGTGGCTGTGTTGTTAGGGGTTAGGGTTTCAGGCATATTGCTTCTATCGTTGTTGATATTGCTATTACTGGCGCCATTGCTATTATCAAGTATAAGCAAATACGAGTCGACCTTGTCTTACCCAGACTAGTATACTACTAGTATTGATAGTAATGCTAGTATCTACGGTCATTAGTGTTGGCTATCTTGCATTTGGTTTGGACATCGGAGAGCTTGGTAGTTTCTTGTCGGGTTATCATGTGCTGGATAGCGTTGTCGAACTGCATGTATGGTTTCCCTGTGATGGGGTTTCACGTCTTTTCTGTGTTTAAGTGCAGCTCAAAATGTGATTTACTGTGTTCCATCTGTGCTGTTGCACAGCTTCACCTGGTGGGATAGAGTTGTTCAGTGCTTGGTGTTGATGCTGACGGGTTCCGGGCTTCAGCATTCGAATTTGAAGTTTAGGGTTTTAGGGCGTTCTTTTCGAAGCTAAGGCTCCAGGGTTTACGGCTAAGGTCAGCCTGGAATGACAGGACTTACTTGCTAAGGTCGCTTGATTAACCCCCCCCCCCCCCCCCCGCCCCCCCTGAAGCTCTTAGCCGAAGGCATCACCGTGCTGTGGCCGCGATTTGGCTACCGCGTTCTCGCGCCCATCCCAGTGGAGCTTTGCCGAGTTGCGGGGTTTGCAATCTCCCAGGTCCCCTGACCGTTAACTACCTTTCACTCTAGCCTACACTCATTCAAGACCACGAAGCCTCCAATAAGGGGTGCCGGTGGGGTTTAGCAGGCTTCAGGATCTTTGGGGTGTGTAAGGTTTCAGGAACCTTAACTTACTTACAATCAAAGCCCTAAACCCTAAACCCTTACCCTGTAGGCTTGATTACTTACAATCAAAGCCCTAAACCCTAAACCCTGTAGGGTTTAATCACGTACAGAATCAAAGCTACACCCCAACTTCAGCCCGAAAGTCCGAACCTTCCCAGACCCCCGGGAGGATCTAGAAAGTAGATCCCCTAATTTGGGGCCCTGTACTAAGGGTACTTTAAAGGAACCTCCATTAAGGGATCTACTTTTTGGATCCTCCCGGGTCTGGGTTCTCAGTCCTAAACCCAACGTTTAGCAACTCTTGACCACAAGATCTTCTGGCCAGGTTCCGAGGATTGCAGGGATTTGGGGGTATCCCTGCTTGCTGGTGTTTGTTTTTGTTGAGGGTTAGGCCTCTGGATACTCCCAACAGCTCGAAGTTCTACGAAGATACTATACGAGTTCTGCAAGGGTTGTTTCCTTTTCCACGGCTTCAACATGTACTGTGTTCGGCTTGATGTTCTACATACCCTATAGACCCTCAAGCTGACCTGATGGGGCTTCTACACGCTTGGGCATTCTGTTGTTTATGCAAGTCTCTTGATCTTGACACGGCCTTGGGGCTCGCAGACGCTAGATCCTAAAGGTTTAGGGTTGAGGGGTGAGCAACCCATAGTCTTCATCAGAATCCGAAGTTGCTATGGCAGGAAAAGCCTTTCCCACGGTGGTATTGACTTTCCGATGGCTTTGCGAAGCAATCTCAAGGCCTTCAGGCCCGAAAGCCCTTAAGCCCTGCAGCCCCTCAAGCCCTAAATCGTGAAACCTGAAACCACCAACACCGGAGACCGTAAATCCTGACCCCGAAGCCCAAAGCGATTTTAGGCCAGAATAAAACTCAGTCTACAACCAACGGTCCTCTGAAAACTTATTAGTGCAAATCCGTAACACCCATGGTAAACCCCCTGCTAAAACACCATAAGACCCCAATAAATTCTTGTTAATACCCCTTGCTAAAGCCCGATGTGAGCCCAGCAAAAGCTCTGCAGTTCCTTCCGGTCTTTCGAACTCTAAGGCGCACCTGAGTACACTGTCTCAGGGGTAGGGTTTGTAGAATGCAGGTGTCGATTACTACTAAGCATTACTATGGTTAGCATTCTGATTACTAGTCTTCTTTATCCGTTTTGTTGTTCTCGTTCTCATACTGTTGATGATTACATCTGTCTTCTTTTTCTGTTCTTATTGTAACTTTTGTTATGACTAGTCTTATTATTATTCTTACTCTTACTGTTCTTTTTATTCTTATGAGTATTCTCACTATTCTTTTTATTCTTCGTGTGATTCTCCCAGGCGCCCCAGCTACGGCGGCTGCTGCAGGCCTCGGAGTCGGGAGGCGCCTCAAGGGTCCTTTGAGCTGAGGGGTTTAGGGGTTTAGAGTTTAGGGTTTAGGGGGTTAGGGTATAGGGTTTTAGGGTTTGGGGTTTACCTTAACCCTGAATAACCAGCTTGTTTAGGGTTCCTTAGTATGATTTCCTTGTATATGTCCTCAACAAGGTAGGTTTTTCCGGGTTAAGGTAGGGTTTAGGGAAATGTTACGGCTTAAGGCTTGTTGAGGGTTGAGGGTTTAGGTTCTAGGAAAATGTCTTTTTGAGGGGGGGGGGGGCTTGGAGTTTAGGGCTTAGGGTTTGGGGTCCTTTTGAATGCTTAAGGGTCCCAGGCTTTAACTAGAGGTTCAGGGTTGAGAAGTTGAGGGGTTTAGGGGCCATACAGACAGACTAGGGCTTCAAGGGTTTTTTTGAACAAAGGGTGCTCCTCGAAGAGATACGTCTGGTTTCAGTTGAGTCTTGTTTTGAGGGTTTCCTTCGGAGGTGATACGGATGTTTGATCGGCTTGGCAGAGTGTTTATGTGGTTTCATACGGGCTGTGTTAAAGAATACTTGGAAATGAGGACAGTTTAAGAAGACATGAGCAGATCTCTTCATGTTGGCGACGCAAGCAATACTCGCTGCTCTTGCTCGTGATACTCGCAGCAACTTGACAAAGCAGGGACAAGCTGACAAGCGCACCGCACTTAAAGTAGTAGTTGCACCACTCTCATTGTTACAGTCACTCCCATAGCAACAACGACGAAAGCCGATAAGATATGACAGTACCGCAGTAGTCATGCTAATACCCTAGAAAGCACTAAAGCCTTAAGCCCTAAATCCCTAGACCCTAATCCCTAATCCCTAAACCCCAGAGCCTAAACCCTTGAGCCCTCAACGCTTAAATTCATAATCCCTAAACCCCAGTGGATCCCTTTGAATGAACCTCTATAGATCCCTTTAAAGGACCCTAAGCCACCCGCCAAAAGCCCTTCGACCCTTAAACCCAGAGACTCCAATATAGCTTAATTAAGGAATATTCCTTGAACTATAATAGGATCCCTTATATGATTTAAGGAATATTCCGTAATTAAGGGGTTCTGGAGGCTCTGGCCTTCGACCCTTAAAGACCCTCCTTTTCTAGGCTCGGGAGCCCGGGCCGCGCGCGAGCTCCGCCGGGATCTCCGGACCATGGCGTGGCTTCTCTACCACGCTTCCTGGAGGAATGGGGTACTATAGGGTTCCTTTAAAGGGATCTATAGGGTTCCTAGGGTTCTTTAAAAGGGTTTCTTACCTTTGGTTAGTAGGGAATGGAGGAATAGGGTACAACTATAACTACTATTACTACTAGTCTTCCATTTCCTACTAACCAAAGGTAGGAGTTTGCACTTCACTCTCAACCCTAGAACCCTTCAAGCCTTAAACCCAGAGTCTAAGCCCCTAATCCTAAACCCATACTGTACATCTGGAACGCTTGGGTTGGAATGGACAAAGGAATAGTTTCGGGTTCCACAAGTGTGGGTTGTAGCTGCGAAATCTTCATAAAGCTCAGTGAGTACATACATCTACAAGGTTTGATATAGGCCTTAATATTTTCAGTATGATTCTTTTCAAGAGTTCCTTGAAGCATTACTGCAATGGGATTGGCTTTAAGTTTAAATCCAGCGGCACTTTAATCATTAGGGTACGGTTTTGGGTTTGGGGTATGCTATGGTAAGGGACCGTCGCTAATGCTTTATGCTGCCGAATATAGAACCTGAGTGCTTTTTCCTCTTGGGCTGTGCTTCAGGTTTCCTGAATAGTGTTAGACTGGTTTGAGTCCAAGGTCAGGTGGAGCCAAACCAAGGAGACTGCCATCCGAAACGGCCTGGGAAGCCGACCGTCGCTAAGCCTCTAGGATACCCGAAAGCATCATAGTACAATTACCGTGTACGGATTCTAAATATGAACCCCAAACAGGAACTACGATGGAGCCTTGGGCTAAGCCTCAGCCCAAGCTGTAAGCTTCTCAGAGCACGAAATTCCTGGACCCAGCTAAGCATGCCTTCGTGCAACCCCGAAGCCGCAAAAGAACCCGAACAAGCTGTAAAGCCTAAAGCCATCAACGAGCCTTGATAAAGCCTTAAACCAATGAACCCTAAAAGGGTTTAAGGTTCATATACCATATAGGGATTCATAGTACATGGGTATAGGGCCCCTACTTTTAAGGGTCATTTGGTCCTTCAGGAACCTTCAAGCTCAAAAGGTCTTCCATAAGCCGGACAGCCCTCGAAAAGCCCGGAGTCGTGAAGCACGGCGTCTAATTATCCAACCTCTCTCTGTAGGGCGCACCCTACAGCCCCATTCCTGAACCCCAAAACACACCTCAAACCCTAAACCCCCATACTCCCAAAGCCCTAAACCCTAAAATCCCCCATACTCCGAAGCGCAAAAGTTTGTTTGGTGCCCGCGATCCAAGGCCCCGGAGCTTGGCCCCTTTGCGCGGCCACTCGCAGCCGAGGTCGCTGGGCACTCCTGATGGATGCTTCGGGTTTAGGGCTTTAGGGTTTAGGTATGTTTAGGGTTTTAGGGTTTGGGGATTTATGTTTAGGGTTTTCGGGTGTTAGGGTTTAGGGATTAGGGTGTAGGGTGCAAGGTTTATGGGTTTAGGATGTTGCTATAGAGGCTTAATATTTGTGACAATTACCTATACTATATAGAGGGCTCCTTATTAGAACTATGATATACCATACCCCGAAACCCTCTGATGGATGGGAGGGTTCCTTTCGAAGGGTTCCTTCAACCGGGCTCCCTTTTAAGGTGCAATGCTTGGAACATCTAACCCAGCAACTGGGCTGAATGCGGCTCGACAGCTGAAATAAATCATTTCTGGTTCTATTTGTCGTACGTATGCCTGTATTTATGTATATGTATGTACATGTGTATATATATATATATATATATGCTTATGAATATATATATATATATATATATATGCTCTTATTTACTCGGTCGCTGGATGCAGAAAGACACCAACTCTATAGAGCCTTTGCACAGGTTGCCGCCCGTTGCGCCCAGAGCAGCGCTGCTCCGGACTGCGGGGATTTCCTGTGCTTCTCGCGTATGCCTGAAGCCAACCTATTCCCAAAGGGTCCTAAGTACTGGTATGGGGGATACTTCCCTAAGTCATAAGAGTAATTCCTAATATGGAAACCCTACATTCTACTACAACCTACGTATTGAAGAAGGGCTCCAGGCCCTGATGTCCTTGTGTATGTCGTTTAACTACATGAACCCTAATGTAGGAACCTGATTAAGGAACCTTGGGCCTTCATTCGGGTTCCTTATGTGATTCCTCCTGTTTTGGGGTTATGGGCCCACTGTTTCTTAATCAGCTTCCTACAACACAAAACCTACCTTTGAGACTTTGAGGTTCCCTCTTGTGAGTTGCGTATGTACATGCTTGTAGAGGTACGCTTCTGGGGACCAGATCCCAGGTAGTATCAGGGAGACCCCTGAAAAGGGGACCCTTCTTAACCCTGCTTCTGGCTCCCCTCCAAGGGACCTCATTGAGAGCGTCATAGAGCATCTAATTATATCCCCAAGGGTCCCTCTAATCCTATAACTCCTACAATAGGAGACCCTGGCCATTGCTGTGGCCTGTGCGGCCAATGCCGGTGCTCTCAACGTGGCGGAGGCGCCGGGCTCCATATGGGAGTTACCGAAAAATCGGGGACTCTAATGTAGCACCCTAAATAGTGGGATCCTTATATAATATGGACCCCGAAATAAGGGACCCCTAATTTTCGGAAACTCCCATAGAGGGGTTCTGGAAAGGGACCCGAGGGTTTTAGTACAGAGTGGAGGGTCCAGGGTGGAGGATTTTAGGTTTTCAGCTCGGGTCTTTGGGGTTTCAGGTTTTTTTTGGGGGAATTCCGGGCATGGACAGGGTTCTACTAGTCTACAGGTGTTTCTGTAGTTTGAATGGGCTTAATAGTGGTAAACGGCGATTTTACAGGCACGGCTTAAGAGGGTGTTGCTGTTTATATGTTTGGAAGGCCATCCACATATATATATATATATGTAGAGTATGTGTGTATGTATATGTATATGTCATATATTACACCAGCCGTTCCGACTCCCTGCTGTTTAATGGCTATACTCTGAAGATCCTATATGGGGTTATAACTCATCATATTCCCAAAGGGTCCTATGTACCGATATAGTAGAATGTAGGGTTTCCATGTTAGGAATAACTATAATGACTTAGGGAAGTATCCCCCATAACAGTACATAGGACCCTGTGGGATTGTTACCCTACTTGTAACCCTACTCACAACTACCCATGAACCTCCAAGCAGGGTCTCCATTGCAGCCCCCGCCCTGGTGTATGGAACCCTTGAAGCGTGTTCAGAGAATCCCATGCCAGAAACCATCACCAGGCTGCCCACAAAGAGACGACGCTGCTTGAGACCCTCGGGAACCTGGAACAGGCAGGCGGCTGTTTCAAGTCTGAGAGTGTAGGGTATACGTTCCTATTTCGGGCTTTTTCAGTATAGACCGCGATTATTCTTCTTATTATTAGTATTTTTGTTATTATTAATGTTTCTTAGGTTTTCGGGCTTTGCGGCTGCATGGTTTGGTTTGGGGTTTTGGAGTCTAGGGCTCGGGGTCGTCCAATTGGAGTTTGAGGCTTTACGGCTTCAGAGATAAGGCGGCCCGGGCTATACGTTAGGTACTGCCCCCATACAGTGAGAGTCCATAATTGGGCTACTAATAAGGTCCTAATAAATCTGTACTATGAATATTACCCAACTATTACTGAGTGGGGGCCGTACCCAAGCTATACGGGCTTCCGGATGTAATTTGGCTGTAGCCCAGCGTCCCACCTGTAACAGAGAACCGTGGATGATTACCAATACGATTCCCGAGGGCTCCCTATATCCACGCCATAAATCATAGGGACCCTTAGGGGGGAGGGGGGTAGGGGCCTTAATACCTATAATAGTAAGGCTAGTTAAGGAAGTATAGTCCCCTAACCCCCTCCCTCCTACCGCAATGAAGGGTCCCTACTGTATGAATAAAGGATCCCCAGAGCCCGAGGCCCCCTACGTGAGGTTTGGAGCTTGAGTTTAAGTCATAGGAGGCCCAAAGGGGTTTTAGCCTATGGGGGTTTAGTAGGGATGAGGGTTCCCATAATAGGGTTCATACTAAGGAACCCCTACCCCAAGAATCTTAAACCCCCCCTTTTGGCCTCCCATCGTTAAGGGCTCCGGGGTTGCCGGAGCCCAATGGAAAGGCGACGAAGTCGGCCGTGCAGCTCTGTCTCTATGAGGACTTGGAAGTCCATGGGTTTCGGGTTTAGGGGTTTCGGGATTTAGGGTTTAGGGGCTTAGGGTTTAGGGGTTTAGGGGTTTAGGGGTTTAGGGTTTAGGGGTTTAGGGTCCAAGTTGGGACGCAGAGTTTTGTGTCTAAGTTGAACGGCTTTCGCCAAATGCTCTTGAACAGGAGCTTTGTGCTTTGAGCAGGGGGCATGTATTGGACAGGACTGTCTGGTTCTTAGCAAGGAATGGGGGGATGGGTTATTGGGACTATAGGCCCCTCTATAGTAAAAGCCAGAAAGTTGGAATATGGTTATCCTAACCCTTCTATGGTAAATTACAGGGTATCCTACCATGAAACCATATTCCAACTTTCTGGAGTTCCCTGTATAAGGATCCATTCCCTCATTCCCTCAATAAGCACCAGACGTCTAGATTGCAGGGTAGTCGGCTCGGTCTGTAGTTTTTACGGTTGATGATAGAAATCCTGCATGACCCATAATAAGGACTATACCATAATTCGCATAGTTTACAGTCCTTAAGGTAGTGCAGATTTTTATCATCAGCAGTAGTTTTGCTTTCTCTTTGAGTGGAGTAGAGTAAAGTTTGGAAACTCTAACCTCTGAAGCCCTAAACTGTAGACCCTACCTGGACCCTAAGGAACCTGCCTTTTTAGGGTTCCCGAATATGATTTCTTGATATAAGTCCTTAAAAAGGTAAGTTACTTGGGGGTTAAGGTGCACCCTAAACCTCAACCCTACACCAACCCTACGCCCTGAAGCCTGAAATCTATAAACACAAGCGAGCACTGACTTGACACTTGCCGCGCAGGAGTCGGAAGAGCGCCTATGGATCGTCAGGGTGCGAGCAGGGGGAGGGGCGGGGGTAAGGGCTTAGAGGGTTGCTAACCCGTCTGGTGCTTGGTCCCAATAACCCATTCCACCAGACATTAACAAGGGTAATGGAGGGGGTGGATTGAAAGGGCCTGCGAGGGGGTTCTAGTTTCGATCTAGATCCTGTTGGTCTGAAGAAAGGCTTCATGCCTTCGGCGTTGTTGAGGTTCGGGAATACCTGGGCTGTGGAAAGCTTCCATTTTTATGGTAGGGTTTGCAAGTTTCTAGATTTGTGTTGGATCTTTCTGCGATTTGTGGTTCAGGCTGCACGTTTCTAGCTTGGATGCATAGACTATGTGGGTGCTGAAAGATCTTCCAAAAAAGGGGGAGGGGGGGAGGTGACTGTACTTCCCGAAATAGGCCTTGTTAAGTCCGTATTTAAGGTATCAAGGCCCCCTACAACCCTCAGGGTCCTTATGACCTCATTGAACATGTCTGGACTTCTCGGAACATCATCTTGTCGTATTGACTGTACTCTCCAGTGTAGCTTTGTTTTGTTCTTCTTTTGTAAACTGAGGAGGGCTCGGACCCCATGAACCCAAAGGCTCCATGTACCTTTGTAGGTACTTAAGGCTTAAAGGGGTCTCTATATAGGTACTTTAAGGCCTAAGTATTTACCATATGGGTACATGGAGCCTTAGGGGAATGGATTACCTGCGCTCAAGTATATTACAACTATATGCCCTAAACCCGAACAGTCCCAAGCCTAAATGTTGAGAATGCTTGCAGGTCCTTTGTTGAAAGTCTGCAGCCCCCTTTTTCGACCTTTCCGCTGCGCACTACAGTTGCTGCCGTGTTGCAGAGTACAACCTACTTGTGGTAGCCGTCGCAGTGGAGGAGTAGTTTGTGCCTAACTATACGGTCAGTTGGGCTCTACAGAGAGCCCAGCTGAAATGATGGAGTTTCCGATAATTAGGGTACCGTATTTTGGGGTTCATAATCAGGATCCTACGTCCTACTATTTAGGGTACTATATTAGTGTATGTAGGGTACTATGATAGGGTCCCCTATTTCCGGAAACTCCCGTCTGGCTGATTGAGGTAGACAAAAGCCTAAGATCCAAACAAAACCCCAACCACAAAGACATTTGCGAAGCAGGAAGCCTGGCCAGTGGTGGAATCGCTAGGTTTGTGGCTTGGCCACGGAAAGGTGTAAGAGTCTGAGCTTCAGAGGCTTCGGGGTTACTGCAAGGGGCCTAAATAATCACCTATACTATTTTGGGGGTTCCTCATTATAATTATAGTTTCATGGGCCCCAGAACCCCATTGAAATTATTAAGGCGCCTATATCAAAGTTTCAGGGTTTGGGATTTCGGAGCTCTGGGTTACTTGGCGGTTCTGGGCTGCTTGGGGTGGGGCTGTCGGTAGGGTAACTATACTTATAACTCATATTAGGGGACTTAGAACCTCACTTAGAACTACCCATGAACCTCCAAGTAGGCCCTAAACTCGATAGCCTTGCAGAATCCCTGTAGATCCCTTTAAAGGGACCCTTAAAGGAAACCTTATAACTACCCCCGAACGAGATGATGTCCTTGGGCTTGGGGGTCCAGGGCTGAGGTTGTCATTGGGGCGTTGTGGTTGGGAGAATAGACTTGAGCCGAGTTTAGGGGTCAGGGCCGACTAGGTTCAGAGTTTAGAGCTCAGGGTACAGGGGCCTGCCCATACACTCCAGTGTACTATGATGTACTATATACGTGGTTTCTGTTCTGAATGTAACGGTAAGCGTTCAGGGTAGGCAGTCTCCGTTGAGAGTTTAAGGTGTAGGGTGCGTTTCTCAGTGTTACTGAGTTGAACTTTGCACGGTATGAGTTTAAGGTGTAGGGAAGTTGGCAGAGTCCTACGAAACAGCCTACAACACCTCTCCCACGTTGGCCAGTTGCGTATTCTACATGTTCCCCTAATTTCCAGGAGATTTGACGATTGCCCTGGCCACTTTACAAGGGAGTCTTCCGACCAGTGCAAGGCCTTAGACCTTTAAACGCTTTACAGCTAGTAAGTTGCAGCCTTTCGGTGTTGTGGATTTTCGGTTTCAGCGTCCCACAAGCGTGAATCGTAAAATTTCAAAGTCCGTGCACCCAAAAGCCCGAACCCGACAAGCTCCATTCCCTAGATAGGCCCTTACATTCCAAGAAACAGGGAAGACTTGGGTTCTCAAGTTTTGATTAGGCCCCTAGGTAGGGATGTACAAGACTTGGGGTTGCGGGTTGAATGTTTTGGCTGTAGGCTTTGGGGGTCTTTAGGGCTTTCCTGAGGGCTGAACCGAATCGAACAATTGTGTCCCTAATCCCAAAGCCCTAACCCCAACTCTGTAGTGAGGTGCAGCCGTTCATAGGCAGCTGTCTTTGTCCGAAACCCCCAACCCCAGACCCCCACCCCGAACTCTGAACCCTAAACCCCTGAACCCTGAAGCAACGATGTTTGTCAAACCCAGGTGGCCGGCGAGCGAGGAGACTGCTCGCAGAGAAGCAGTGCTGCGGCCAAGAAGTCCTTAGAGTTTTAGGGTTTAGGGTTTACAGCTTCGTATGTAGGATTTTCATGACGGCCTACATAGTGACACAGTGTCTGTCTAGGGTCTTGTTGCAGATATATTCTGATCTTGAGAGGGGTTTGCGCTGCTCCTAGGGCTCATGACTGTTTAGGCTGTAATTTTGTAGGGGCCTTAATGATTACCTATACGATCTTGGGGGGGTTCCTTGTTATAGCCATAGTAGAATATAGCCCCAAAGCCCGACTCTAACTATTAAGGCCCCGATATTTGTGATTCAGGTAGCGCTTCCAACTTCCAGTGTTGTCTGCTCGGAACCCTCATCGTTTAGTTCAAAGGGGAAAAGGATGGACCCTTGATAAGGACCCCTAGGTATATACCCTCTCTATATATATAGCCATTATATACCCATTATATAACCCATTATAGGGTAGGGGTCCCCATTAAGGGCCCCTCCTTTTCCCCTTTGAGTTTAGTTGTGTGCGACCAGGTTGAAACTGGCCCTCCTGATGGTAGAGTTACTCAAGGGTCCAGGGGCCTGGCCTCAGGGGTTTTGGGTTTAGGGGCCTTGGGGGTTTTGGGTTTAGGGGCCTTGGGGGTTTAGGGTTTAGGGGCCTTGGGGGTTTAGGGTTTAGGGGCCTTAGGGGTTCAGAGTTCAGGGGCCTTAGGGGTTTCGGGTTTAGGGTTGAGGGCTTGTGAGTTGCTAATTTCTCGATATGTTCGAATCCCGTCGTTTGCTGATTCACCACCTGCCATGTATACGCACGCACGCACACACAGACGAGAACAACACCTCCAAACTAACCTCTAAACCTTCAATACTCTGAGCCCTAGCCTGAGCCCTAAACCCTGATCCGTAAGCCTTCAGTCTTAAATCCTGACCCTAGACATTCTCAACTGAGAGAGCTTGGAGCTCAGGACATTGCGGCGATCGCGAAGTTGCAGCCGGACGACGGCGCGGGGTTCAGTGCGATCCTTCCAGGCGCGCTGGGGGTCTCCGTAAAGGAATTCTCTAGGTTCCTGGGTGGTTCTATAAAGGTTCCTTCAAGGGTTCTATAAGGGGTCCTTAAAGAGTTCTACAAGGGATCTATAGGGGTCTAGGGTCGGTAGTACCCTTTTTGCCCCTTTTTTTATTAGGGTCCCCGTATTAAACCCGAATAGTAGGGAAAAGGGTACCCTCATTACAAAGGGGTTAATCAGGAAACTAGTTATAGAATGCTGCTTCATTTGAAGAGATATGGCAATATTACTTTTTGTTGCTGGACATATGTTTTAAGCGGTTTGGGATTTGGGCTATCATTGGGAACAGGGTTTACGAAAGCGTAGGGTCTTGGGTGTAGGGCCAAGGCGTCAGTAGGCTTTTGGTCAAGGCCAGTGTGACCTGGAACCAACGGTACGACCAGAAGACTTACCTTTGGTTAGTAGGGAATGGAAGAATGGTAGTAATAGTAGTTATAATTGTACCCCATTCCTCCATTCCCTACTACCCTAAACCCTAAACCCTACTACCCTTAACCTTAAACCCTACTACCCTAAACCCTAAACCCCATTCTAACCAAATAAAGGTAAGAAGAGCCTCCGTGCACACCTAAACGCTCAGCCCGAAACCTGCTCCAACCTCATTGAGAACGACGTGGTGGGCCACGAACTACCAAGACCCTCATTCGATCCCGAGACTGATCCAGAAGCCCTGTTGAGGCCCGTATCCTACTGCAAGGGTTCCTTTAAGGGATCTATAGGGTTCGGGGATTTGGAGAAACGGTTCCTTTAAAGGGTAGTATAAGGGTACTTTTCAAGGGTAGTTGGTCAAAACCACGGTTTGGAGGGCTTTGCGGCCTCAGGGCCTAGGGTTTAGGGTCCCTTTCTGAGTAGGATCTCTGCTTAAGCCTTCCAATTGGTCCCATGTTTACCAAACCATTTTCGCAATCCGAAGCCTTAAACTTTAAAGCCCCCAAAGCCTTGAAACCGCCTAGGAAGCTAAACTTCCCGAGGGTCGAGCGTCTAGGGTTCAGGGCGAACACATTTAAACTGATAAATCAAACCTATGAGCCTCAAGCTGTCCTTGGTCGGTGGCAAGGCGGCGTGGACGAGGCGGCACCGCTGCACTGAGGGGACATTGGGGGGTCTTTGCGCTCAGGTTCTTCACCCGTTCTCATAACATACACTATCGTTAATTAAAGGCTCCCCCCCACAAGGGTTTGGCAAATGGGTGGTTGTCAAGATTAGGGCCCCTTTCATTTTTTCAATACGGCACCTAATATTTAGGGTACCCAAAAAGGGACCATTATTCATTTTATAGTGATATTCCTACATTGTTGGGCTTCATAATTATACAGGGGGTTCATATGGGATATCCCTATCCTAACTTTTTCTTATATGCTTGTTTGGGGGCCCTTTAAAGGAACTCTTTAGGGGCTCCCCTGACGCTTCCAGGAGATGGGCGTGGAGCTGGCGAAGGCCGAGCTTCCCGAAGCCGAGGCTCCGACAACTTCGGGGACGTTTTTTTTTTTTTTGCAACTTGCAGTTTAGCATTAGAGAAGGGGTTTAATAGGATTAAAGGGGTGTAGGTTAGGATGGAAGGGTTTAGATGGGTTTAGGTTCTGTTTGAGTTTTGGATTAAAGAAGGGGTTTAGTTAGGATTGAAGGGTTTAGATGGGTTTAGGTTCTGTTTGAGTTTTGGATTAAAGGAGGGGTTTTTAGGGTTCAGAGTTTAGGATTACAGGAGGTTTAGTATTCAGACGTCAGAGTTTTGGGTTTAAGGGGGGTTTAGGATTAATCGGTTTAGGGTTTTGGGTTTAGGGAATTAAAGGGATTTAGGTTTAGGTTTTGGACTCTGGGGTGTAGGGCTTTGGGCATTTTTGCAAAAAAATAGGTTTGCGCTCTTTCCCTGCTGGTAGTTCAGCCGCATTCAGGTTCCAAGATCAAAGGGTAAAAATTTGGGTACGGCCCCCACTCAGTAATAGTTGAATAATATTCATAATATAGATATATTAGTACCTTAATAGTAGCCCTATTATAGACTCTTACTGTAAGGGGGCAGTACGAGGGTAAAAACCAGGACCGTTCAAGGGCTCTTCAGTAGAGTCGTTATGGCCCTTAGTATTAGGTATTTCGGGGGGGGGGGTAACTATATGATATTAAAGTTTCCAGGAGGGTCCATAGTCAGTACCATTATGGAACTAGCTCCCGAAAACCATCCATATTATGACTTTGGGGACTTAATTCCATAAAGGAACTAGATCTTCCAGGGCAAAAGGAAGGACCCTGAGTAAGGATTCGTAGGTATATACCCTTGATATAGCCATTATATACCCATTATATGGCCCATTATGAGGTAGGGGTCCCCATTAAGGGTCCCTCCTTTTCCCCGGGTGGTATAAACCTTGTCCTCGGGGTCCAGTGAAATCTGGGAGTTTCCGAAAATAGGGGACCCTAACAAAGTATCCTAAATAGTAGGATCCATCATAATAAGGACCACAAAATAAGGTACCCTTATTTTTTGGAAGCTCCCATATCAGTGTGGGCGACCTTTACTACGAGGTTTCTATGTGGGTTCAGGGGCATTATAAGGGGTCCAGCAGCGTTCTTTGACTTCCCCCTTCTAGGCCCCTTGATACGACTCTATCGAACCGTTCTGAGTTCCTGGCGTCTGCTGGGGCAGGCCATGCCAGTCGAAGCTGTTGCCGAAGCAGAAGAAGTGGCTCGGCTAGCATCGTCCGATGGGGGGGTTGCCCGGATTTGGGGTTTTTGGGTTTTGGGGCTGTGGGCCCAAACCCCCAACCCCCCAAAGCACACATTATGGCCCTTATCTTAAACCCTCTGGCATGCCTGTAAAACCCTCTAACCCTATCAAGCTCGTTCTAACTCGTGAAGCCCCTATCTGCTATCTCACATCCTTTGTGGAAGGTCTGTGTGGCCGACGCCCCCTCCAAGGAGGAAGAAGCGACTCGACTTAGCAGATTTCGGTGTAGGGTAACCTTTTAAGAGTTTTTTAGGATTTAGGGTTTTGTTTGCAGAGTTTAGGGTGTTTTAGGGTTCAGGGTCTAGGGTTTAGGGTGTAGGTTAACCGTGCGGTTCAGATTGTGTTGAGGTTTGCCATCGGTCCCTAGATTCCGGCCTTCATGATCCCGATGTAGCATTCTCAAAAACCCTCGTTAACCATGAACCCTAAATGGCTAAGCTACCAATTCCGATAGGCCCTACCCTAAACTACTACACCCTTTGCCCTAAACTACGAAAACACACGCCCTAAACTACCAAACCCTGACATAAAGACTGCGAAACCCCTATAAGCCCTACTAACCGTATGGCTAAGCCCCACTTAACCCTAGACCCCTATATGGTTTAGGGTTTAGGGATCAGGGACGGTATACTACAGTACTTTACAGTATCCCTTATAGTAACCCCTGTAGACCCCTTAAAAAAGGGAACCCTATTCTGATTATTAAGGCCATTATATCATAGAATCCTACTATAGATCGCCTATAGACCCCTTTACGGGACCCATTTACAGGAACCCTTATTCTAATCATCAATGCCCCTACATTTTGCCTCTCTTCTGAAGGCCCTCAGCCAGGCGGCAAGCGGAGGCGAGGCTGCAAAGGACCGCCAGCCGCTCGGATGCAGTATTTCTTCAGGCCTCTCTGGGATTTAGGGTTAAGGGTTAGGGGGTTTAGGGCTTAGAGGATTTATAGGGTTAAGGCTTACAGGGTTTAGGCTTTGGGTTTATGGCTTGTAGGATTTATAGGGTTCAGGGGTTAAGGGTTACGGGGTTTAGGGTTTAGGGCTTATAGGATTTTTAGGGTTTAGGGGTTTAGGGTTAGGGGTTATGGGGTTTAGGGTTTAGGGCTTATGGGAGTCATAGGGTTTAGGGTTTGGAGTTAAGGGTTATGGGGTTTAGGGTTTAGGGCTTATGGGATTTATAGGGTTTAGGGTTTGGGGTTATAGGGTTTAGGGTTTAGGGCTTATAGGAACTATTGGTTTCAGGGGTTAAGGGTTATGGGGTTTAGGGTTTAGGGCTTATCATAGGATTTATAGGGTTTAGGGTTAAGGGTTATGGGGTTTAGGGCTTATAGGATTTATAGGGTTTAGGGGTTTAGGGTTAGGGGTCACAGGGTTTAGGGTTTTCAGGGTTTATAGGATTTAGGGGTTCAGGGTTGCGGGTTAGTCAGGGGCTTCAAAAGGTCGGTTGAAGGTGGGTGGGGTAATCACGAGCAAGGGTCCTGCTTTGCGGGATCCCTTCATCGTACTTACCTTCATCCCGCCTTTTGAGGTTTCCAGTTTCATCAGGGCTCTTTGGGATTTAGAGTTTTGAGGGGCTGAGGGGTTTGGGGGTTGGGGCTTTACTGATTGGGGGTTTATGGGGTTAGGGTTTGAGGTTTATGGGTTTTGCGATTTTGGGGTATAGGTAGCATAGGGCTACTGTGGCAGCAGCAGCACGAGCAGCAACACCAACAGAAACAGTGGCAACCACAAGAACGCCACCAAGGACAGCAACAACAGCATCAACAACAACAACAGCAACAACAACAACAACAACAACAACAACAACAACAACAACAACAACAACAACAACAACAACAACAAAACCCAACGACAACAACAACAACAGCAGCAACAACCACCACAACAGCAGCAACAGCAGCAGCAGCAGCAGCAGCAACAGCAACAGCAGCAGCAACAGCAACAGCAACAGCAACAGCCGCAGCGACAACAACAAGAATGATGATAAGAAGAGCAACAACAAGAGCAGCAACAACAACAGGAACAAACAACAGCAGCAACAGCAGCAGCAGCAGCAGCAACAGCAACAGCAGCAGCAACAGCAACAGCAACAGCAACAGCCGCAGCGACAACAACAAGAATGATGATAAGAAGAGCAACAACAAGAGCAGCAACAACAACAGGAACAAACAACAGCAGCAACAACAACGACGACGACAACATCAACAGCTGCAACAGCAACAGCAGCAGAAACAGAAGCAGCAACAGCAACCAGCAACCGCAACGATAGCAGCAGCAGCAGCAGCAACAACAACAACAATACTAATGCTAATTATAATAATACCAATAATAATCAGAGTGTCAGATGCAGCAATAAGCAACAGCAGCAGCAACAGCAACGACAACAGCAACAGCAACAGCATCAACCAACAACGACAACAACAACGAAGGCAGCAACAAACCAAACTCAGCTAATTAGTCCCCACAAGCCCCGTTCCAAACAAATGAAAGTCCCCGCCCGGCACCCCTTTCTTTCTGCATCTCAAAAAAGATGACGAACAAAGTTTCAGACGCAGACAGACACAGACACACACACACACACACACACACACATACACACACACACACACACACACACACGCACACACACACACACACGCACACACACACACACACGCACACACACACACACACACACACACACACACACACACACACACACACACACACACACACACACACACACACACACACACACGCGAGAACAACGCAAAGAGCATCAGGCGCCAAAGCCCGGGCCCGCCTCCCTTGGGAGCTCTCGGCATTCCGTCGCCGGAGCCCAACGCCCATATCGGAGGCTTTAGAGGGTTGCGTTTTCGGATCCCGTACGGTTTGCTGTTTGGGAACTCTCGAACGGTTCGGTTCCTTTTCAGGGATGCAATAGGGGCTCTCTTGCAAGCTTCTATACCTTTCCGGTTCTGCAGCTTGAAGGGTTTGGAAGGCGTTTCGACTGAAGGGGGGTGCTTGTAATCTCGGTTGTGGTTGCTTTTGTTGGTTAACCAGTTTTAAGGGCAGGATCCCGTGGTTGACCTGTAAAGGAACTTCGATGATGGAGATTATAGGTAGGATTTGGGGCACAGTGAATGTGAGCATTAAGGTGCGGTTGTTTTGTGGCGTTTTTTTGACGGTGTCCCGCCAAAGGTTTCAACCTTTTAGAGTAGGGAGCTTCGTTTGTCGCATTGTCCGTAGAACGTTTTGTGACGACAGTCAGCAGCTCCAGTTCCGGGTCCGCAGACAGTGAAGCAGGAGGATGTCCCTTCAGCCTTCGTCTATAGGCGAAGGGAGCTACCCAGGGCTCAGAGGATTTCTTCCGTACCTCTTGGACATGCAACACCATCAGAACTTGCCGCAGCTGATGCCCGAGGACAAGGCGGCACTGAGAAACCACAAGGAGAAGCTGCTGACTGTAGTCAGCGAGCTTACTGCTGAAATGCTGCCAACTCCTGTGACTCCGCTCCCGGTCTTCACAGTAATCTTGACAAGTTGCGACGGCCACTCTTGTGCACAGCTTGTTTTTTTTGTGTGTTGGTTTTTGGGGTCAGCAAGTTTATCGGTTGACAGGTCCGCATGTTTGTTGCCTGCCCCGCCTGGATTTGGGATTAAAGGTTTGAGAACAGGGGGGCCTCGGGTCGGAGTGTGTTCTTCCAGTCGTGGATTTGGGGTGAAAACTTCGAGAACAGGCGGCCTTGGGTCAGGGTATGTTTTTCCAGTGGTTTGGGTGTGTAAGGTTTATCGGATTAGTGCCCCGCGCAGTTGTTTGCAGGCGTTTAGGGTGTGGTATTGTTCTGGCCCTAGTGCCCCAGAGTTTCCGGTTTCTGCCTTAAGTGTTTAGGCTTTATTGGGCTTAGGCAGATCCAGTGGCCAAATCAGCATCATCCCAGGCCTCACCACTCAATGCTACAAGCGGAAACTGTGCGGAGCGCCACACCGTCCAGCTTGCGCTAACCGAGCCTAGTTGTGACGATTTCCAGCTCCAAACATCTCAAATTCGACAACTAACAACAGGAATGACAACGGCAACAACAACGACGGCAACAGCAAGATGAAGACCTGCTGCTGCTACTCGACGAGTTCTACGACTACGACGAACATAGCCACTGCCAGTTTCCCTATCGCTAGAGCAAAACTAACACTGCCTACTACTGTACTGTCACTACTCCCACTCCAGCTCCTGCCCCTGGTCCTGCTCCTACTACTGCTACTGCTACTGCTACTGCTACTGCTACTGCTACTGCCACTGCTACTGCTACTGCTACTGCTACCACTACTACTACTACTACTACTACTACTACTACTACTACTACTACTACTACTACTACTACTACTACTACTACAAACACTATCAGTGCTACCACTGCCACAGCGCAGGTGCCCGTGGTTTGTTCTCCGCCCTGTGCTCTGCGTGCCTCAGCTGGACCCATAGGAGTGGGGCTCCACTTTGTCAGAACCCGAAAGGGGCTTCAGGGTAAAGGGCCAGTTAAGGGTTCAGGGTTTAAGTATCCCATTCTGCTGCCATTGGGCTTCCAATGTGGTTGTTCAGGCTTCTAACCGGGGCTTATAGAGGCTTTCCAAACGGGCTAGTTACACAGCACATGTCAAAAGCCTCAAAGACGCCTAAACTGTAACCCTAACGCCCCAAAAGAACCCGAAAACCCACAAGAGAGGCCTAAACTTAACGAACCTGGTAATGTAGGAACCTGATTAAGAAAACCTGGGCCTATAACCCAAAAATACTAGGATTCATATGAGGAACCCGAATAAAGGCTCAAGGTTTCTTAATCAGGTTCCTACATTAGAAGGCCTGAAGCAGATTAAAGCCCTAAGCCCTAAACCCTAAACCCTAAACCCTAGCCCGATGTGCACCTCAGGCCCCCTGAGCTTCGCTGCGCGATCGACGGCCGTATCTGTACGGAGCCACTTGACGGCACTTTCGGCAAATTTCTGGTGGTTAAGAATTATTGGGAGTTGCAAATTTAAGGGATTTAGGGTTGAGGGGCGTAGGGGTGATGAGGGCTATGGGTATTCTCCGGGCTTCGGGCTCCTTTTTAAGGGCCCCTGGAACGGTTTTGGTTGCAGGGAGATGCGTTACGGGGGCTCTACAAGGCCCGGCATTTAGGGGTGAAGAGGTCAGGGCATCAGGGTCAAGCTGGTTTAGAATTTATTGTGTTGGGCTCAGGGGCCTCTATAGTCCAGAGTGAGTTCAGTGCAGGGTTACGAGTTGGTGAGCACTAACTCAGCGTCTTACGGTTTCGATGCTATCCCCCAGTCTGGGAGTACGCTTGAGGATTTCGATGCGCTCTGGCGACGGCACGGATTTCTTTCGTGTTACTCAGACGTCGTGGAATTCATTCTGTAGGTGATTCGAACCTGGATACCTTTATAGTGGATACTTAAGCCTGCAAGGGGTCCCTATATGGGTGCTTTATGGCCTAAGTATATACTATATGGGTACATTGAGCCTTAGGGTGACTGCATGCTTAAAGCCTGATTTCTAGCCTAGGGTCGGGATTCTAAGTCATACGGTTGATGATATAAATCCTGCATTACCTTACTGACCCTAGACGATACGAATTCTGGTGTATTCCTTCTTATGGGTAATGCAGGGTTTGCATCACGAACAGTAGTATACCCGCGAAGCCCTGTTGCAACTCTTGCGGCCCCCATAACCCCCATACTACTTTGTCTGGCGCTTACTAGGGGAATCGGGGAATGGATCCCTATAGTAGCCCCTATATCATCCCTAATAGTAGTCTCCATAGTCCATTCCCCCATTCCGTAAACGCTAATCCGGAAACCCTAATCCTTTCCCCCATTCCCTAAACACGACCCTAAACCCTAAACCCTAAACCCTACTTGTCTGAGGCCGACGCTGGCTGCGCCGGGGGGCGATCTCCTGGATGTCTCTTGCGTTGCAGCGATGGGAGGGAGGAGCTCAGGGTTTTCACGGTATTTATTTCGCAGTGATTATGTAGGGTTTTTGTAGGGCTTTAGGGATTATGTAGGGGTTTCAGGGTATATGTAGGGTTTAATTAGGGATTATAGTAGGTGTTTAGGGATTATGTAGGGGTTCAGGGTTTCTGTAGGGGTGTAGGGTTCGGGAGTTTCGGGTTTTCCGTTGTAAGTTTTATGGCGTCTTCATGGGTCTTCAGGGGGTTGTGAGGTTTGTAGAGATCACGGTGTCTGTATTGTTTGCTTGCCAGAGGTTGCGGGGTTCACGCACAGAGGTTGAAGGTTGAAGGGGTTGGGTGCTGAGGTTGGATTTGGAACGTTCACCAGAGTGCTGTTTTGGAGTTTATGGTTTAATTATTAGTCGTCACAGTCGTGGTAGCCATGAAAGTAGAAAGCATCAGAAAACACAATCTGCCATCATCGTCTTCGTATCTACAACAACCCATACATAACACAGTGCATAGTGGCCTGGACAACGAGAAGAGGTTTCGGAACATGCTATCCTTTTGCTAAGGATGGACTATACTGGGAGTTGCTTACTGAATTTTCTCAGACCTCTATGTTTTTGTATATTCTTGCATAGTCTCCCACACTCCCACACCGCGGCTGCAAGCGAAATCATAGATTACCACAACTGGCCCGGAGCGCCATGCCCTAAGCTAGCCGTAGGTCCTACTTGGAGGGTCGGGGGACTTAGTAAGTAGTTAGTAAGTAGACTTATAAGTACCCTAAAAGGGGCCCTAATTGGGGTTATGGTACTTATAAGTCCCGAAAATAACCAGTTACTAAGTCCCCCGACCCTCCAAGTATAAACCCCGAACCTTCAACTGCAAGCACCCGGAGCCGGACCTTGGACTGAACCTGAACCCTAAACCCTAACCCTAAACCCTTAACCGTGGTTTAGGGTTTAGGGTTTCGGGACGATTTAGGGTTTAGGGTTTAGGGTTTCGGGACGATTTAGGGTTTAGGGTTTAGGGTTTCGGGACGATTTAGGGTTTAGGGTTTTGGGTTCAGGATTTGCGGGGATCTCTTCTTTATCCTGCAGAAATTGCTGCGGTGCTCGAGCATCTGAACATGTCTGAACACCATAAGCCGTAAAGTTCTATATCCTACAGTAGAAGCCAGAAAGTTGGAATATCATTATCATAATCCCTTTAAGGTAAATTATAGGGGATCCGGCCATTATTCCATTATTCCATATTCCAACTTTCTGGCTTTTACTTTAAACCCGGCGACACATGATCCTAAACAGTCAAGCATCATAAATGTAGCCTAGGCCCTGAGCTAGGCCCTAAACCTCTAGCCGAAAACATCTAAACCTCAACATGTGCCCTAGGACCTAGAGTAGGCCCTTATTCCCTTTTTAAGGTTTCAGGTTCCCTTATAGGCCCCTTTAAACCAAAAAGGGCACCCTTTTTATTCCTAGGTTACTCTTGGGTCTAGTGCCTGAACCCTACAGTTCGACTTTACCCTTAACGCTGGACTGTAAACCGTAACCTCGACACTCAGGTTCTGTACCAGCGGTCCTCCATCATGTGCTGGCTGAGCCATCGCAACGTCTGCCCGGTCACAGGTGTACCACTGAAGGCCCCTCGTTTCGACATACTTGTAGCTACAATATGATGCAATATGCAAGTTCTGTGGCCGTACGTTGTGCTCGTCCTTCCTTCTATTTTCCTTCTTATATACACCCACGGTTTCTGATACCTCTACGGTCATTTCGCATTCGGTGCATTGTGGGGGCTCGGGGTGGTGGGACTTAGCAGGGGACTGTTCGGATTGAGTCTTTCTTTAGGGCCTGAATAATTACCTATACTATTTTGGGCATTATAGTTATCGTATAATCGGCCTCAAAATGCTATTCTCATTGGTAAGGCCCCATAGTAGCGCTTCAGGCATGTATGTACGGGTTATGACATTGCACTGTCTTTCAGGCATTTCCCGAAAGTAGTGCTCGAAAAGCCTTTTCAGCCCTCTATCACTCTATCAACAACTCTATGAAGCTTCAAGCTGTATAGACCCCCTAAACACTAAACTTTTCCAGCTTAAGAATTGGAAAAACAGTATACAAACCAAAAAGAGCCTTTTCAAGAACATGTAGAAGGCTTGAGAGGGTTCTGTGAAGTTTGTGGAGGTTGGAATCACAACAAAAAGCCAGCTTGAGACTTCAGGGTTACTGCCAAGGTGCCCCATGCGATCTCGATTAGGGGTACCGTATTCGGTGTCCTGACAATGAAAGGATCCTACTATTTAGGGTATCATACTATCGATTTATTTGAGAGGGTTTTTGGCTGAAGCTGGCACACAAAGCCATTCCAAAACCTCCTGAGAAACAGAGACAATTGTCCAACATCCAGTACAGCCTGCGCAACGACGCCGCTGAGCCCTAAACCCTCAACTCCTATACATCCTTAATTAAACAGAAAACAGGAACAGCTTGACTTAACCCTACCTGAACAGCTGATGACAACGATTAGGTGGAGGACCTGATACCGGCCTCAGACGCTCTTCCAGCAGAGAGTGCGTGTGTTTTTCCTATCAGGGTTTAGGGCTCCTGCATGTGTGTTGCGTGTGTAGCATTATCGATGCGTTTGTGAGATACTTAGTACATGTACATTGAATACTTAGGAGGCATTAGGTATAATGAGTCGCCAGCAGGCCTATAGTATCCATTGCAATATCGGATACCCTGTTGTTTTACCTCCGGATCCTGATTAATCACTCGCTTAAACTGGTGAACAACAAGAGAACTAGGATGGATATAGGGAAGGTGCCGCAGAGGCACCTGTTTTCGTATTGCCGGTTGGTTTGGGATGTAAGGATATAGGTTGCGGGCATCTAATATGCTAAGTACCGGTTTGCGCTGGCTTTTCCCCTTTAGACAGAATAGAGCCCCAATTAGAGCAACTAGAGCCCCAGCTAGAGTAACTAGAAATGATATTTAGGGCTGCCTGAAGGGGATGCCTAGTATCGGTTTGATCAGCATTTAAGGCTTGGGCTCATGGGGTTCAGCTCTTGGAGGTGGTCCGGATTTCGGTTTGGCAAAATCGCTTATACAAATCTTGATATCAGCCAAGAAAAACGTCATATGGAACCCTGTAGAACCTTCAATAGGTGGCAATTTGGGAAACTTTTTAATTTCCCTTATGGTTCCTATAGAGGTACCTATTCACAAATACTTTTCAGAGCCCCAAAACTACAACCCAGCTTCAACCGAAGCAGAAAAGGAAGCCTAAACTTCATTACAGGATTCTAGATGTGAACCCTAAAAAGGAACTACTTTGGGGCCTTAGGGTAAGCCCAAGAGTCCAAAGCCTGTTCAAAGCGACCCTAAACCAAAACCTGAATCTTAAACCAAAGTGCCGGTTAATAAAGCCGCTTTGGTCCTCAATGGTGGGTCTTTAGAACATGATTGAGGGTAGCTGGGTTTACTATCATTACTGTTGTTACCATGATTATTAGTATGGTGTAGTCTTATGAGTATTATTAGCATCTCTAGCGTAGACTAGAGGGTAGTTGGGGTCGGGGTCCTAAGCCCCGAAACCCTTAGGCTGGATTCTGACCTAAGGATCGTTCCCTGACTCTGCTCCACTGGGCTGCGCGGCAGGGGTAAGATGCTCCCCGTGGCACCTATCGTGGCAGCATGTAGAATAGGGTTTGGCGGCATGTAAATTTTAGGGTTTTGGGCAAAAGAGGGCTGCAAAGGGTTCAAGAGGGTCGAAAAGGGTTTACGGGGTTTTAGGGGGTTTGAAACGGGTTATGCTGGGTGTTCAGCTGGTCTTCATAATATGAGGGTTATGCACAGGATTGCAGGGTGTTGCATTGATGTGAAGTCGGGTTTTGTTGTGGATTTCGTGAGTGGCTGAAAAGATCTCATTTTGGGGCTGAAAGAACTTACCCTGGGCTCTACAGGGGCCTTATGAGCAATTTTGGGGTTGGGCTTGAGGTTCTGGGGTTTGGTGATCTTCTTTTACTAAGTTAAGGCCTGGATGAGGAGTATCAGAATTAGGGTTCGTACTAGTGTTAGCAGTAGGTATTGGTATAGCCAGTTTTAGGCTAAGTCTTTGTGTTAGGATTAGTATTGGTGTTAGTATCAGCATAAGTCTTCTTATTGTTACCGAACTTGTCTAATGAAGGCCCGGTTCTTGTGGTTTACAGTCTCTTAGAGCCTTCGGCTTAGGTCTTCATCCTCACAGCCTCTAAAGGAGGTTGACGCAAGAGCAGCGTCCACATCTGGAGCAGCACAAGCTGAGCTGGTATGCAAGTGTGTAGAGGTTGACCGGCACATGCGAAGCTTGATAAGTGGCATACCCTAAGGCCCCAAAGTAGTTCCTGTTCGGGGTTCATATTTAGAATCCTATATATAATGTAATCTCAAAAGGGAACTACTCTGGGCCCTATGGGTATTCCGTCTTAGTACCAACGCGTCGAGGAATGTTCTACACCAAAGTTTAGGGTTTCGGATGTTCGGGGCATGACTGGGCTTCTCTCCAAGACGTCAGCCTTAAGGACAAAATCAACCCTAAAAGGGTTTAAGGTTCATATAGCATATAGGGATTCATAGTATATGGGTATAGGGCCCCTACTTTTAAGGGTCATTTGGTCCTTCAGGAGCGTGGAAGGTTCGAAGATACCGTAGGTTATGAAACGTGGACAGGGAGCAGGAGCTCCCGCAGAAAGAAAGGCTTCGAGCTCTTATAGTATAGGTATAGTATATAGATACACACATACTTATTCAAAATGTACATATTTATCTATTGGTTCATAAGGTGTGTGTATGTATATATATATATATAATATAAATATATATATATATATGTATGTATTGTGTTCCTGTGCGCTAGAAGCCTACCTTTTTCAGGCTCCTTATTCTGTTTTCCTCAAAAAGTCCTTGAGCAGGCGGGTTTAGTTGGGGTTCATGCCCTGTACGATCCACCTGGCTGAATAGGGCTACCCATGGGCCCCAAAGTAGTTCCTTTTTGGGAATACATCATAGGATTCTAAATATGAACCCCAAAAAGGAACTAGTTTGGGGCCTTAGGGTAGAGTTTGCTCCTGACGAAGTTGGGGGTTTTAGGGCTTAGGGTTTAGGTTGCTCATGATGTGAGGCTAGTCGACTCCGCCCGGAGAAAAGCAACCGACACCACCCAATTCCCACCTGATATTATGCTAAGTCCAGGCCGTGTTCGAGAGCAGGGGTTAGCCTATCCAGCGGCTTGGTGCGTAGGACTCAGAGTTTCAATCCCGGAGTGAAGATGTTGGTGTTTAGCCTTTTACGTTACTCCCTGCATTCTAACTGCGAGGTGTACTTCAATAGAAAGTAATCTTATCCTCTACGCTGGGCGCGTCGTCTTGCGTTTTTTCGCGCACTCGCGCGCGCGACGTGGCAAAAGTGCGTGAGGGCTCCAGGGTATGAAGCTCAGGGTAGAGTTTCCCTGCCCCCTCCCCCGAGGGGAATGTAGGGTTGGTTTCTTCTGTTTCTATAGCCTCGCGGAGCAATAAGGGTCCATGCGCCCATGAAGTATACTGTACACTGGACCGTATAGGGTCTAGGTATATACTACATGGGTATGTGGACCGCTGTGGGAAGCAATCGGAAGCCCTGCTTAACTCGACAGTTTAAGACCTTAGGAGGCATGTTTTGACCTGCCAGAGGTTGTGTCTGAGGGGTCTCGGGTTTAGGGCTCCGGGGGTTAGGCGTTAGGATCTCTCATACTTGCAGCCTGAAGGATTGAGCGCGCCGACATGTGTGATGATTTGGAATGGTGGACATTGCGTGTATGATGACTGATTCTGATGAGCTGTAAAAACTAACTCTTCATACCCTTGTTGTTATCACAGCAGCTTATCGAACACTTTATCGAGCCTGCTGAAAGACCCCCCTAAGGAGCAGTAACCTGGTAAAGGCCTTGGGAAGCACTTGAAGTTCAAGGAAGCACCCTTCAAATCGAAACCCCCACATCCAAAAGAGTTCCCTAAATAAACCCTAAACCCTAAAACCTAAACCCGGAACCCTAAACCCTAAACCCCAAACCCCAAGCCAAACCTCGAAGCTTCCTTGGATCCGTAGACCCTCCAACTACCGGCTAGTATACCCCAATCACCCACTATTAAGGACCAGAAGGGCTCCATTACAGGGCCATTGGGGGTCCCCCTAAAGCCCTAATTAAACCCCAAACCCCAAGCCAAAACTCTAAGCTTTCTAGGACCGAACCAAAACTTTCAGGAGGCCTGGTGGAGAGCTGGCGATCAGGTCTTCCTTCGGGTGGACACGCAGGGACCCCGGGAGGGTTTCTTTGATTTAGGGCTTACAGGGTTCAGGGGTTTAGTTATATTTGGGGTGGGTTTTGCGATTCCTTTGAGGGTTTAGGGTTTAAGAGTTAAGAATCTGGCCTGGGGTGGTTTCTATAACGACCCCTTTGAGGGCTTGAAAGTTAAAATTTTAGGGGGTCCGGGTTTAGGGTTTGAAAGGGCGCCCTGTAAGGAGATCCTCTTGAGGGTACCTAAAAGGGAGGTTTCCGAAAATAGGGGACTGTAATATGGTACCCCAAATAGTCGGATCCTTATTACAAGGACCCCAAAGTAAGGTACCCCTATTTTCGGAAACTCCCTAAACCCTATAGATCCCTGTCGAATTCCCTTCCCTAGCATAGCTCCTAGGTTAGGTAGAGTTCCACTTCTCCAACTGAGGCTTGCGAATTCGGGAGCCATGACGGCTCTGAGAGGGCTGAGCCCTCGAAGGCTTGAAGCCATGATCGGCAGAAGCCAGCAGCACGCACAGTCTAGCTCGTCTAGAGGACAGCTAGGAAGCAGCTTGGCAGGTCGTTGCGAAAAGTTTAGGCGCTTTGTGAGCCCATGGAAGGTGCGACCGAGTTCTGCGTTGAGGCTTGAACTGATCTTCAGAAGTTACCATGGCATCAGCGTCAAGTGATAATCCAAATTTGATGGATCAGCCCTCTGCTGATCAACAGGTTATGAGTAGCCCAAACGCTCAAGGGCTTAACTCTGCGAGTGGAAATGGTGATCGACAAGCAACCCTTGAACGTGAACAAGCTCGAGGGGCTTTTAACATGGATGGCGAAACTGTGGATCCGAGTCCGGTGGCACCAGATGCCGGAGCGGCCTCCACGGGACCGGTGGTGATGAATGGTACTGGCAGAGATAGCGGGTACCTGCAAAGGTTGAGTGGGTTCTTGGGTGATGAGCAATCGACACCTGGAGCCCCCCAGCCTCCTTCGTCTTCAAGTCCGGACACTGCGTATCCTAAGGGAGGATTCTTGGGAGGTCTCCAGAGGGTGGTGCAAGCTGTGGAGAGATCGGTTCCACAACTGGCGCCACAGCCGACTGTGGTTTCTTCTTCTCCACAAGATGCTGTGGAGTATGCTTCTGTGAGGTCGTCCTTCAGTACGGAGGTCCGGCCTCCGTCAGCGAGCCACGTGCCAGGCACACCTTTGTTTCCTGAGGAAACCCTGCAGAGGATGAGGCAGCTGGAGCAGAGTGCTCCTTTGTTTTACCCTCAGGGTGAACCTGGAGGCGCAGCAGGGCCACCGTCAGCTTCTTCGAGCGATATTCAGGCGGAAGTGAGGAGACAGCTGTCTGAGTACATGGCGGTGAGAGATGAGGAAGGTAGGCGTTTGAGAGCTCAAGTTGAAGCGTTGGTTTCTGAGAACTATAGTTTGAGAATGCGTGTACAGGATGATGTACAGAGTAGGAGCGTAGCCCAGCGTTCTGACCAAGTAGGCTTTCCAGGGCTTAGTTGGTTTGGTAGAGGTATAAGTACGTTGATGGGTGGCGCGCAGGCTATGAGACTAGGGGATACGAACCAAGGAAGTAGTCCCACTCGAGCCTTGGAATTGGGCCAGCAACCTATGCTGGTAGACTTGCCAGTTCAGTTGCAACCAACTCCACCACCTCCTCCTCCGCCTCTACCTCCAACTGTTGCTTTGAGTGACCCTGGATTTGGGAATAGGCCGAACCTGGATCGGGTTGGAGTTGCCCCTGAGAGGTTCTACATAGGGACCCCGCAAGGTCTTGTTCCGCAAGGTCATGTGCCGCAAGGTCAGGTTCCTACGCAAGGTCTTGTCCCGCAAGGTCATGTGCCGCAAGGTCAGGTTCCTACGCAAGGTCATGTGCCGCAAGGTCAGGTGCCGCAAGGTCATGTGTTGCAAGGTCATGTGCCGCAAGGTCAGGTTCCGCAAGGTCATGTGTCGCAAGGTCTTGTTCCGCAAGGTCAGGTTCCTACGCAAGGTCAGGTTCCTACGCAAGGTCAGGTTCCTACGCAAGGTCAGGTGCCGCAAGGTCAGGGTCACTGGGGTAATGGTCACTTGGAGTCGTTGTACCAGAACCCATCAGGTCTTCCCCCTAGTGCCTGTGACCCTAGTAGCGCTGAACCTACAGTCCCGGTAGCTCCACTTCAAGCCCCGGATCGTGCAGGTACGCCAGACCCTCTAAGCGTAGTCTTGACTGGTATGGCACAACTACAGGGCTTAGTCACTGAGATGGCCTCACCAAAGTCCAGCGAGAAACCTGAAGCTGTGAAACCCGGTGTTGTATCCCTGCCCGAACTCCCAGGTCTGAGTGCTGAGAGCTGTTTGTTATTTGCTGATTGGCTTCATAACACAAGGCCTGCACTAGCAGACATCAGTGATTCTTCAGAAGAGCTTTGGTCATGTGTGATTGAGGAGGCCAATGCATGGTATAAGCAGTATCTCAAGCTTGATCCACTGGGGCGTTTGTCTTCAAAGCCAGCTCCTTCAGATAAGGTGTTGCAGGTTAAGTGGCAGCGGGTATCGCGGCGAATTGAAACGATGATTTTGTCTTCGGCTCCCCAACCCATAAGGGACGAGGTCTCAGCGGCTAGGGTGTCGGGGCTTCTGCAACTCGTTTGCAAACTTTTCATAATCTACGGGCCGGGTAGCTTGGGCGAACGCGAAATAGGATTGAGGCATATCCAGGACCCACCTGCAGGGGTGGGTATCCAAGACACAATTGATCAGCTGAGACGCTGGAAGCGGTGGTGTAGTCGCATGTCAGAGCTCGGTGGATCGCTTCCGGACTGTTCGCTGCAGGTCCGAGCCCTTAGTAAGATCACCCGGAGTGCTCTAACACAGAATCAAGAGATAAACTTCCGTATCAACTTGAGTCGTGCTGCGCTACAGGTGGATATGAATCCCAGCAATGAAAGTGTTATGAAGCTTCATGCGCAGATGTTGAGTGAACTGGAGGCAGTGAACCACCGGGGCGTTAAAGAAGGGGATAAGGATAAGGTAAAGGATGGTAGCGCGCAGGCCAAGGTGAGAGGTGTTGATGCGCCGACACCTCCTCCTGCACCTAATCCTAAACCACCAAAGGGCCCTAAGCCAGGAACTACCCCTAAGACCAACTCCCAGCCGAAGGCACCGCAAGGTTCGGACCAAGCTCCAGCGAAGCCGTTGTGTACCTTTTATACTAGCCCTACTGGCTGTAAGAAGGGTATGGATTGCACCTTCGGCCATGACTGGGCGTCCTTTTCCCAGACTGAGAAGGGACAGAGGTGTAAGACTTGTGGGGCTAAGGGCCACCGTTCTGCTGAGTGTAGGGCAGGATTGAGACCGGAGGACAGGGAGAAGGCTCCGCCTAAGAATGGTCCTAAGAATTCTGCGATCCCTAAGAGTAGCGACTCCGTCCCTCCACCACCAAAGGACAATCCACAGCAGCACATCAAAAGCATGTTAGCGGAAGCAGCAAGGATACTGCAACAGACTATGCCGTCGCCGCAGGACGTTCCGAATGCAGGTCCACCAACTGTACAGGCAGTACCTATGAGCGGCCCATGTCCACCTCCTTCCTCGGTGCAGGGTGGTCCGCCAACCACCCAGGGTACCCCGGTTACTCTAGCCTCGCTGAGCGCACAGTTGGACAGCTTGCGTCATCTAAGTGGGGAACATGATGTGAGGACCGTGAAGGTTGAGGCAATGGGTGAACCACCGGGTCTAGGGGATGAGGGTCCGACGATTGAGTCGTTGAGGGCTCAATTGGCCAGCCTGAGTGACCAAGTTCGGCATCATGAGGTTCGAACTTTTGATACCCGTGAGGAGAGTGATAATAGGCTAGCCAAGGCCCTCGCGCTCTTGGATTCTGGAGCTACACACGCGGTTGTCCCATTCAATCGCTCCATGAGAGACTTGACCCAGGTGCCAGTCACCTTAGCGGGTGACTCCCGTCAGGACTGGTTGAAAACTCGGGGTGGTACGTTGGTAGTCCCGCCTAATGGGGATAAGCCGGGTAGTAGTGATCTGCCGCAGACTATCTTGCCGCTGGGCTCACTGGTTGAAACCCTGGGTTGTACTTTGTCATGGTCTCGCAGGAAGGGTTTGAAAGTTACCCATCCTACACTCGGTGTACTGCAAACTAAGGTCTCTTCAAGTTTATGCCCGGTTTTGCAAGAGGATCAGGCGCTGAAATTGATAGCAGAGCTTGAAGATCGGCGGTTGAAAGCGTTTAATGATGATGTGCAGTGCTTGGAAGCCCAGATAGAGCAGATTGAGGTCCCCGAAGATCCCACCACCTTGTTACGCCGATTTGCATCGTCGGGCTGTAGAAGGGATGCCCTTCAAGCAATCATCGCTCAGCCATACCTGGCGACCGTGACTGAAGGAGTCAAGGCTAAGCTTGCTGAGGATCTGTTGGGATTGGACGATTCGTCCGGTGCCAGGATGTTGAAGGCACTCCCAATCAATAGATCATTTCGGCGATCCCTGGTGGGCTCCAATAGCTGGGTTGTTCATCTTGGCGCGGGTTCTAAGAAGAACAGTGACCCCCTCCAGGTCTGGTGTGATGGGAAAGGGTTTACTTACTTGCCCATTGATGTTCGTAGGAACGGTGGTAAGGGATGGGATTTGACCTGGCCTCAAGGGGCTTGGCGAGCGTTACTATGGGCTGCCTGCACGGGTAGAATAGTGACGATCTTTTCCTCCCTTCCACCACAGGACTCCCAAGGCTCATGCGTGCTTCAGTTCCAAGATGTCTTCCTTTGGTCGCTTGCATCCGCTGTTAGGGGTCAAGGCATACCTCTGGTGACGGAGAATCTTGAGCTGAGGGGTGCTCGGGGTCAGGATTTCATTCGGTGGTCTGGAATGAAGGTGGTGGAATTCAGTCAGGGTGCCCTAGGCTATAAGTACATAAGGCCCACAAGGATTGTGACGAATCTTGAGTTGGGTTTTCTATCTGACTTGCCATGGGTAGGGCTGGACGAAAAGGCCGTCTCAGGCCCTGAGTGGTCTCATGAATTCCGAGCAGAACTAGTCAAGGCCCTGAAAGGAAGCCCGTCGGGTCCAACGGTGGACTCGTTAGATAGCATCATTCGTGAGGCCCTTGCTTCAAAGCCAGAGGGTAACAGGACTACGTTGCCTACGGTGGATGATGAAGCGTTGATGCGCATGTTTTGCGATGAGAGTGATGTCGAAGGAGAAGAAGAGGCGCCGACTGAGCGGGATGTTAAACCATACGGTGATGATGAGCCAGTGATGGAAGTGAAGGAGGTGACACCGAAGGATATGGAAATGTGGAAACGTCATGTGGCCAACGGCCATCTACCTTATAGAAAGGATTGCCGGAGATGCATTGAGGGGGCTGGGTTAGGCATCCAGCATCGACGAGTGCAATATCCAACATCCTTCGCGTTGAGCATTGATCTCTTTGGCCCGCTTCCGAAAAGCGACAAGGGCCAGGATGAGCAATCCGTTTCAGCGAATCCTCACTTGGCTTACGGGTTGATAGGTGCCTTTAGGGTGCCTAAGTCACTGATTACGTCTGAAAACCCTAAACCTCACTCCGAGACGGGGGTGAGTAATCCTGCCCCTGATGCTGACCCTGACCAGGGAAAGGTTCAGTTGTCGGTTCCGCCTACGCCGATTGAAGGCGATATGGACGATTATGAACCATCACTACCAGGTGACGGACTTCCGAAGGTTCTGTTTCCTGAGTTGTGGGCTAGTGATGATGATAATGCAAATGGGTTTCAAGAGCTTAGGGAGTTTGGTGCAGCGGTTGACGCGCTCGACTCCGGGTTTGGTGCAGCGGTTAACGCGCCCGACTCCGGGTTTGGTGCAGCGGTTAACGCGCCCGACTCCGGGTTTGGTGCAGCGGCTAACGCGCCCGACTCTGAGTTTGGTGCAGCGGTTGACGCGCCCGACTCTAGGGTTCCTTCTTTATGGAGTGAAGAGCAGATACCCGACGACGATGAAGGGTGGGATTCCTTGATAAGCGATCTTCAACAGCCTTGTGAGCAGGTCGTCCTCAGGTTCTTTGTGGGGCTGAAGTCCAAAAAGGGTCCCGACGTGACTGCTGGAATCCAGAGTATGGTGTTAGGGATAAACCGCTTGTTTCCAGTTCGCGTGCTCCATTGCGACCCGGGCACTGAATTTACCACTGATGCTTTGAAGACCTGGTTGAGTGGAAATTCGATAAGACTACAGCATCCGTTGCCAGCTGATAAACAAGCCAATGGATTGGCTGAACGAACCATCGGCTGGGCCAAATCCAGAGCTAGGACACTCCTGGGTTCTGCTCGTCTTCCGGTGAAGTATTGGCCACTTGCCATTCGGTGGGCCACGGCGTGCCACAACAGAAGTATTCTAGGCCAACCTTCCCTCCCTGCATTCGGTCAAGCTGTTCTCCATCGAGTTAAGAAACCTCCAGGAGGAGTCAAGGACCTGATGGATAGATGGGTTGAAGCCCGTTACTTGGCACCTCACTTGACTATATCAGAGGGTCATGTCTTGGTTACGGAAGAAGGATTGCTGGTTGCTTCAAAGGGTTTCCGCACCAATGCAGTTGATCCAGAAGCTTTGGAGGGTTTCAATCTACCTAGGCTGCAGGAACAGGAGGAGTCAATCCTTGACAAGCCTTCAGATGCCCCAGATAAGATCCTAGTTGGGGATAATAAGGTTGGAGAGTCACCGGATGGCTTGAGGTCTGATTCCTCGCCTGTAAGGCCCCTTAGGCGCATAGTCGGTAAGTCGAGGGTTAAGGCCTTAATGTCAATCCCCGCAAGAGAAATTGATCCAGATGAGCTAGCTGGTGGTTTGATTGAGGAGGCGGATTACTCCAATGAGGCCTTTAAACTCCTGATTACAGCGTTGGGGGAACGAGAGAAACCTTCGAAGGACCGTAGGGGTGAGTTTGAAGATAGGTTTGTATTCGGGGCATTTTGCTTTGGAGGAAAGCGAGGAGTTACCACTATCTCCTATCGCCGCTCAATTGTGGTGCAGTACATGAACAGGTTCATGCGGAGTCGACTTACCTCCACCACCCCTTCTGAGTGTCCTACGTGGACTGCATTGATGGTGATGAAGGCCGATGAGGTTGATGTTCACAAGGACTATCGCAATGAATGGGGTTCAAGGAACCATGTGCTGTGTGTACCCGGAGGCTTGGAGCTTAACATAAGAGCTCCCGATGATGAACCTAAGGGTGAACCACAAGTTGACAAAGTCATGTTTAAAGATGAGGTAGTGGCCTTTGACCCAAGAAAGCCTCATTCGGTTATTAGACATCCGGATTGGTTCTTGATAGCTTACACTCCGTTAGGTTCAACGAAATTGGACCAGGATAAGTGGGATGATCTAGTTGAGCTGGAATTCCCGTGTGCCTCTTTAGTAGCATCGGTGCATAAGGTTTGTGCCTTTTCGGTTGGAGGTGCGGCGTCCAGTTCTGATCGGCCACCCCCCCGCAGTGCCGATTGCGAAATGCCAGATGATCAGGAACCTATAGAGGATTATAGCATAAATCAAGATCTTCAGGCAGATAGCGTTACAGCCATTGTGGGCTGGGATTTCACGACTGGTGAACCGGTTGGACACCCGCCTCTTAACCTTGAAGAGTCCGATATGCAAGAGTTCCTTGATGAAAGGGGAGTGGGACATGTATCCACTCGACTGCTTGCTCTGGGAGTTGATTGCCCAGCGGATCTGGTGTACCTCTACATCGAGGACCTGATGGAGTTCGGCTTGAGGGAGGAAGAGGCAAGAGCTGTGATGGAAGGTATACACCCTCCTGGAGCGCTTAGACCCGATAATCCTAACATGTGCGCCCTGAGGACTGGGGAGGTTCGGCTTATGGATAGGCAGCACCGGTTACTGCCTTGGGTACATCAAAATCGCACGCTGAATTACCGTAATCCCGGTCCACCCGTCCATGGCCTTGGTGTAAGAGAGGAAGGTCCACAGCAAGTCCCCGTGTACTTGGGTTGGGAAAATGACCCAAGGAATTGGCCAAATGAAGTTGATGATGACGGCAATGATGTAGAAGAAATGTTTCAAGACACAGGTTCAATGGAGTTGCCATGCCCACAGGTAGCTATGTCATCTGCCGGTGTGGAAGAGCCTCGTGTCCTCGATGGCCAACTGTGTGATGATTATGAGAGTTATTCCATGATGATGCAACAGATGTGGGAAGATGTGAGTGATCCGGTTGCTCCATCCACCTCACATACAGGTGGGAACGTGAGCGCTTCCTCCAATGATCCTATCGAGGGGTTTCCACGCACGTATCCGACGGAGTTGCCGGACCCACGGGACCTTGATAGATACCAGTGTAGGGCACTTCACTTCGAAGGGCCTAGATCGAAGCACTTGGACGTTGGCAGGACAGCCACTCCAAGTAGCTCGGTTCAGTGCACTTGGCATCCAGTCGAGTCCCCGCAGAGGACTGACAACGAGAGGGGACGGATTGATGTTCCTCTTGATGATCCTCTGTCGGCATTATCCTTTGCGGGAAGGGTATGCGGTGCTGTGCACAGTGTCCAGAAAGTGGATGAAACCATGTTCACTAAGGATGTTGAAGGCCTCATTGCAAATCTTACCAGTCCTTTAAAGGTTGTTCATAACGTATCCCCGGCGGAAGTGAGGGCTCATTTGGCAGAGTGGAAACCGTCAGCCATTGCAGAAGTAGAAGCCTTAGAGAACATGATGGCAATTAGACGACTGCGTGGTAATGCTGCTATTGAAGCAGCTGCTGTTCCCGGCACACAGCTTCTCCCGGCGAAACCTGTGTTCACTTTGAAACCTGGTACAGGTGATGCATGGTTCAAGCGCAAGTGCCGCATTGTCGGATGCGGGAACTATGAGCAGAGGGATGATAGTCTCGAGCTTTACGCGAGTGGCGTCCCAGCGGACGTCCTCCGTACGGCGCTTGTGGAGTCTTCCGCCAGTTCTTATGGTGCTTTCATCACTGATATTAAGAATGCCTTCTTACTGGCACCAATCCCGGAAGCTGAGAAGGTGAGAATTCTTCTGAAACCACCGAGAATTTTGGTGTTGATGCAGATCGTTGATGAGAATGAGCTCTGGCTCATAGACAGAGCAATGTACGGCTTGAGACAATCACCGAGATGGTGGGGAAGCTTCCGAGACGCCACATTAGCTTCTGCATCATGGCAAGGGGACACGGGATCTACAAGGTTTGTTCAGTCTAAGGTTGAGTCCAACCTGTGGCGTTTGATGAATGATCGTGATGAGACGGTTGGATTAGTAATAGTCTACGTTGATGATCTCATGTTCTTGACATCAGACAGTGAAGCTGAGAAGGTGCACACTTGGTTGAAGAGTGTGTGGCAGTGTACGCCTCTTCAGAAGGCGGCGCCCCAAAAGCCAATCACCTTCCTTGGCGTAGAGGTGTATGTTGAGAAGGACTCTGTTGGCAACGTAGGCTTCAAGCTTGGCCAACAAGGCTACATCGAAGAACTACTTCGCTGCCATGAAGTGACCCCAAAGCACCGTTCGCCATTGTCCAAAGAGATGGTGAAAGAATTACCGGAGAATGAGGACTACACTCCGAGTGAACTACGTGAGGCGCAACGAATCACAGGAGAGCTATTATGGCTGTCCCAGAGAACGCGTGTGGATATTGCTTTCAGCGTGTCCCTCATGGGATCGTGGTGTACCAGGGCACCAAGGCACGTAAAAGCGATGGGTTTGAGGATCCTTAGCTTCCTGGGAAATACCGCTGACCATAAGCTTTCCTTAATTCCAGACCCTCAGGCCCCTAAGAGAGTAGTGTGCTACACAGACGCGTCCTTCGCACCTTACGGAGGGTTCTCAATTACCGGGGTTTTGATTAAGTTCAGGGGTTGCACCATTGTATGGAAAGCGAAACGCCAAACAATAGTTTCCTTGTCGACTGCTGAGAGCGAGTTGATCTCAGCTTGCGAAGGCACCGTGATGAGCCAGAGTACGGAAGCAATGATTGTAGACCTCATAGGACCCCTAGACCCTAAGCTCCTGCTAGTAGATAACTTGGCCGCGATATCGCTCGCGGAAGGCAGTGGAACTTCCAGAACTCGCCACTTGAGGGTGAGATCGGAGTTCATGAAGGACCAAGTTGACAAACGCGAGCTTGAAATCGACCATTGCCCAGGGGATGTGCAGTTGGCGGATGCTTTGACTAAGGTTTTACCGGGACCCCGCCATAACACCCTAAGTTGGTTGATAGGTCTAGGTCCTGAACCCAGTAGCGCGCAGGTTGCATTCTTGAGGACCTCAGACCGTGTGGCAATCCCTCAGGAGTTTCAGAATCTACGCTTGAAACTGGTGTTGATGGTGTTAGCTGCTCAGCTGTGTGAGGCTGAGTCTGTGCAAGATGATGAAGCGTTTGAACATGAGCCCTTGAGCCTAGAGTTGTCATTTATGGCGCTTTTATTAGTTCTATCTGCACTATTTGTCTGGGAGTCGGGTAAATATTGCCTGGCACGATGGATGCGTGATGACTGTCCCAGGGTGCAGGTTGTTAGTGCTTCAGATGATGAACAGCTTAGTAGGAGGGTGAGACGTCAGGAGGCGGTTAGGAGAGCGATAGAACAGCAGGTTGAGGACCCAGGTTTGAGGAGGAGATCTGGGCACTTGGACGAAGGCCGTTCCTCTCCAAGTTGCCAACCCTCACCGTTGGTTCAGATTCAGCTTGCAAATACTGAGCTACAGAGGCCCATGCCCTCTACTGTTGCTGCAAATCTGGATGTGGATTTATTCCAGGAGGAGCAGCGGCATACTCCACTTCCACCTCCTCCACCTCCTACTGTTCCTCCGAAATCTTGTAGTCCTGCTGTGCCTAGTGGTAGTGAAAGTCGAAGCCGTGAAGGCCGTGAAGTTGGAACGCAAACGGACTTCAAACAGGGTCTCACCTACGAAGAGATGTGTGAAATCCATATGACCACTAGTGCCAGTAGGACACCTGGAGCCATACATATCTTTCCTGATTGCCACGCACTGCGAGGAGTTGCCAGTACTAACCGTAGACAGTTCTGTAGGTATTGTATCCAAGCAGCTGCTAGGCCAGGAAATCGGTGATTGTGAGAACCCTCCCAAAGGGATGTTTCTCAAGGAGGAGTGTCGAATTCCCTTCCCTAGCATAGCTCCTAGGTTAGGTAGAGTTCCACTTCTCCAACTGAGGCTTGCGAATTCGGGAGCCATGACGGCTCTGAGAGGGCTGAGCCCTCGAAGGCTTGAAGCCATGATCGGCAGAAGCCAGCAGCACGCACAGTCTAGCTCGTCTAGAGGACAGCTAGGAAGCAGCTTGGCAGGTCGTTGCGAAAAGTTTAGGCGCTTTGTGAGCCCATGGAAGGTGCGACCGAGTTCTGCGTTGAGGCTTGAACTGATCTTCAGAAGTTACCATGGCATCAGCGTCAAGTGATAATCCAAATTTGATGGATCAGCCCTCTGCTGATCAACAATCCCTTATAGGAACCCTTAAAAGGAGCCCCTATTTTCGGAGACTCCCAAAAGGGGCTGAAAGAAGCCATGTTGGGGGTTGCGGGTGTGGAGGCCTTTTTCTTCAAGGCCTGTCGGGCTTAAGGTCTGGACTTTACCTTCACCCCAAATACGGTTTAGGGTTTTGGGTTTAGGGTTTAGGGGTACATGTTTAGGGACTTATATAAGGAAATCATAATAGGGAACCCTTCAAAGTTAGGTTCTTCAGGGTTAAGATAGGGTTTCTACACCCTAAACCTAAACCGAAGGCGGTAGGATCTTATGATGTTTTCGAGCTTAATGTTCGGAGCGTAGGCTTTATCGAGAATTAGGGGTACCTCATTTGGGGGTCCTTATAATAAGGATCCTACTATTTAGGGTACTACATTAGGATTCGGAAACAGTCAGATATCGATTCATCAAGGTCGCGACCTGGCAGCCCTGTGTGCCAGATTCGTGTTCACGCTCCGGACGAGTACCATTAAGGGCTCCAGGTGTGGGATCCACTGATGCTTTCTAATAACATGAAGTGCAGAGACCCAGGATGCCAATGTTTCAAGACTGCAACACGTCTCTCAGTAGTTCTAGACAAGTACAGTGTTTAGGGGGGTCTTTTTCTGATTATCCGGACTGCATTGCAAAACCCGGCCGCGGTGCCCATGTGTTTCAAGCCTGACACTGTAGACGTGGATTGTCACCCTAGCACATAGTGGGGCCCGCAAAAACAAACAAACACACACACACACACACAAGAACTACAAGACTGTTAGTGGGTCATTTAGTCCCAGGTTGGGTGACGACACGATGCTTACGGCCGGATGCCTAGAAGCTGTGTGGGTTTGGGGTCGTGGTTGAACGTTGTCTCCGAGGTTTGGGCCCTGAGCCTTTGAGTTTGAAGTTGAGACTCAGATTCTGCTGGGTGCAGCGTCTGATGCCTGAGCATTGAAGAGCGAGGGTTAGTCCGGATCCCATTTCACGAACCACTGGGTTTAGGGTTTAGAGCGCTTGGCTGCATGTGGAGCAGACTTTGCTCGCTTGGTGCAGCAGGAGCTCCATTTCTATCATTTGCGTTGGTCGTCCTGTGTGGTGCCTTTCTCTGTGTCATTCGGAGGTTATTCTTGTGCATGCACATATACGCAAGCAGACAAACAATTCATCAACCCTAGGCCCTCACAAACCCGCAGCCACGGGAAGCCAAAAGCCCGAAATCTTCCATTCTGTGAACTCCGAAGAGAATCATAAGCAAGCAGCCTTACAAATCGGCACAGCCCGCAGAACCCCCAAAGCCTAGAACCCAAGCTCCTGAGCCCTACAATATTCAGCGACACACATTCCCTCAACCCCGAAACGTACACTAAACCCCACATCCACAAAAGCCAACCCAAAACCCGAGGCACTTGGCGACGACCCAAGCAATGGCATGGTTAACGCAACGGGGCCGTGAACCATCGCTTTTCGGGTTTGGGGTGTTACCAGTTGTTCAGGGTTTACAGCTTTGGGTGGTTCGGGGCTTTAGTTGTGTTGGTTTAGGGGACCTCGCGCAAGGGCACTCGGAGCAGGTGCGGACGCCCACACCCAAAACCCTTAACTCCAAACTCTAAACCCTAAAACCCCGAAAGAAAGAAGGTATCGGCGCATTTACCTATTGTCTCTATCGTAGGTCACTCCCAAAACGAACTGCAATGGAGACTGTAGAGCCACTGCTTAGGGTTTGACGTTTCTGGGTCTTTGCTCCTTCTTTACCGGGATCTAACGGTATCTCCAGCTTCTAAGGGGGTGAAGTATGTATGGTCTGTAGAAGATTGGATACAGTAACCATGTTCCTTCGTAGTCCCTGTCTAATCTTACTCCAAGCCAGACCCCCGAACCTAAAATCCTAAACCCTAGTCTATTCATTTAAGGCTCCTACGCTAGTCCACGGCACATGCCGGCACCCGAACTCAGCTTGAGAGCAGCACTTGCAGATGTTTTTTCCTGAGGTTTGAAGTGCAGGGTATGGGGTCTATTGTTCTTTAAGGTTCAACTTCAATTAAGAGTCCCATGTCTGAGCCTTTGTGCTGTTTCAGGTATCCTTCGGGGGCGTCCGCCGGCCACGAATTGGGGTGCTGGAAGTCTCTGTTCTCAGCAATTAACCCCGCTCAACCCGCTGCAACCTCTCTTTTGATATCGGAGATGGGGGTGCTGCTTGGAGTATCATCATCCTCATGATGCCGTTACTACGATTCCTGCCGCTGCAATTCTTGCTGCTAGTACTGCTACTGATAGAACTTCAACAGCTATGCTGCTGTTGCTCCTCATCCTTACTACCAACCAGTAGCCTTACCACTAACCAGTAGCAGCACAAACAAGCAGGAGCAGCAGTAGTAGTAGGAGTAGTAGCAGAAGTAGCAGTAGAAGCAGTAGTAGTAGTAGTAGTAGTAGTAGTAGTAGTAGTAGTAGTAGTAGTAGTAGTAGTAGTAGTAGTAGTAGCAGTCGCAGTGGCAGTCGCAGTGGCAGTCGCAGTCGCAGTAAGTAGCAGTATCAGTAGCAGTAGTAGCAGCAGCAGAAGCGCGACCCACGCCATAGGACCCGCAATGTGTTAACAGGACTTCCATGACTAGCTGCAAAGCAACAAATCGAATACTGTTTCTATACACGGTTCAATAGAGGTGTTATAGGGTCGTGTAGAGTCTACATGCAGGGGTGTTAACAATTTTCAGCAGGGGTTTGCGGCAGGGTCCCCAAGGAATACGGTTCTCGCTATCCAGGCTCATATAGTAGGGTTTTCGGAAGCGCTTCTTGTTGCCCAAAGTGTCCGATGGTCCAAAACGTATGGGATACAAACATGTACTCTGCGTTGAGATGCAGTGAGTTATACTGAAGCGTTATGTAACCCAAATAGTTATTAGACGCCTCTAGAGTTTCGATCCAACGTGTTCGACAAGTAGTGTACCTAGTAAGCTAGCAGTAATGTGTGATGCAAAGCAATGCTGAAAATCAAAACCCCACAAAAATCGCTGCAACTCTGCACCCTAATCCGTAAACCTCAACCCTTCGTAACCCTTATAGTAACTCTTCTAAAACGACCTAATATACAAACCCTTAAAGGCCCCGCGGTTTGAACAAAAATGCCAGGTCAACTGTCCACTGGAATCCGTGCGACGGTACTCTGGGGCGGTCCTTCCTGACATGTTGAGGGCTTCGAGATTCCTCGAAGGGCTCTCTTTGACCTTACCTTTGGTTACTATAGGGTTCCTCTAAAGGGATCTATAGGGTTCCTAGGGTTCTTTAAAAGGGTTTCTTACCTTTGGTTAGTAGGGAATGGAGGAATGGGGTATAATTCGAACTACTATTGCTACCATTCTTCCATTCCCTACTGAGCAAAGGTAAGTAATTTCTATAGTAAGGGTGCTGGGTTTGGGATGTTGCTGAAAGCTGTAGGAGTTGAATTTACAGGTTGATAGGGTTAATCAGGAGGCTTAAATTCAAGGCTTTGTCCGCGTTTGTTGAAGGCTAAGGTTCATTTTGGGTTTAAGGGTGTGTCGTTTAGGGTTCAGGGGTGTGGGGTTAATGCCCAACACCGGGTACGTCATCCTAGTAGAAACGTTACCTCTCTGCTACTCCTCTAATCACCTATATAGCAGCAGTCATCACTATCAACCAGCACATGGTGGCACAGTCAACATCTACGAGCCTCTTTGTGGTGTCAGCTTGCCCAATACTCCCGATGACGTAGTCTTACGTGACCCTGAACCTAAGTTCGTAAAACCCGAGCACCCTCAACCCTAAACCCTAAACCCATACTAAACCTTAATAAGCCCTAACCCTAAACCCTCCACCTTACGCGACACGTTTTAAACCCTAAACCCGCAACCCTTAGCCCTTAATCACCGGTGTCCTAGCCTGTAAGCCCCAAAAGTCCTAAGCTTTGAGCCCCAAGAGTCCTAACCCCCAAGCCGGAAACAGCCCTTAACATGAACCACCGAAAGCCCTAGCCCTCATCCACAAATCCGGTTCTTAAAGCTTACAGCTACACACGTGCCTAAATGATTAGGAATAGTTATACTGGGGAACCCCAAAGTAGTATTGGCAATGATTTCGGCGCCTGCCTTAACATATTGGCCTGTCTGTTCACATGACACGCACGAGGGCTCGCAGCAGTGTCGGTGCAAGATACGTTTAGCGAACTCCGAAGCCTCTTTTTGGGTCAAGCTTTTAGGCACCGCTTGTGAGCGGGTAGTCTAGGAGTTTGACCGCCTTCGGGCGAGAGGCCCCATGCCGGGGCCGTGGACGCGATTCAGGAAGGACCCAGATGCCTGGGCTTCCTGGAATCCCCAACCTGGGGACTACGCTGAGGCACGTGTCTTCGACATAACTGGTGCCTCTCAGGGGACCATCGTGGTCCGAATGGTGGGGTGTGACCCCAAAGGTGCCGCCGGCCAGTGGCTTAGTGTCGCTGTGGTCGCGGTCTCCGACGAGTACCTCCAGTGGTGGCTAGATGCCGGCCCGGGGTACGTCAACGACCGGGTGTTTTGGATGCACCTTTGCTCCAAGCCCCAGTCCCGCTGTCGGGCTCGCAAGGACGACCCCGCCTTTGAGTTCCACGTGGACGAGCTCCGCACCTTGGCCCTCGGAGACCTGACAGCGGGAACTCCCGACTTCCTAAAGCACGGACAGGCAGCCGCCGATCTCCGATGGGAGTTGGACCGGCTAGCTCCGAAGGAGCGGGAGACAAGAGTGCCCTCCCACCGGCCGCGGCCGGGAAGGCTCCCCCTTACGGGGCTGTAGACCCCGGGAGAGCCCCCGCTGGCCTGGGACAGGCCTTGTCCGAGCTTGCCGCGGACCTCGATGAAGGCCCGGCGAAGCCAAAGGGCAAAAAGAAGCGGAAAGCAGAGGGAGGCCTCTTGGCACTCGCTGAGGCGGAGAGCACCTCACCCCCCGCGCGGGGAGGCGGAGCCGGGGCCCTGGCCAAGAAGAAAAAGAAGAAGAAGAAGGAGAAGGGCCCCGACGCCCATCTGGAGAAGAAGAGGCGCAACTGGTGCAAAGCGGAAGCACCGGAGAGCATCTCTTCAAATACCTCCAGGGAGCAGGACTCCAGTTCCAGCTCACCCTCTGCGGAGGAGGCACGGGGGTCCAAGGACAGGGCCGTGGCCAAGAAGAAAAAGAAAAAGAAGAAGAAGGAGAAGAAGGGCAAGCCCGATCGGGGCCCCTTCGGAGTCGGCACCAAGATCCAGTTTGGGGATCAAGGGGACTCCGACTCCTCTGAGTCGGGTTTTCAAGACTCTCCGACCGTGCAAGACCGACACCTGGCCCTCCTGGAGTACGCCGAGCGCGTGCCGGGGAGGCTGGCGTCGAGGCTTCTGCTGAAAATGCAGGCGTTGCTAGCGCGCACGGGAGGGGCGGTCAAGAACGTAGCCCGGAGAGGAGACCCAGCACCGGCCGTGGCCGTGTCGTACTTCCTGACGGTCCTCAGCAACGAACACCGCCAGGCGATGACCGTCCGAGTGGCGAGGGAGCTTCGGACCCTCTGCAAGGTGCTCGACCACCTTGTGGACGGCGAGACCCGTCAGGCGGCCGACGTAGCCGCTCAGCGGATAAAGGCCCTGGACGTGTTCCTGGCAGAGGGTCAGTGGTTCAGGGCTCAGCACCTCGAGCTCATCCCCCGCGAGGGCTCCACCCTGGTGGAGACCGACGAGGCCATGCTGATGGTGGCCCAGCAGAAGCTGGAGCAGAAGCTGAAAGGGGGAGGAAAAGGGTGGTATCCTCAGGGAAAGGGGAGCGCCCAAGCCGAGGGCGGTCACCAGACCGCGGAGCCCGACAAGAAGGGAGAGAAAGGGGGGAAAGCCGGCGGAAAGAAAGGAGGAAAGTCGGGGGCGAAGTGAGCAAAGCACCCCCCGCGGGGGAGGACCCCGACCAGGAGCCAGATTGGGGGGGAGACGATCCTCCCGATCCGGGCCCAGACCCGGGAGGCAACGAACCAGAAGATGAGGAGGAGGACTCCGAGGAAGAAGAGAAGGAGGTGGATGATGTTGTCTCCGCTGATCCTCCCTTTGATCTCCAAGAGGACTACGACGCCCTCGGAGATACCGAGGACACCTTCGACTGGGTCGCGCCCGAGGCGCGCAAGAGCTGGGGCCACGAAGGGCTCTTGCTCCACGTCCAGAACCTCTTCCGCAAGGGCGTCAAGTGGAGGGATGTGGCTGACTGGCTGTGCGTCAACTCGCGCAATTTCCCTACCCGGTGGGGCGCCTTCCACAGCGTTTGTGCCATCCAGGAGGCGAGCCACCCAGGCGCTCCCACCACTAGGGACGGCCCCAGCGACATCCTCCCCATCTCCATCTCCGCCCTCGATGCGGAAGGGCTTCTTGAACCGCGTGTGCGCGGGATGGTCAAGGCCTATTTCATGGCCGCCAACTACCTCTTCTGCTGCGGGTGGCACCGGCCTATCTGCTTGCCGGCCCCCCCGGGATTGTCCGAACGGCAACGGACCGCGGTCCAGAGCTTGGCTTCTATGATGGAGCCCTGTGGGGCCGATGAAGAGGGCCTTGGGACTTACGAGGAGGCCAGGGACATCCTGGAGGCGGTGGATTTCGACTACGAGGGGAAGGAGATCCACCGCATCACTGACATCAACCCCGAGCTGGTGATCGCCGCTTGGCCAAAGGAAGGCGAGGCGGCCGTGTGTCCCGCGACTCACTTCATCGAAGGGGACCTTCTTGAAGCCGTCCTCAACCCGAAGAGGCACTGGCGGGAGGCGGCCGAGCAGCCAGCCGTTGCCAGGAAAGGTGCGGTTCACGCCACGGACGAGGCCTGGGCGCAGGTGGTGGAAGCCGGCGGGGATGTTTACGGCCGTGGAGGATTCAGGGGCACTTCGTCACTAACGGTGCGGGTGCGGTCAAGAAGCTCAAGGATGGCCGAGAGGTCCAGAGGTTCATCGCGAACCTCATCCCGGCCAATGAGTTTCTCCTGGACCTCCCGGGCGAGCAGCACCTCCTCCCCTATGTGGCGCAGATGTCTCTCTTCTGCCTGGAGGAGGACCAGCTCATAATGGTGGACTCCGAGGACTTGACCTCGGCCTTCAACCTCTTTACCCTCCCGGAGGGCTGGTCCCGGTACTTTTCCTTCTCCAAGAAGGTGCCGGGACGCTGTCTGGGCTTGTCCCAGGAGTGGGCCAGGCCAGCGTTGCGAGTGGTACCCATGGGGTGGAGCTCCTCTGTTACCCTGGTCCAGGCCATCCTTCGAAACCTTGTTTTCAAGAAGGCCTCGATACCCAGTGCGCTGGAGATCAACAAGGTGAAGCCCTTCCCGGGCAGCCACGGGGCCATGCTCTACCTGGACTCCTTTGATGAAATCAGGGTGGTGAACGCTGCTCTTTCGGACCTCCTGAGCGGAGAGGAGTCGGAGAACCACAAGCGGTTCAAGGAAGCCTGCCAGCGACACGGGCTCCCGCTCAATGCCGGGAAGTCCCTGGCTGGGGCGGTCCAGGCAGGGATCCAGGGGGGCCATCTGGATGGAAAGAAGGGAACCCTCTCCTTTGCTCCCGACAAGGCCCGGAAGCTAGTGAAGGCCTCGCTGGCCCTTATCGCCGAGGGGGCGTGGACAGAGCGTATGCTTAGGCGCTGGGTGGGCCTCGCCACCTTCGCCGCCGCCTTCCGCCGACCGCTTTTCTCGGTCCTCCAGGAAGTCTTCTACCTGATAGAAGAAGCGAAGCACGGCCCGGTGGCTTCCAACAAGGCAGTCATCGATGAGATCATCGCCTTTATCTGCATGCTCCCGAAGCCAGGACCGACCTGCGGGCGAGAGTTAGGAGAAGGCTCGTCTGCACAGACGCTTCTCCCTACGGCGGAGGAGCCACCGTGGCCACAGTCCCAACCCAAAGGGTCCGGGGTATCTCCTAGCGACGTGTCGGTGTCTCCTAGTGACGCTCCCGTCTTCTGGGCTCTCTGGGGCGAGGGCCTGGACCCTGCACCCAAAATATGCCACGTACCCTGAGGTTCCTTGGGCCCTGGGTTTGAGGGCCCCTTCGAATCTTAAAGGTTTCCCTGATGCACTTCAAGCGCGAACGGCTGATGGTCCACAGGTGCACTCGATGTATATGTTGCTTGCAACATGTAATATATAGGCACACCCGATATGCACAGCCACATAACAACCCAAGCTTTCTGAGAGCCCGGAACAAGCTTGTGTGCACTCTTTTCGTTGGGATGTGCAGCAGCTGCTTCGAGCGGCAGCAGCATGCCTCGCAAGAAGATCTTTCGAGGCCGGACAGTGTTCTGATGGTGGCGACGGTGATGATTCATTTTAAAGACTTTCGTGTAGCAAGATGACGATGCATGTCATGCCAACAGGACGACCTTGCATGATAGGGATGATGATCATATATTGGCGGTGGTGATGGTGATGACTATGATGAATCTAGTGATTGTGCGATGGTTCGGCTGGCGCAGTTTCTAAATGTGGCATGCTGTGGAGGTTTTTTCTCAAGAGATCTCAAGAGCTAGGGTCGGTTCTAAAGGACTTTGCTCCGACAGCAGCTAGGTACAGTGCTTGCCCTACATTGCCCTACATGCACTGACGGTGCAATCTCAAATCTTAGTGGGATCCGGTGTTTCTGTGGTTGCATCATGGCATCCAAAAAAGCGGCTGCTGCCGCCTCCGTGACCATTGCGCTTTCGGAAACCGAAGCGACCCTGTGCGGTCGCTCACACGCATCTGTGCGAACTGCCTAACATATGCAATAAGTGCGCACATCTCACATGCACACATATGTCGTAGCTGATTCTGAGGTGTGCTCAAGCGAAACTTGAAGACCGACGATTTCATCCGTTGCGCTAGATCTGATCCACCCGAGAACACGTTGCTGTACATCAGCAACCCATGCACCATGGACGATCTCAGCCGATACCTTGATTTGGTGGAAGACTTCTTTAGAATTTCACCAGAAGGCTGGGGACGTGTCGTAAGCTGTCATGTTTATACATGCACTAGCATGGGCCAGGTTCTTCATGCATACACGTACACGTGCCAGAGGTGAGTTCTCCGGAACTTCTCTGCAGATGGTGTTCGGCAAGCTGAACGAGGAAAGCGAGTTCAAGCTTGCCAAGGCCAAAACGAAGTTCTACCTGAGGAAATGGATGTCGGAGGCACTTGAGCTGTTCTGAAGTTGCTCTGTGCTGATTTCGAGAATCGATTCTGTGTTGTTGGTTTGACAACTTGAGAGTATAGCCCTTTCATGCAGGAAGCCTACAGCTTGGCGAATCTTCTATCCTTTGGCAGAAGATACTGGCGCAAGTCTCTTTCGCGAGCTACCAAAACCGAGGCTTCCTGCTTGCCCATAACGATTGAAGCCCACACATTGGTCTATGTGTTGCTTGACCTAGCAAGCTGAGGTTGCACAGAGGCTGCAGGCTGTGATGCGGCCGAATCAGAAGAAAGCCAGGCCCATGTGTAGGAAGGAGCAGAAAGATTCAGGAGAACCGGCAGAGCCCGAACCGGTTCCTGCTGAAGACGATGATTGCATCATGCTGGTGGATGACGACGAGCCCGAGTTGTTGCCGGAAGAACCAGCCCTGCAGGAAGGTCTTTCGGATGCGATAGGCAGTGCTTGTGTTTAAATTTCATGCACGAGCTTGGTAGTGTCATATTGCAACCGAGTTGTTAGCTATAGGCCAAACGGAAGCGATTGGTCCTGCAGCTTCGTTGGTGGATGATCATGATGATGAGCCGGATCATTCGGGTCAGGAAGAGCCATCTCTCATGGAAGGTGTTTCGGATGTGATTGCAAGTTGTTTCGTTGTTTCGTGTGCTTGCACTTTGTGGTGTCACAATGTCGCCCAGCTGCATTCAAGTAGGCCAAGCGGAAGCGATTGAGCCTCTTCCTCCGCGAGCTGGAGATGATAATGTCGTCATCAGCGATGACGAAGTTGAGGACGATCGTGTTAGCCGTGCAGCTGAGACTGCACCCGAGGGTGTCCCGGAGCCGAGCTGCACTAAGGACACCGCTGTAAGCCACCCACCGGACACGGAAGCTTTTGTAATAGGCTCGGAGTCGGAAGATGAGACTCGTCCGGAAAGCTCCGGACAAGATGAGATGGTGTCTTGGCCAGGTGACCGTGCTGAAATGCACCCCAACCCTCATCCTTTCCGCCGCTGCGACACCAGCTGCTCCAGCATTCTTATCGACTCACCTGTAAAAGTGAGTGTGGCCAAGTCTTGTGATGAGCTTTCAAGTGCATTGCCGGGCAGCTGTGCTTCCTTGGAGGGTGCTCTTCAGAGCCTGAGTTTGTCACCTGCCACTGGAAAGACGGAGGCTCTTTCCCTCACGCTCCCTCTCCCTCTCTCTCTCGGCTCTCTAGGCTCTCTCTCTCTCTCTCTCTCTCTCCCTCTCTGGATTCTGTGCCAGCTTTCGTGTCGAGTGAAGAATAAACAGTTTCAGCATGGGCAGGTGGCTGCAGCATCCTCTTCACAGACGCCGCAGCCAAATCTAGTCATTGACAAGTACCCGGCCATCAAGCCCCCTGCAGCAGACTTCCTGCGCGAGGTGGAGCAGGAGACTTCGACCGCTGATCCCCCGCCGTACAATGCCAACGGCCAGCAGGCAGGGAAAAAGAGACGACGCCGTGGCAAACAGAACGAGGGTGGCAAGAAGCAGAAGGTTGCTTGCGACGAAGAGGGCGGCGATGAAGATTGCGATGAGGGTGGTGAGGCTGACCAGGACGGACATGAGGGGAAAGAAGAGGAGCGCCAGCAGCCGATCTTGCAGAAGCCTAAGGCTGCGACGAAGCCGCCAGCAGCAAAGAAAAACAAGGCGAAGGAGGCAGCGAAGCCTCCGGCACAGAAGCCAAGCTCGAAGGGCAAGGCGGGCAAAAAATCGATCCCACCTGTTGAGGAGAAGGACAAGGACGACTGTGCTGAGCCGATCAAAGAGGATAAAGAGGAGAAGCAGGGCAAGGACGGCGACGGTGAGCCGATCAAGGAGAAGAAGCAGGGCAAGGACGGCGACGGTAGTGATGCTTCGATTCCTTCCTTGGAGGAGGTCAAAGCCAAAGGTGGTTTCGTGCCTCCGGATCATGTGCATGGCAACAACATTTACTCGAATGCCTACAGGCAGTCGTTGAAGGAGAGCAACGATATCGAGGCGGCCAAGAAGCGGGGCAGGTACGCAACTGCTATTTTCAAGCAGTATCGTCTGGTGATCCCTGGCATGTGCGGCAACTTTCGTGCCCCTCGTCTGGCCAAAAGGGCCACTGGGGATGCAAAGCCAAAAGGCGAGACTGCAGACAAGAGTGTCGCATAGACTGTACAGATTTTCATCGTGTCACGTGTGACATGCACACGACCGGCTCGATACTGCAAGTACGTGCCATACGTGTTTTGTACATGTGTGCAGCAACGAGTGAAGTCGCGAGTAGACTGGGCAAAGTCGTAGGGACTGCAGCGAGTTTGCGCCGGGCAGCACAAGTAGGACACAAGGAGAGCGGGAGAGAGAGGGAGAAAGAGTATAACCATAGAGTCTATAGATATACCTTCAGAACCCTCTATGTGTATACCCTATGCACCCCGAGCTGTGTGTTTACCTACAAGCCCTAATCCTTCAGCGGCCTCCAAAAGCCCAGTGTCAGAGTGTTGCATGTGCAACTATGCATGCAGAGTCAATCAGCCGATGTTGACAGTGTGCCGATCAGTGTGCCCGTTTGCATGTTTCAATTGCAATTGCAACGACCATTAGCGATGCCTCCTCTCGTTTCTCAAGCATCCTGAGCATCTGTCCAAGTGTTGCAGAAGCAAACATGGGTGTGATCACGACTGGCTTGCTTTCGCGAGCATGCCGTCGAGGCACACAGTTCCTAGACTTTATCTAGATTTCGAGCATGCCTCTGCCGTCTCACTCATGCACAGTGTCGCTCATGATCTGGTGTCTATAATAAGGACTTCTGATGATGATGATGGCGGTTTGCCTGATGCAGCACTGCCTCGGCCAGTACCGGTTTTTCAACCAGCTCTCCCAGGGCGGCTGCCAGTTCGCCTGTACAACCTGCTGGCCAAAATGGTACGAGCTTCTTGGCCAGGACCATGCAATTTTGATTGTTGCGCGAGCTTACAGGACCAGGATTGTGGCAGAAGTTTACCCGAGTCTCTTGCAAACTAAGGCTTGGCATGCACCTCCGAATGCCCCGTTCCAGTGTGTGGACATGTTTGCCGGTCGAGCTGCAGTGGCCAAGGCCTTTAGAGCTAATGGACACAAAGCTGTGGCCCTAGACATAGCCTACCACGGCTGCCCTAGGGACGAGACTTGTGTGGAATTCATTGCTTGTTATAAGACAGGTCTGTACTTTCGCCTGCATGTGCACATGTGACATAGCCTAGCATCCGCTCGACACCCAGGACATCAACAGTGCTTCTGGCTTTTTGCGCCACCTATGGAGCATATTGAATATGGAGAAGGGCGGTCTGGCTTTTGCCGGACCGGTGTGCTCTTCGTGGGTGCAGATCAACAGCAGCTTGTACGCAAGATCGTTCATATCACATGCGGACATGACTGTGGGCCTGTGGTCCCTGTCGTCTTACGGCTTGTCTCATGCACATCTACAGCTCGCCTATAGGGGGGACCTCCAAACGTTCCAAAAGCGACCCGATGGGGGACACGCTCATTGGCTGCAATCATTTCTAAGTAAACCTCTGAAGCCCATGCCTGCCCGATGATGGTGTCTGCCGTGCCAG